AGAAATGGGAACGCTCGGGTCCAGGCAGATGGAAACCGGGCTCGCTCGCGGCGTCCCGGATCCGTTCGCCCACGGACACGTGAAATTCCTGGGACGAGAGGATTTTATTCTAACGCGCCGCGCCGCGTCGATGCGTGCACGCCGCGTCGAATACAGTAAATTTAGCGACGTCGGTTTGTGCAACCGCGAGGCCGACGGGTATATTTAGAATGTAGGATGCAGGCGAGCGATGGACATCTTCGCGTGACCCGGCCGATGCATCGTGACGTTCATAACGTTCATCCACCTCCCGGCTCTTTAAATCGCGTTTCGCCGGCCGGCGTCACGTACGGCGGTCTGCGGCCGCACTGTACGCTTCATTATGTTGATTATTCGGGGAATTATGGTTCGAACGGAGTCGACGCGGCTAAGTAATTAGATGCGTGTACAGTGGTAACCTCGATCGTCGGATCCAATTGGCTGATTAGAGGCTCATGCATATGGAAAGTCGAGGAGGCATTGTTCGGAGGATGTTTCCAAGATTCTGTTACATATACCGTGAGTTCTGAATACAAGGATTCGAAGTGTTAGGTTCGCGGACGGTCGGAACTCCGAATTGTTTGGATTATGAGAAACGGTGACTCGGTTCTGCGAGATCCTACTGTATAAATTCCGACGTCTGTATGCATGTATTCAAACGTAATTCGTGAGAACGACAGTTTGTCGGACAATGTATTCAGCGCAACTGCAGCTTTAGGCTTAAGCTGGGCGCACACGACAGAAATGTCGCGGTTCAGTTTGTTTTGCAGTTCCGTCTGGCAGAAAGAAGGATAAAAGAACTTTATGTAAGTACGTATGAATTTTATTTTGACCGGCGATTGAAGTGCAGAGTAATTGAAAATGGATGAGAACGTGGAATGGCTTTCTTTTCGGTCTAGTTTCTGCTCGCGCATGAAATTGACTGCGTCTTAACGTGTCGCGAAACGTGAGCGTCGTCAATAGACACGTGACTGCCGGCTCCTGACAGATGGGATATTTGTAAGTGAATACGTGGAAACTTCTCTGTGCGTTTCCATGAATCGATTGAAAAGTGAAAACAATGGCCCCTTGGTAAGATAATTGCGTAAGGAATGATGCAACTGATTGATCGAATCCTTTCGTGAAAACCGAACTTTGACATTCTACTCGATGTCCGTTGTTTACTGAACAGGTGAACTGCTATCTTTCATAAAATAAATACACAAGTCGATCGTTTAATGATCGTAGCAGAAGGAAACAGAAAATATGCACTCGGAATGCTCCGGGAGGTTGAATTCCAGAGTGTTCCACAGATGGATACAGCAGGTAATCAATAGTCGGAGCAGACGAGTTTTATACGCGTGCATGTATGCAAGCGGGTATATATAAACTCGTGTTTTCGTTACTGGAAAACGAAAATGAGTGCAGCACACTGGGAGAAATATGTCTCGTAAATATGTATTCGATTCGACCTAGATTCCTCCAAAGTTTCTTCGTCTTCGATAATCATTAGAGTATTCTGTATTCGAGGATAAACACCGTTCGTCTCGGTCGTTGAAAACAAACACGCCCGACAGTTTCGAATGTGTACGTGACAGCTTTGGTTTTATGCAAGCCGACGTGCCGCGGATCACGTATCTCGGAATCGGCTGTTTCTAATGCAAGAGCACTAAACACGCGATCATCCCTGACCTAGGTTCACCGAGATTCTTGTAGAATGTCAAAGCTATATTAAGCATGGAAACGAATTAAGACAGAGTGCGTTTATCCGCTTCAGTCCGTACTGCACTCGACAAAAAATATTCAACCCTTCGTCGGAAACTTGTAATGCTAGGGTGTGTACTTTCAGCGTTCGCAGTTCGCGTGTTGCGCAATCGTGTGTAATTATCGGGGGAAATAAGTTTTACATCGCGTTCGTTTGAAACGCGGTGCATCTAGCGACATGCATCATTTTTCTCCGTAATCAACGCAAATAAATAATGTGACTACGAAAGGAATTGTGTAAATCGTTGCATATCTTGCGACCAGTGGTTCGCGTGTTCCTCGAATTCATCGCGTTGAGAGAGGTTTAAGGGTTGCATAGACTTTCTCGCTAACTTTTCTCTTGCTTTCTTTCTTCATTGTCATTTTTTGTGTACATTCGTATTTAGAATGAACTGGTATTACTGCTTTCATTGTGTTGAAGATACGGTAGAAATTTCTTCGTTATTTTATGGTAAAAAAGATTCTTGAGCTTCTGATATCAGAGACGTTGATTTATTCGAGAATTAGAAAATACGTCATTGAAATGGTACTGGTTATTTCTATTGATCATGCAGATGTTTCTCTGCTAAACTCCACTACGGAGATTCGTGTATAAGTGTGACTGCAGCTTAACGTTCTAGATGCATCTATGGACCGTCCTACTATCGATTCGGTTTCTGACCAAGTTATACCTGCGAGATCATCTGCGCAGTACACCCAGGTCTAAAATAGTCACGGCGGTGTACTGAGAGAGATCTGCTCTTTCACTGAATATTTACTAATCATATCGCGGAGCGTTTTGGTAGGCTGACGAAAAGAAACGACAGAATAAAGTTCATAAACAGAGTAATATTTAAATAGAACCTCAGCATGGGACACAAAGGGTTTCGAAATAAAATGATCCTTGGGAGACGCATGACTGTTATAAATAACACTCCCAACGCAGAGTTACAAGCGTTGTCACGAAAAATAGTATCCCTTTCGTTGCTATAAATAGCACCGTTTCAGTGTCTGAAATATTGTTTAGCCATTCTGATCCAAACATAAATACAACATAATCTACCAACTCAATCACGAGCTGTAATAAAGGATCGCCAATAAAAACGATTTAAAACTTTCGATTTATTTCGAACTTCATAATATTCACAGGATGACAAATAAATTATTTCAAACATGATTTTACATAAAGCTTCGTAGTATACCTACTAAATACACATGACAATAAATTACGAAGAGGATCATTCAATTTATTTTGCAATATAATAATGCAACGAAATAATTATCCTAAAAGTTCACTTTCGTAAACATAAATAGAATATCGGCAGTGAAAGTGCGAGCAGCCTGGCCCTCGAAATGATTCAAGAAAGTATGAGATGATCGTAATGGAGGAGGAATATGAATCGCGCGCCATTTTGTGTCGCGCAGCGACATCTCCGGAGGTTCCGCGAACCCTTTCGTACATCGCGGAAGACTATTACTGACGGACGATAAATGAATGCGAATGTTCCGTACCTGGCGACTCTTTACGAAGCTACCTTATAAACGAGTTGCAGCCTCCGATTTGGCATTCCGTTTCTGGAGGAGTCCGGATGCTCGTCGCTCTCCAACGCGACCGGCTCCAAAACGTTGATCGTTTTCATCTCGGTGAAGTCATGCTTGTCGTGCACAACCTCGGTGTACTCTTCCTTCTTCAGCGCGAAGAGGAGTTGATAAGTGTACGTGCCGAGCAGAGCGCCGAAGGTCGGTCCGATCCAGTAAATCTGAAGAAAGGCCGGTTTAAAAATGATTATCGGGGATTGGAATGCAATCTAATCTCTGCAATGCCGAGCAAATGTTTGCACGCCTCTCTCCCTAAGCATGTGAAGAAACAATATCATCTATGCCGATAACGTTAGCCTTAGAAAGCATAAGGTTATCCACGGGTATAAGCTTCTTATCTCAAATGACAAAGATTAGATCGTAAAGCGACCGGATTATGCAACACACTCCGCAACGAGAAGCTGTAAATCAGCTGAAGGTTCAATAAATTCAGCTATTAGAAAGGTTTACCGACTTACCCACTGATTCTTCCAGTAGCCGTGGAAGAGCGCTGGGGCAAACGTGCGAGCTGGGTTCATGCTGCAGCCGGTGTAGGGACTCTGCAGAAATGTTATCATTTCAGTTTTAATTATCATTCGGTATTTATGATAATATTCATTAACACGTTAAGCGTCAGTCACTGGTGAAACGCTTCCGAATGACTAAAAAGCAATTGTAATATACAAGACAATCGATGTGAAATAAAAATGTTTAATGCAACTAAGTCGATAATAATGTAACGTAAATATTGCAACACCAAACAATTAATAATTGTTCTTGCTTTTCTTTGTTACAAAAGAAAGATTTTCGTGGCATTTAATGTGTTAACCTTTTGCACTCCGAAGTTTCTCACTAGAAATATTTCAACATTTTCTGATGAGATGAAGACGATATTTTGTAAAACCATGAAATTCACGTGAATTGACGGACAAAGCTAATTTTTCTCAGATTGATGCATTATATGAAGTATAACATTAATTATTAGACTTTATAGCTTCACTGTAGGAAATCAAGTGATGACTGAGAGTCACCTCCCGAGTGCAAAGGGTTAATAGTAGTACTATTTACTACTCTATAATCAATGTCAATATTTATTTAAAAATTCGAAACTTTTTCCTCTATTTCCCGTAACAAATAATAACATGCCCGTTTGGATAACGCGAATTTCAACTTTGATTTTAGAATTTGAAAATTGTCAATTTTAAAATAGCCGTGAGAGAATATGTACCGCTGCACAGGAAATTCCGACGACTGCGAAACCGAATTTGAGCGCCATGGAGTCTCCCATGTTCGAGCATCTGGGGTCCCAGGTCGCGCAAGCCGTGCAAAGTATGACGGCGGTGCACAGTATTTCGATTAAAATTGCTTGAGCGGTCCCGACACCTTCGTGGACAACTGTTACGCAGAGTCCGATGGTTGAATTCGGGTTTCCGGCGTGGAACAGCTCGGGTGGAGTTATCATCTGTTCTAATAGAATCAGGGTTAAGCGTGTGTATCGTCGAAAGCTATTGGGAGCAATCGAAATCGTACCATTAGTATGCCGTATCCCAGAGTGGCGCCGAGGAATTGGGCTAAAGCATACAGAATTCCTGTCGGAATCGTTTTAATTCCAACGATCACCGCCCCGATCGTGACAGCTGGGTTCAGATGTGCACCACTTACGTGGCCTAACATCTGCGGAGAAGTTGAATATATTAAAGAGACAGGCGCGATAATATATCTCATATTAATTCTGAAGAATAATATCTTGAATAAAACGGAAATGGTATTTTCACTGTACTAAGAATTATTAACTTGAAGAAAGAACTATCAATTTGATTAGTAATACTTTATTTTACCATATTCACGTGAAAAATTACTACTTCATTTGAAATATTTTACATTCATAGATTTTCTGTATTGATTACGAATGAAATTACCCAAAATGGCGGATAGAGCTAACTGCAGGAGACGTAAAGGCAAGCGTTCCTGTTCACGTAGTGAGGGTTCTTTCTCGAGTGCGTTCAAGGTGTTAATTTATTAAATAAAATATTCTTACCATGATCAGAACGTTAACCGTCATACCAAACGCAATGGAGGATTGCAACTGAGGTGGCGGCCCGGCCCCCATGGAACCGATGGAGCCCATGCACCCAATGAACAAAAGTATTCCCGTGCCCACCACTTCCGCGATGAACATCGTGGTCGTACCTTTCTGCAGGACCCATCTTGATGCTAGAAAAATACAGAATTCCGTTTCGCGTGCTGCAATTTCCAAGAGAATAACTTGACACCCACTTGTCGATTCGTCCGCCATGGTAGACCAGCAATCCTCTCGCTTAAACTAAACAGTAACTATTGCTCTAGCCGCGGTAGTAATCAGCACTTGAATTGTTTTAACAATACTAATCAGCGGCTATCGCGTTCCTCCAATTCCCTTAAAAAGGAACTGCCTTATCGATCAGCGATACGCTACACACTTCTGTCGAATCAGTGCTCGATCGCGAACCTCAAGAGGAATTACAAGAAATTTCATCCGCCGTCGTCTCCGTGACCACCGATGTGAACAATATCACGCATCGTGCGATTCCGAATCGTTTTGTAATCTCGACTCGCCGCGAGCCGTTTCTATCGTTCTTACAAAATCCCCGGCGTCTTGATAGCACGTACGACCATTCCATCCGTAGCTCTCTATCATCAAAGAAATTATGGAAAATCCCGCAAACGCTGCTCGAATTACAGAAACTTGCGCAAACGCCGACGAAATTGTAGAAAATCGGGGAGGAATCAGCTTCCTGGGCCATAAATAGCGACGTGTGCATCAGAAGTGGCACGTTTATTCATGCAAATTCGGCTCGAACGTCCACTTCGAAACAACCGCCGCGTATCTCGCTCGTGCCTCCTGCTCTTTAGATATTCCAGCATGATCGAGTTTAAATTTCCATGGTATCTTACCGCTTGTCCCAGCTTTTCAATATTGCAATCCGCCGGTATGCAGCGGATTGTTCCCTAGAACATTTGACGCAAGCGCTGTTCGATGTTCGCCCGTCAATGTGACACTGCTCCTTGATCCCAGTCATCGAGAAGACGTTCATCATCGTTCGGAGACATGTCCAACGTCAAAGATTCTCGATACCGGAACGTCCACTACAAAGAGGACACCGAGTTCACAGTTTGGGTAGCTAAAACCCTGCTGACGCCGGTAGGCGTCTGGCCGTTGCGTACAACCGAATCGCTCCTGGACACCGTGAAGCTGGTCGTTCACATCGGTATAATCTTCTGCCTGATGTGTTTCCTGCTGGTACCCCATGTAATTTACACCTATCACGACGCGGAAGACCTGGCTCGGTATATGAAGGTGATCGCCGCGCAGGTGTTCAGCCTGCTGGCGATCATCAAGTTCTGGACGGTGATCATCAAGAAGAGATACATCAGATACTGCCTGATGGAAATGGAGACGCAGTACAGAGACGTCGAATGCGAAGAGGACAGAGCGGTGATGAAGAAATCGGCTGGAATCGGAAGACTGTTCACTATCGTCTATCTGAGCCTGTCTTACGGCGGCGCGTTGCCCTATCACATCATACTGCCGCTCATGTCCGAGAGAGTCGTCAAATCGGACAATACCACGCAGATACCGCTGCCATACCTGAGCAACTACGTTTTCTTCGTAATCGAGGACTCGCCGGCCTATGAGATCACCTTCGTCTCGCAAATACTGATCAGCAGCATCATATTGTCCACCAATTGCGGGATTTACAGTATGATCGCGACCATCTCGATGCATTGTTGCGGATTGTTCCAAGTCGTCAGCAGGCAGATCAAAACTCTGTTTGAGTACGACGATCATGAACTGTGTCAGCGTCTTAGGGACATCGTTATGTTTCATCTGAAGGCTATCAAGTAAGAGGTGTATAGTATGTACGTTTTCCTTGGGGCAAGACAGGTTAACGCTTTGATCGCCATGTCATTTGGGTAACGTAACTTTATGTATACGGTGGAAAATCAGTTCTATTAGCGATGTATGGATCAAACCAGATTCTCTTGGATCCATCAGGTGCTAGAAGATTAAAAGAATGGCTTTGAAAAATCGTGACTTTTTGTGTATCGTTAGGAAAATTGGTGTATCTTCATTTTTTTAAAGAGGGTTTGTGCTTGAAAAGGTTTGATGAATTTGTTCATGAAGTTTCACGCGATTCGAAAATGCAGTATGGAAGCGATCCGTGTTACAATTTCAATGAATTCGTCTTGCAGATATGCCGAAGCGATCGAGAATGCTTTAAGCACGGTGTTCCTGACGGAAATGCTTGGCTGTACAATCATCATATGCTTCCTCGAATACGGAGTGATTCTGGTACTAGAAAAATATATGAAAAGAGAAAGACTAATATCGGTTGCAATGCATTCACCGTTTTTCTAGGAATGGGCTGACTACAAGATACTCAGCACAATGACGTACGTCGTCCTCATGATCTCCACGTTTGTAAATGTGTTTATAATAGCGTACATCGGCGATTGCCTTAGACAAGAGGTGCCATTTCCAACTCAAACTGTAATATGCCGATTAACTTGACTGCGGAGGTTGTTTATAAATGTAGAAGCGATCTCGATCGTTTTCATATTCGAATCTCAAACATTTTGGAATAATGAAAGTTTGTATTTCGAAGTTTGGTAGATACTGAAAATATCTCTTTTAATTTTTATCTAGAACAAAAGGAAGCAGACCATTGTTTTAACACTTGCCTTGGGCGATTTTGAAAGTTCTATTCTTATCTGATAGTCGAATTGTCATTTTTATGCGATATATTTTTGAAAAATCAATATTTTAGCCTTCCTAGGCACACTTTACCTGTCTCCGAAAGAGAGAAAAAACTGATCCTTCCACTCGGTTCACCACTTGTTACAAATATTCCACGAAAATGGTGCAAACAGAGACTTGCGATTCTCCCGACGAAAATGAGCGAACACTCGACGTCATACTGTATTTGCACTCATTCTTATCCACATGTCCTCCCTAATGCGCTGACTAAACGTTGATAAAGGAACCACGAAAAACACGAGCATTTTTATTTCATACTAATGGCCGGTTTATCGATATACGTAAAACGTTCTGTTATCGTTACATCTCGCGTGACAGTAACGAAATCATAATTTCATAATTTTTATAGCGATCGTTATCTACACTCTCCGCAGTTAAGATGTCCAAGTGTCCGTTATCGTGATTTTCAAATAACATGTCGCTTTTTATTAAGAGCGAGAGAGTGGGAGAAACGTCATACTTCGTATCGTGGTACGATCTTCCTGACGACTTGGTTAAGAACTTGAAGATGATCATGCTCAGAACAAATCGGCCGACTAATTTCACCGCCGCCAAGGTGTTCGATGTCTCGCTTCTAGCATTTTGCGACGTGAGTTGCTAATACATTCATTAATTACATGGAACACGATAAAATTATACTTCAAATTATTGGGTGATCTCATAAATAATGCAATTTTTCATATTTCTGTTACTTCCGAAATTCCGATGAACAAGGCTTTTCAAAATCTGATTAAAATCTATAAATCGATAACGTACAGTTAATGAAAGAGAACATATTCTCCTAAATATACAAAAGTTGAGCACTTTGTAGTAGAAAATGTAATGCTGCAGGTTTGCAAGACATCGGCGGCGTACCTGAACTTCCTACGAACAATGACATCATGATGAAGATTCATCGGTTGTACTAGAGAAAGAAAGCTACTTGTTGCACGAGAGACAAGAAGTTGTTCATACAAGAAAAAACATGATACCGATCGTACACTTGATAGAATCTCAGCTGATTGTATAGAATAATAGCGAAACAAAAATGTTGGGTATGCCACTTACAAAGGTTATATAATATTCTCCTGTAGGAATATTGATAAAAAGCAATCCGACGTATCTTACCATGTTACACTCTTTTCCATCGCCATAAGATCTTAATTTATAAATAATAAATGAATTTATATGCGTGATTCGTTTCTTACCGATTCAAAATTCTACCGGACGAAGCCAGTAATTTGTTCGAGACATCCGACGTTGCTCACGCGAACCTGCTGATAGAACTTCAACGGAGTTCAATGGCGGCGCAATTCAGCCATTACTCCTATCCTGCGCGCAACGTCTCTGCGCCACAGGGCGCCATCAACGATTCAATGGCTCTTTCCCAGATCCATTACAGGAAACCGCAGCGCAACGACTTAATACTAGTATACATTGCAGAAAACAACCGAAATACGTATAGACGTACACGAAACGTCGGTTCACTGCTTATTCATGCGCAACCCGTTCGATGGCGGCCATAGCACCGCTCGCATGGTGCATCAAGATGGGCGCACCGGCATTAGCTGCATTCAACTCCAGTCTTTATCGTACGTTCAACCTGTTTAACAATGCAAAGAATCCGAGGGTACATCCGCGAAACGATTCGCGCAAGCGTAAACGCGGCTCCGCAGATTTACGATGTCGCAGCGGCATCCAGTCGCATGAGATACTCTTTGGGGATTGGCTAAGAAGATGACTGTCGCCGAATATCCTCAGGACTATGAGAATCTGCGTCACAAGACTGATTTCGTGTTCACCGTTCGAATACCTAGGATACTGTTGACGCCGATTGGCATTTGGCCGTTGGACAGAAGCGACTCGATCCACGGGGACGTCAGATCGGTTGTCCAGGTCGGGATGATCTTTGTTTTGATGTGTTTTCTACTGGTACCCCATGTGATATACACATTCCACGACTGCGAAGACCTGACCAGGTACATGAAGGTGATCGCCGCGCAGGTGTTCAGCCTCCTGGGGATCATCAAGTTCTGGACGATGATCTTCAGGAAGAAGAGGATGCGTGCTTGCTTGGCGCAGATGCAGCTGCAGTACATGTACGTCGAATGCGAGGAGGATAGGCTGGTGATGAAGAACGCGGCTAAAATTGCCAGATTCTTCACGACCGTTTATTTGAGCCTCTGCTTCGGCGGCGCTTTGCCGTATCATATGATCTTGCCATTGTTGTCCGAGAAGGTCGTCAAATCGGACAACACGACGCAAATACCTTTGCCCTATCTGAGCAACTACGTTTTCTTCGTGATCGAGGACTCGCCTCTCTACGAGATCACTTTCGTCACGCAAATTGTGATCAGCACTATTATACTGTTCATCAACTGCGGAACCAACAGCCTGATCGCCAGCATGACGATGCACTCTTGCGGAATGTTCGAAGTTGTGAACAGGCAGCTGAGATCGCTTTTCGATCGCGACAAAGACGAGATGAAAGGGTGCCTTAGGGATATTGTTCGGCATCATCTGAAAGCAATTGCGTAAGCATCCTTTGCTGTGCGATGTATCGGTTTGTATTCGAATTCTATTGTTTGAGTGATATGATTGTTCAGTCGGGGATAATCGTTTTCGAAACAGTAAGTGAAGTTGGCTTTCACTTTTTACAAATTTATGCGATTGTTTCTAGGTGCGAACTGTTTTTAATTTTAAACTCCCGGCTGCATAAATATAATATATATACAAATACAATAATTATAATTTTATATAATATATATACATATACAAAAAGACACAAATTGTGAATTCTACGGTTCTATAAATATTACACCTCTCTTGCAGCAGTTCAGTTCAACTGAAAAATATTAAGACACATTAACTGTTCTTTACATATACCTGCAGTTTCTTATCACCATTACGAAAATAATACTGGATTATAGGTTTGCAGAATTGATCGAGACAAATTTAAACGCAGTGTTCCTCACGGAAATGGTCGGCTGCACTCTCATCATATGTTTCCTCGAGTACGGAGTCATTATGGTACTGAAAAGAGCAAATAGAACGAAACGAAACGCAGAAACACTGAAATTACATTTCGTTAAAAATCATTCTAGGAGTGGGAAGATAAAAATATGTTCAGTATGGTGACGTATTTCCTTCTGATGACGTGGATGTTCTTAAATGTGTACATATTATCGTACATCGGCGATTATCTGAAACGAGAGGTACTTGTAATTATAACTACTCTACTTATCATCAGTCTTCATTGTATCTCTTAGTAATACGTCCGTTATTCAAGTTTTTCATTAATTTATTTTCTTCGTTAATCTTAAAATGAATTGTTTAACCGACAATACATTACATATGTTCTCAAAATGGCGGACGCGAATCGTCAGCCAATGGAACGATCCGAAATAGTATCCATGCCTCTCTATATTAGCCGGCTGGAACTGCACGGTCATATGGGGGAGCATTCTGCATCCCCACTCTACAAGGTCATGAACTCTAACACCATATTTATCTTTTAAAGAGCGAGAAAGTGAAATTCACTTCGTACAGCATGCCCTGGTACAACTATTCTAAAGACGTAAACGAGAATTTAAGGTTAATAATGCTTCGACCTCTTCGACCGACGTGCTTCACCGCCGCTAAGTTCTTCGACCTCTCGTTCCACGGATTCTGCGAAGTGAGTATCAACCTCGGTGTAAGCTCTTCAGAGCGAAAGAAACAGAAAGTGAAGTGTTACAGGTTGTCAAAACTTCTGCGGCCTATTTGAACTTTCTTCGAACGATGACAGGATGAACAGTTAGACAGTTGTGTTTGGAAATAAAAAGACTAAACTTGTACGTGCGAGGTTTACTATTTCTATAAAGTAAAACAGAAATTGTCTGGTCAGTGTTTTTTACTTACAACCACTGCAGAAGATTGATCTTGAATATTTTGTTCCTCTTCGTATCTCATAGTATTTGTACGCGTAATATCACGTCGACAGTTAAGCAGTTAACTGTGTTTGACGAGTATACACGTCACCGTAAAGCTTGACATGATACTAATTCTTTCAGCGATGAATTCTTTATTTTTTCACATATACATGTAATTCTCCTTGTTTCGCTTTGATCTTTCATTAAAATATATTCTACGTGCATTCGTCCTGCGTTCGACGAGTACACGCTCCACTTTTTTATTTTATTGCGCGCAGAACGAAAGGTTTTTCCAACTAAATTCCACAGTTAACTGGTTAAATGACGGGTTAAATGTTTGTTTAAACAGAACTAAGGAACGTTTAGAAATGGTGCGAGTTCAAAAAGACCCGACGACGGTTGCTGGTTCGAGTGACCATGCGGCGGTTGTGCGAGTATTAAAGGGTAGAAAATTTCCGAACGGTAGAACTCGCGAATTTATATTGAAACTCGTCTCAATACAGAGTATAATTACAGTTACGACTATAGTTCTCGATGCAACTCTTTCGCGATCCATGCAAACTTTTCAGGCAGAAAAAATATACGCCTGGAAGCAAAAGTTTAAAGCATTTATCCGATATGAAGTTTCTTGTACATTCGAGGGTGAATTGAAGCTTGTATTTTCGCAAGAAAACTGCATGTACAAGGTACGCATATTAAGACGGTTATCGTCGTGATTTATTTCGAGGAATTATCATGGACTCAGTGTTCCATTAAACGCAACGTATCATGCTCATGTAAGAATGCAACAAAGAAATTGGTTAATTTCTTTAATATCATACTGTAATTATACGATCAATTTAATTTTCCTTAGACAATATAGGAACATACATTACAAATCAACAATAAGCACAAAGAATGTATTCCTTCCATCTAACACGAAAATTCCTATAGAATCCTCTATACTTCACGAAAGCATTTGAAGCTTAAAAATAACCCCACAAAAATATCCACACTTTCGATCTAATCAGTATTTACACCAACAGATACCACAAATATTTCATTCGAATTACAATTGCAAATCGCGTTCACGATCGCAATGCAAGATTAGTCATCCCCGATCCAACCCCAGCACGCGACGAACAAAATAGAACCGCTGGCGCAGTGCATCCGCCATTATAGAATTCGATTGATCGTCGAGGTGCAATCATCTCCCCAATTATCACTCATAATGCATAGACGGTAAAATGCTCCGAGGAGAAGGGTTAAGAATTTACCTCGATCCCGTACCGCAACACTGCAGCTCAGGGAACAGTGAAGAGTCCCGCAGCTGTTAGTATCAATTTAGATTCTTTCAACCTCAACAATGGCCGAGGAGGAGACGATCGATCGAAACCCTTTACAGAAAGATTACCTGATAAATCTGAACCTGAGCCTACAGTGGAACCGCTGGATCCTCGAGCCGTTCGGCGTTTGGCCCAGATCGTCCAATATTTCCAGCCTCAGACGATGCTTTAACTGGCTGCGAAGAGTCGTCTCAATCTTACTGATAACATTCATCGTCGTGCCTTTCGCCGTGTACAGCATGGTAGAGGTGGAAGACGCCTACAACAGGCTGAAACTCTTCGGCCCGATGAGCTTCTTCTTGATGGTGTACATGAAATTCTATTCCCTGGTGAACAGCGCGAGCCAGTTCTGCCTGTGCATGGATCAGATCGAGTGGGACTGGAAGAACATGAAGTATCCGAAGGACCGTGACATCATGGTGGCGAACGCGAACCTCGGCAGGCGATTAGTGAAAACCTGTGTCCTCTTCACGTACTGCGGTTTCGTGTTTTACTACGTCGCCTCGCCGATCGCCGTCGGCAGGGTCACCATGGAGAACATAACGTTCGTGCCGACGCCGTTCCCGGTGGCGAGACTGATAGCGGACATCCGTTACAGTCCCGCGAACGAGATTTTCATTTGCGGACAATTCTTCTCCGGCTTCGTTCTCCACGGTGTCGCGATCGGAGCTTGCAGCTTCGCGGCCGTGTTCGCGGTGCACGCCTGCGGACAGGTGGGCATCCTGATCGACTGGCTGGAACATTTGACCACGGGTCGCACGGACATGAGCGCGTCCGTCGACGAGAGGATCGCGAACGTCGTGAGTCAACACGTTCGAGTATTGAAGTGTGTAAGATGCATCTTCCGTCTGGTATACACGTGACCGTTAGAGCCTGTGCACGCGAGCGACGCGATCTCGCCGCTGTCGCGTTGGAACAGAGAAAGTTCTTCCGTCTCGCGGAGGAAGGATAAGAGAACTGCGTCTTTGTTTCTTCGAAATCGTTTTACGTACGTGTACTAGATATACAGAGCAAATTTTATCTTATGCGATATGTGTAATCGAAGAAAGAGATATGTATTTGTCACCTTTGTAATTTGAGGTCCGCGAGATCGCGGCGGGTTCGCCAGGGTTAATCTATTGTCGTTGAGAATTTACTAGGAAAACGGGAATTCTACGTTCATTCCAGTGCATTTACATTTGCTTCAGAGATTAACCCTTTGCACTCGAGAGGTGACTCTCAGTCACCATTTGATTTGATATAATGAAATTACAAAGCGTTACGTATAGTATTAAGTTTCGTATGATGCATCGATATGTGAAACGTTTATATGAAATAGATTTGTTTCTTAATTTACGTATGATTTCTTATAACTTCGTTTCAAATGTCGTCTATGTCTCTTTAGAAAGTGTCGAATATTTCTAGTGAAAAGCTTTCGAGTGCAAAGGGTTAACAATTGATTATAGAGGAATATTGTTGAATTTTTATTCAAACGAATATAGCCTTTACGTTTATGGTAAGGAGTTAATCGAGCGAGTCTATGAAATTATATTCAAAATCAGCTTAAAATTGATTTAGAAAGGGTTGAGAATTTCATATTTTGCCACCGCGTATGTACGAGAATGTATTATTAACGGAATTCTGTAATTTCTAGTATAATGAGCGTACTGATTGAAAGCAGTATTTATTCGTGTCTCAGAAGGTTCGTCTGCATGAAAAAGGATACACACTCTACCATTTTGGAATTCCAGATTTCTGTCCATCACAGAGGAAGCCCTGCAGCAAATATCTTTCGTAGAATTCATAGGATGTACCTTGAACTTGTGTTTATTAGGATATTACGTTATAAGGGTACGCATACTCCCTGCAAAGATGAATCAAATACCATGAACTAGATTCTCTTCATCGAACATTAACATGAATTTTCCTTCTCCAGGAATGGGACACGAGCGTCGCCGCCTCTGTAACTTACTTCATAATATTCATATCTTTTGGCTTCAATATCTTCATATTTTGTTACATAGGAGAGCTCGTATCTGAACAGGTGAGGTTCCACAAAATATCCTATAACCCTGGACGTCGCTTCAAAAGCGTTCGTAGAGATGTCGGGCGAAGGTAAATTCCTAAAAAATAAAGACAGAAGCATGCGATAGAAATTGTTCGTTAAAACTTGGAGAATTCGATAGAAAATTAAGTCGGTTCGATTCAAGGGCACTTCTGATCCTCTTATCTAGGTACAGCTCTCCAAGAAATTCCAAAATACCGTGTATCATTCCGAATAGATTTCAGTGATACTCACGATTAATCGTGTATAGTCGAAACGCGAATTTCAAGTATAATTATTTTTCACAGTGTACCAAAGTCGGTGAAGTGGCGTACATGATTGATTGGTATCGACTGCGGGGGAAGAGGAAGCACTGCGTGATTTTGATAATGGCGATGTCCAACGCCTCGACGAAACTTACCGCAGGGAACATGGTCGAGTTGTCGCTCAGCACGTTCGGCGACGTACGTTGACACACCTAATTAAATCTCTCGATTGCATATCTTGTAACCGACAGAATTCTATGAAAATCGTTTGAACGAACAGGTTGTAAAGACAGCGGTGGGATACATGAATATGCTGCTGGCATTAACATGATCCTCATCAGCGGCGTTCATTGCGGACACAGCTCTGACGTGCAGCACTAACGAGACGTATCTAGTATTCTTATACATTCTTATTATCATAGTGGATATCGGGTAAGAGAGACGTGCTTAAATATAACAACACGATTTCTCCGTTCTGCTTCGAGGAATCGTGAAACCTTTAACCTTCATAGTTGCGCAATGTATGCTTCGATTTTGAATAAAAATTTGCTCCGGTTACCTGTTGCGCAAATTTAGCGAACAAGTTCCGTCTTTCAATGACCTCTGTTTATTCATCGACATACAAAAAACCCGCGAACGCACGGCTAAGAGGAATAAATAATAATCCAGTGGCATTGCGCACAATGGTATTCACAGAAAATAACCCTTGCTCGAGACATCGGAAACTTCATAATGTCAAGCCGAGGTACAAGAAGAAGTACGCACGAATATTCAATGATTCCCTGTATCTCCTACCCGCCGGTGTTGGTAATCGATTCATCGGACGATCGCAATTCCCTAGTCCCTTCGCGCAATGCATAAATCAACAAAATGGGCACGCAAGACCGTTTCACGAGCAGACAGATTTTTTTTCTCACAATGTTGCGTGCTCGACCCCTTCCATCGGGAATCAAAAAACAGGCGCAAGCGTAGCATCGCGCGGAGCGGAACCGGCGTCATTCGGTCTTCTAGTTTCAATTGGACGTTCGAGCTAAAACAATGGCGAAACCGAAAACCGCCGCCGGAAGCTCCTCGCGAAACGAAAACGAGTACCAGAGGAACTTCAACCTTAGCATCCAGTGGAACCGCTGGACTCTGAAAGCGATGGGCGTTTGGCCGAGCTCGAGCGAAGTCTCGAGACTCCAGAAATCCCTCAACGTGCTGATAATCGTCGTCTATTACTTTCTAATTACCTTCATGTTCCTGCCTACCTACCTGTTCATGCTGTTCGAGGTGGAGAACACTTACGACAAGGTGAAGGTCTGCGGCCCGATGAGCTTCTGCGTGATGGTGTATCTGAAGTATCTCTCGCTGATTGTTCACGCGAAACAGATTCGCGAGTGCTTCGAGTGTATCGAGCGGGACTGGAAGATTATGGAGTACTCCAAGGACAAGGAGATCATGGTGGCCAATGCGAACTTCGGCAGGAGATTGGTGAAGATCTGTATATTCTTCATGTACAGCGGTTTCGCGTTCTATTACATCACCTTGCCGATCAAAACCGGCAGGGTCACCGTGGGGAACGTGACCTTTATCCCGACGGTGTTCCCCGTGTCGAAGCTGCTCGCAGATGTCCGTTACAGCCCTGCCAATGAAATATTTCTCGGGATCCAGTTCATGGGAGGAATCGTGGTTCATGGAATAACGGCCGGCGCTTGTAGCCTGGCCGTAGCGTTCGCCGTGCACGCCTGCGGACAGGTGAAAGTCCTGATCGGCTGGATGGATAATTTGCTCGAGGGTCGCGCGGACATGAGCTCGTCGGTGGACGACAGGATCTCGAGCATCGTTAGTCAACACGTCCGTGTACTGAAGTGTGTAAGAGACACCTTCTAGATGGTAAATACGCGGATTGTAGTGGAGCTAGACACGCCTGGGAAACGTAATGCGGAGGTTTTAGTTGGAAGTTGCTTGATATTGGTTTTATTACTAATTTGGGAAACGGAATTACGACGGAACATGGGGTTTTTTGACAATAGCACTACCGGATGCCTCAAAATGAGCCATTCCGGATTTCATTTTTCCCAGTTCTTCAGATAACAGATGCTTCTTTGAAGAAGTACTAGAGGAACTGATTTATGCAAACTGAATTGCAAAGTGAAGTCTCAATAATTGCACTGTTGAGGTTTCTACAGAGCAATTTCAAAAAGGCAATTTAGCTCGGTAGTTCTAGTGTTAATGGACTCTGCGAAGAACGCTTTGGATATTTTATATATTTTCTTGAATAATACGCGTTATTGGCAATTCTGTACTTTCAGATTTTTTATGAAATGTGATAAATGCATGTCCTAATTATCGTGTTTGAAATTTGTTTACTTGCTACTTGAAATTGTATAAGTTTCAAAGAAATTCGAGGTGACGAAATTTACCAGTTTTTAAATTCACGAAACGTGATGAAGCGTGACGATAGATTCTTTTAGTTAAATTCACCTGATCGATGTGTTTAGGGGGTTTTAACGTTGTTTTTCGTTGCACTAGTTATTGAAGATATTGAGTAAAAGTATGTTAGAAGCATTTTTCTGCTTCAAATAATAACAGAAAAGGGTACAGGCATTCGGAATCCACCGCACTGCGATTTCAGGTTCATATCCGTCACGGAGGAAGCCCTGGTGCAAATATCTTTCATAGAATTCACGGGATGCACGTTGAATTTATGCCTCCTGGGTTATTACACGATAATGGTACGCATGAGTGGTGACAATGGAGTTCCGCTGAAATATGTGCACATCTTGAACAGCAATGTTCGAAAAGAACGTCAAGACAAGAAATATATCGTTAACCCTAACAGAGAGAGTAATTACATTTTTTCAGGAATGGGATACGAACGATCTTACCGCACCTATAACGTACATCATAATACTTGGATCTCTCATGTTCAACATTTTTATATTCTGTTACATAGGAGAACTTGTCGCTAAATATGTAAGCCTTGAAACCATGTGCGCGATTCTCTTTAACACGTTGAATGCCGCACGATTTTAAAGAGCAAAATACACAAAATGGAAACATACTATTAAATCATTTAATTGAATTGCGTTATCACTATTACATGTTCGTCTAGCTGAATATCACCGCATCAGGTAGCATTGTCTATGATATAGAAATATCTTCAAATAATCGTCGTTTAGTTCACTGAACTATAGTAATTCAATTTGGTTGGGGGTCACCGGTAACCCCCATGGCATTTAACGTGTTAAATATAGAGAACATAAACATGTTAGACATTCGTATTAAAAAAGAATAATGGTTACATGACGCTAGACTGAACGAAGCGAAACAGAAAAGATTTTTGTTGCAGAGCAGTAAGATCGGCGATGTTGCGTACATGATTGACTGGTACAATCTACAGGGTAGCAGAAAGCGTTCCATCGTTCTGATGATCGCGATGGCTAATACCGAGACGAGACTCACGGCGGGTAACATAGTTGAACTGTCTCTGAGCACATTCGGTGACGTACGTATTGAACTCTGCAATTATTAAACTGACAGATCTTTATGAAAATTCGAATCGTTTGCTCTATGTCTGATTAGAAAAATAGAATTAATATGGAAATTGATTCTACTCGATAAATTCGCATTAGAAAAAGCAATTCACTTTAGACGTTTCGTATATTTATCGTATCGTGTGCATGGAATGCTGTTTCGTATTTTCAAGTTTATCATGAATGCATATAGATCTGCAGTCTAAAGAATATTCACCGCAATGCGAACAGTAAATAAATTTTCCAAATGAACAGGTTATCAAAACGGCAGTCGGATATTTGAACATGCTGCTGGCGTTATTGTAATCGTCTTCTGAATAATTAACTTATCTATTGTTAATACTGCTTTGTTATACAACGTTGAAAACGAGTCGTGTATTGTTATCCTTGTAGTGTATATCGAATAAAAACATTGTTTCCTTATTTAACTCTGAACGTGTGCTAATTGTTTTATTATGTTACGTTATTTTACTCGGAGCAGAAGCAAAAGATTGTGTGCCACCATTTAGAAACCGCTGAATTAAGTTCAGAACTTTTCAGATTAAATAGGACAATCATTTACTCATTCTTGCTTTATCGGTGATACGTAATAAATTTGCGCAGTAAAAGTGATGAATGAACTAATTATACGATATAAAAAGGTCCCCCTTTCAATGACCCGATCTTTTTTTATCACGCTAAAAACCCACACGCGCGACTAAAAATAATAGCCGACAATCTGCTGACAGTTCACACGATGGTATCGCGTTCGCGTTGAGACGACTATTGCTCGGAATATTCGCAACTTTATAATCTGTGACCACTAAACCACAAAAAAAAAGTACGTACCCATATTCAATGATGATTGCCGGGATTTGCTGCCCACCGGTAGTGACAATCGATTCATCGGGCGATCGCAATTCCCTCGACCCTCCTCGCCATGCATAAATCAACAAAATGGGCATGCAAGAGGAAAGGGTCGACTGTTTCACGAACAGATTTCTTTTCTCACGATGTTGCGTGTTCAACCCCTTCCATCGGGGATCAAAAAACAGGCGCAAGCGCAACATTGCGCGGAGCGGAACCGGCGTCATCCCGTCTTTTAGTCTCAACAGGACGTCCGAGCTGAAACAATGACGAAACCGAGGATCATCTCCAGAAGCTCCTTGCAAAAAGAGAACGAGTATCGGAGGAACATTAACCTGAGCATCCAACTGAACCGCTGGACCCTGAAAGCGATGAGGGTCTGGCCGTGCTCGAGCGAAGTCTCGATACTCGAGAAATACTTCGACGCGCTGATGCACGTCGTTTATTACTTTCTGATTAGCTGCTTGTTCGTGCCGTCCTTCCTGTACATGTTGCTCGACGTGCACAACACTCCCGGCAAGCTGAAGGTGTTCGGCCCGCTGAGCTTCTGCGTGATGGCGTACCTCAAGTATTTCTCGCTGGCGATCCACGCGGACGAGATCCGCGAATGCTTCGAGCGCATCGAATGGGACTGGAAGAATAAGAGATACTCCAAGGACACGGACATCATGGTGGCCGACGCCATCTTCGGCAGGAGATTAGTGAAGATCTGTATATTCTTCATGTACAGCGGTTTCGCGTTCTATTACATCACCCTGCCGATCAACAGGGGCAAGGTCACCGTGGGGAACGTGACCTTCATCCCGATGGTGTTCCCCGTGTCGAATCTGTTCCCAGACGTCCGTCACAGCCCTGTCAATGAAATATTCTTCGGGATCCAGTTCATGGGAGGAATCGTGATCCATGGAGTAGCGGCCACCGCTTGCAGCCTGGCCGCAGCGTTCGCGGTGCACGCCTGCGGACAGGTGAAAGTCCTGATCGGCTGGATGGATAATTTGCTAGAGGGCCGCGCGGATATGAGCTCGTCGGTGGACGACAGGATCTCGAGCATCGTTAGTCAACACGTCCGTGTACTGAAGTGTGTAAGAGACACCTTGTAGATGGTAAATACGCGGATTGTAGTGGAGCTAGACACGCCTGGGAAACGTAATGCGGAGGTTTTAGTTGGAAGTTGCTTGATATTGGTTTTATTACTAATTTGGGAAACGGAATTACGACGGAACATGGGGTTTTTTGACAATAGCACTACCGGATGCCTCAAAATGAGCCATTCCGGATTTCATTTTTTACAGTTCTTCAGATAACAGATGCTTCTTTGAAAAAGTACTAGAGGAACTGATTTATGCAAACTGAAGTCTCAATAATTGCGCTGTTGAGGTTTCTGCAGAACAATTTCAAAAAGGCAATTTAGCTCGGTAGTTCTAGTGTTAATGAACACTGCGAAAAACACTTTGGATATTTTATATATTTTCTTGAGTAATACGCGTTCTTTGGAATTTTGTACTTTGAGATATTCTATGAATGCATGTGATAAATGCATGTCCTGATTATCGTGTTTGAAATTTGTTTACTCGCTACTTGTAATTGTATAGGTTTCAAAGAAACTGGGGGTACGAGATTTACCTGTTTTTAGATTCACGAAGTGCGATGAGGACTGACGATAGATTTTTCTAGTTCAATTCGCCTGATCGATGCATGAAGTTTTAATGTTGTTTTGCATTGCAGTACGGGAAGTCGGAATCTACTGTCTTTACGATTATAGGTTCTTATCGGTCACGGAGGAAGCTCTGCAATCGATATCTTTTGTAGAATTCACAGGATGCACCTTGAATCTATGTCTCCTGGGATATCACGTTATAAAGGTACGCGGTTTTGCGTCGAAACACGCGCATACCTTATATAATAATATTTATACATTATTAACAGATTTATAGATCATAGAACATAACCAGCAACAAAGAAATTTCATTTTTTTAGGAATGGGACCCGAATGATATCACTGAATCTCTGACGTTCTTCATACTGCTTATATCTCTCACCTTCAACATCTTCATATTCTGTTACATAGGAGAACTTGTCGCTAAATATGTAAGCCTCGAAACCACGTGCACGTCGCTGTATAAACACAGAGAACACAAACATGTTAGACATTCGCATCATAAAAGAATAATGGTTACGCGACGCTGGACTGAATGAAGCGAAACAGAAAACTTTGTTGTTGCAGTGCAGTAAGATCGGCGAAGTTGCGTACATGATTGATTGGTACAAACTACAGGGTAGCAGAAAGCGTTCCGTCGTTCTGATGATCGCGATGGCTAATACCGAGACGAGACTCACGGCGGGTAATATGGTTGAACTGTCTCTAAGCACATTCGGTGACGTACGTGTTGAACACATCACTGCAATTATTAAACTGACAGATCTTTATGAAAATTCGAATTGTTTACTCCATGCCTGATTAGAAAAATAGAATTAATATAGGAATTGATTCTACTCGATAAATTCGCATTAGAAAAAGCAATTCACTTTAGATGTTCCATATATTTATCGTACCGCGTGCATTGAATGCCATTTCGTATTTTCAAGTTTATCGTAAATGCATACAGATCTACAGTTTGATAACTACATTATCTAGCGATGCAAGGAATAAACATGAATCTTCCAATCAAACAGGTGGTCAAAACGGCTGTCGGATTTTTGAACATGTTGCTAGCGGTATCATAAGTTTCCTGAAGAATTTATCGTAAATACAGCTCTGTTACTCAAGTCCCGAGACGTGACTTGTATGGTGATGCACTTTGTAATGTATATTGTACAAAAACATTATTTCGTTACCTTACTGCGAGACGTGAATTTAACTAATGTATTGGTATTCATATTAATATATGACGATTAATGTTTCTTGGACGAGCTCCTTTAATAAAGAAGCTTCTATTTTCATTTCGATTCCAAATTCTTAATCGCAAGCAGGAATCTTTAACACTAGATTTCCGAAGCCCAATTTGGTGGGTATTGAATTTTTTTAAACATTACTCCGTAATAATTTAAGTCGACTTTGATTGGTGCAATTAAGCGAACACACATTATAATTCTCCGTCCTTGAAACTCTACTTTCCACGACCTATACGAACAAACATGCAGTCTAGAAGCGATAGTATAAATTGTAGAAAAACGTACGTGAATCTAGCGTTAATTGTAAAACTTACAATTACAAATGTCCCCACGTTGCGGCACTGGTTCCAAAATAGCTGCCAAGTTGATCCTTCCCTTTTTCTCCTTCTAATAAAACTCTGACGTCATTTTCGAATAACTCTTGAATCATAACTCATATTACATCTTCAAACTTATGTACTCAACCGTTGCGAAGTCATCCTGCAACACAAGTTACACATTTCAATTAAAGTCTCGCGTCCGAGCTCCTCTCAGTAGGGTAAGCGAACCCCCAACCTGCAAAACGTACCATCACTAATCCTCCCACGCTTGAATTTCGTCGCGTCACGCGATTCAAATTGTAAAACCGCAAAGGGACTGCTCCGCCATTCACCGGTGCCTCGAATCGTCTGACGCCGATAATCAATTCGTCGAAGCACGCCAGCCATCATCCGCTTGCCCTCGCTTATAATGCATAAACCGACCCTCCCCTGCGAACGGAGAGCAAGAAGGGTTAAGGCTGTCCGCGGAGGAACAGTTTCCCCGCAACACTGTTGCGCGTTCTGTCCCCTACCAGCCGGGATCAGGAAACGCAGGCGCAGCATCGTCTGTCACAATGTCGGCAGCCGCGTGCGCTTAGTATGAAGCGGACATTCGAGGAAAAACGATGTCGAAGCGGAAGACGATCGCCGGAAGCTGTCAGGACGACGGCTACCAGGAGTACGTGAACCTGAGCATCGAATGGAACCGGTGGATCCTGAAGCCGATGGGCGTCTGGCCGCGTTCGAGCAACATGTCGAGGCTCAGGCGATGTTTCACGCGAATGACGAACGCTCTCTGCTACTCCCTGATCACCTTCCTGTTCGTACCCTGCGGCCTCTACGTGTTCCTCGAGGTGGAGGACATCTACGACAAGCTGAAGCTGTTCGGTCCGCTGATATTCTGCGTGATGGCGTTCATGAAGTACTCCTCGCTGATAGTCCACGAGAACGAGATCCGCGAGTGCATGAGGCTGATCGAGTGGGACTGGAGGAACGCCAGGCACCGCGAGGACAGGAGGATCATGGTGGCCAACGCGACTTTCGGACGGCGTCTGGTGAAAATCTGCGCGTTCTTCATGTTCAGCGGCTTCGTGTTCTACTACATCGCGGTGCCTATCAGTGTCGGGAGGATCGCGCACGCGGGAACCAACAGGACGTTCCTTCCTTTGATGTTCCCCTTCCCGAAGCTGATCGCTAACACGCACGTCAGCCCCGCGAACGAGATCATCGTGTCGATACAGTTCGTCGCGGGCATGGTGCTGCACGTGGTCGCCGTGGGCAGCTGCAGCCTGGCTGCCGTCTTCGCCGCTCATCTCTGCGGCCAGATGGAAATACTGATGTGCTGGCTGGGACACTTGGTGGACGGTCGCGACGACATGAGCAGCACCATGAACGGCAGGGTCGCGAGCATCGTGAGTCAACACGTTCGAATACTGAAGTATGTAAACGAACGCGAGCCGGCCGGGGTAATGAGTTCTGTTTCAGACGCGACAGTAAGCTGATTCCTATTGGATGAAATTTTTGTAATCCCTTTACGCGTCTACTACTTCAACGATTGGGAGCGTATTAACTCTTTCGGATGAATGTATCGGTACTGAGGTTTCAGGTCTAGAATGTAAAGTTGCAAAGTAATGTAATTATTCGGGTAATCAGTCTGCTTTCTTGTAGCGTTTAAGGGTTCGGTGTAGAATTTGGCTTTCTCCGAAGATTTTGGATATTTTGAGAAATGTTCGTCTGCGACGGGTTAATACGCTTTTCGATCCCAGTGCCGACCGGAAGTCAGTTAATTGATTTTTCGGTTTCCAAAGCTCATTCAGTGGTAGCCGGTTGAAATTGTATTGTTTTGAAATGAAAGAATACAGAATGACATTACGGGTATTTGTTGTACTTCATTTTGAAGTTATAGGAAATGGAACGGATACTTCAATGTCGCAGGAATACTGTGCGCATGTTATTTAAATTTGACTTCTGTATTCACGATTACAGATTTCTGACTCTCGTGGAAAGGACGATAACTCAAATATCTCTCGTGGAATTTTTTGGGTCCACACTGGACGTGTGCCTGCTTGGATATTACGTTATTGTGGTATGAATATGACGTTCAAGCGTAACGACCGGGATCTGTACAAGGTGTATCCAAAATTTTCATGTTAAAACGCATCGAAATTGTTAATATCTCTATTAATTGTCAACGAGAAAATAAAATCAATTTTCGTATGAATTACCTTTTCTTCGTTTACACCTCGATTTCGGATATATTCTATATACATCCGGTACATCAGCGTACACGTTTAACTTCGTGATTCTTCTATTACAGGAATGGACGTCGAAGGAAATGACGGCTACCGTGACGTACATGGTGCTACTCATATCTCTCACGTTCAATATTTTCATATTCTGTTACATAGGCGAGCTGGTCGCTGAACAAGTAAGACTTCACACGTGTCTTTGTACTTAAACGTTCGACTCGTTCCAACAAAACGATGTTCCTTCTATTAACCGCCTGAACATGAAGTGATCTACACATTGTTCGGAGCAGACACTTCATAAGGAAACTTTGTTCTTCGATGTTCCAATGTGTAAAGTAACGCGACGCGAGATTGATACGAATGAAACCAACGAATAACGTTATAACAGTGCAGAAAAGTTGGCGTGATGTCTTACATGATTGATTGGTATCGATTGCCAGAGAACGATAAGCTCAGTTTGGTCCTGATAATGGCGATGTCGAACTCGTCCATGAAACTTACTGCCGGAAGCCTCGTTCAATTATCACTGACCACGTTCAGCGACGTAAGTATCCTATAAAAAGGTATAAAAAGTGAATGTGAGGATTAAAGAGCACACGTTGGACTAACAGGTTGTTAAAACGTCAGTTGCATTCCTGAATATGCTGCGAACATTGGCTTGAGAAGCGTGAATAATGCAGCCGAAACACCTGTTGCGCCATATTGCTCCAGGAAGTGAATTATATGATGGCATACCGTCATTTGTTGGTAGTTCCACCGGAGAGATGCCTCGAAACTCGAAGGAGTTATTCCTTATTCAATTATGAAATATTTAAGAATCTTTGTGAGTAGAAAATGAAATATTTATTTTGAATATATCGAAAAATGTTTATCATCTTAGACAAGTTTCCTGCGAAATCCCTTGTCCAAGGAAATTGTTCTGTAGTTCCTTGTGGCGATGATAATTATTTCCTAGCGTTCTTAAGTCAAATAACAAATTTAATTCTTAAGGTATTCGAGTGATTAAAATTTGGACGTTATTTCTACTGGACGATGCAAATTTCCGAAGTATTGTCTTCTTTCGACGTAGTATCTTACAATTGGCTCACAAATTCATTTGCAACAACTTGAAACATAATCTACCATATACTTCGATCCTACAACTTCAAGATATTCAAACCAATCCCTTATTTCACCTCGAAATACGTGACCATGCTTTTCGCAATTGCCGAGCATTAAGTAAAGTAGTTTCATAACAGAAACCATCGTTCCACGTCAACTCCAACACTCCAGAAGCAATAATTCGAAAAACTCCACCGGTTCACAAAGTTGCCCAAAGTATTTCGCACAAAATTCAGGACCTAAGTCCAATATATCCGTCGTAGCGCACTGTACGATCGCAACTGGCGTCGTCATATGTCCCTCGCGCAGCGTTCGATCCACCTCCCCTAGCGGTACCGATTGATGAGTGGCAATAATTATATCTTTAACGAATCACGATACGGTGGGTAGCTGGAAGTAAAGAAAAAAACAAAAACATAACGCATGCGCCAGCCATTGCGGTTGGGGTGGTCGGCGAGCGTGCAACTTCATCGATCACTCAACAACCAACCACCCCGTGACGACCATGGCGAACGTGCGTCGCGAGGAGTCGGTTAGCAACGTCCATCACGCTAAGGACTACAACTATACGGTGGAGGTGAACCGTTGGTTCCTGAAGCCAATTGGAGTCTGGCCGAATGGGGACGAGGCAACTAGAATCGAGAGATCGTTCTCTAAGCTGTTGAATGTCACGTGCCACTTGCTGATCACTTTCACCTTCGGTCCGTGCTTATTGTACATCATGTTCGAAGACGTCAGTTTGTACGCCAAGATGCAGGCGATAGGTCCCATGAGTCACTGGCTGATGGGCGAGCTGAATTACTGCAGCCTGTCCATGAAGACCACCGAGATCCTCCAATGCATGAGTTACGTCAAGATGGACTGGAAGACGGTCACGCGATCGAAGGACCGGCAGCTGATGCTGAAGAACGCGAGAGTCGGCCGCATGATCGCCCTTGTCGCCGCACTGTGCATGAACGTAGGCATCGTCTCCTACAACCTCGTCACGGGCTTCCAGAAAACCGTGTTCATCGAAGGGAACCAGACCTACCAAATGCTCCGGCTGCCCTGTCCGTTCTATACCAAGCTGATCGACGTCAGGCACAGCCCCATGAACGAGATCGTCTACACCATACAAATACTGTCCTCCTTCATGGTCAACTTCGTCACTGTCGGAGCTTGCGGATTGGCCGCAGTCCTTGCTACGCACGCCTGCGGCCAACTGAGCGTCGTCAGGTCGCAACTGGAGAGCCTGGTGGAGCAGGACCATGGGACCACCGCGCACAAGAAGCTGGCGGCCATCGTGGAACGGCATAGTCGAGCGTTGAAGTATTGCATTACTTTGTTTGAGGTTTGAGGAATGTTTGTGAGTTACGGGAATGGATTTTTGAGCGATGGGAAATTTGGAGGATAGGCTGTGCTGGGTTGAATTAGTATCGGTTACTTCAAAGCATTTGTTCTGAAGTGAGATTTTCTTGTTATACCATTGTGTTTGGGTTTGGTTTGTAAAAGGTGGATTAGCTAATTGGAGTTAAGTTGTTCGAATAAACGGTAAGAATTATATATTGAGAGAAATTTGTAGTGTAACGAGTAGTTTGCTTGCTTCGCTGTCGAAATATGAACGTTATTTGGAGCTTTTTTAATTCATTTACGTTGAAATAAATACTATAGAACTTACTGTTGGGCGGCGAAGTCGAAGCCGCCATTTTTACGCGTGACCGTGCAAGATGGCGCTGAACGTTTCCCGCTTCGCGGACATATTAGTCTGAGCCGAACGTGTTTAGCTATTGCACACTGATGGTATGTAAGCAAATTTATGTTCATTGATGAAAATATTCATTTCAGTTTTGTGTCGTATATAGAGAACATTATGCATCTTATATGTCTCGTTGAGTTAACGGGGTGCACGTTGAACATGTGTATGCTTGAATACTATATGCTCACGGTACGTTCAATGTTTGGCAATATGAATACAATGAAATTGTTTGTTGCAAGATATTTTTGAAAATGAAATTTTAGCACTTGCTTTAGTTTTCTATGGTTTAAAATACTTACATATAAAATTGCACAAATATTAAAATATCGAGCAATTGTATAGCGTTTTCGCTAAAAGTTTCGATTATTTCTTTGTCTAAATGTACATTGACTTCACAGGAAAACTCGAAACAAACCTTAGCTACGTACACCATTGTTTACGCGTCTATGGTTTGTAACATTTTCATCTTTTGTTACATTGGCGAGAAGCTGACGGAACAGGTAAAAGATTGTTGATACGAAAGAGCCGAATATTTAATCTTTGCAAGTGAATGGAAACCATTCTGCCATTCGTAAAATTTCATTCTGTCTTTTCGTGCAGTGCAGACAGGTGGGAGAGAAGGCATATATGACAGACTGGTATCGTTTACCTTACAAAACTGCCAACGGATTAGTTTTGGTGATCCTAAGGTCCGGATTGGTAACCAGACTCACCGCCGGAAAGTTGTTGCCGATGACAATTACAACGTTCGGCGACGTGAGTACGATAACAGCCATGGGAATCCGCTGTTTTTCAACTTTCAATCTGAAACACTAACATTTTCATCATTCTCGCGTTGTTTTGCAGGTGTACAAAACGTCTTTCGTGTACTTCAATATGCTTCGCACAGTTGCAATATAACTTGCGTTGTTCCAGAAAAGACATGGCATACATGCGTCTGTAAGTTCTTAATACATTACGACTAAGTGAGTATCCAGGATACTTTTAAAAATTTCTGTTGGTAGGACAATATCATGTGATCTTAATAAAACGTAATATTTAGCCTCTTCTTAATCTTGTGTAACGACAAATATGTCCAGATGTCAAATTTAAGCTCACTTACCCTCTACACAGATGTTAGAAAAATAAAATACGAGGACACTGCCAGCAGCTCGGTGTAGTTGTTCAAATTCCCAAAAGCGATCTATCGGTGTGCATTCGTCAAAAGGCCACTAGATCCGAATACGCGTCCAATATATCATCACACGAATGCACAGAGTCCCACAGTTTACCGATCAAAATACAAATGCCCAAACATCTCTCACCAAATCTTCGAACATCTTACAGTTTCAATTGCTCTCATGTGACCACATCACCGGTTAGCAAATTACCATCCTTATAAATCTCAGCCTAGCCATCAGGCGATCGCCCTACACCACACAACGTAAACGCGCTGCAAGCAGAGACCCGTTCACCGTCGCAACAAATTACACTCTGCAAACTGATCGATCAGCCGAAGAGGCAGAGCTTGATTCGCCGGATTCGCGCAAGCGTTCTCAGTTCGCATTTGCAACCGGCGCACACCGACCACTCGTCCCGCCGCAGACCTTTGTAACTTTAGTAGCATCTGCGACTTCGATCAGCGACCACGATGGTCGGGAAATCGGTGTCGGCCGAGGCGATAAGGAGAGGTGTCAACCTGGGCGACTACAGTCTGCAGTTCTGCCGGTGGTTCATGCTGCCGATCGGCGCTTGGCCGGCGACCGCGGAGACTAGTAAACGCGAGCGTTTCTTCTCGATCGCGTTGGTCGTCCTGTGTCTCAGTCTGGTAGGGTTCACGGTGTTCTGCGGCTTTCTGAACCTCATGCTGTCGGACGACGACATACGGCGCAAGCTGAAGATGTTCGGCCCGTGCGTCCACTGGACCGCGGGCGGTTGCAACTTGACGTTGCTGTTGTTGCGCGGCAAGGACATCCAGATCTGCATCGACCACATAAGAACGGATTGGCGCATCGTGACCAGGGTCAAGGACCAGGAGATAATGCTGAGGAACGCTAAAATTGGCAGGTTCATCTCGGTCACCTGTGGTGTTTGGCTGCAGTTCGGTGTCCTTGGCTTCTGCGTTGTCACCTCTATGGACCCCATACCCGTGCAGGTTGGCAACGAGACCAGACTCGTTCATCCCATGCCTTGCGGCGCTTACAAGAAAATACTGAACGTCGACGAAAGCCCGACCAACGAGATCGTGCTCGCTTCGCAGTTCTTTTCTGGCGCGATCGTCAACACCGTTGCTGTAGCCGCGTACAGCGTTGCTGCGGTATTTGCAGCACACGCGTGCGGCCAGTTAGATGTTCTCATGACGTGGATCAACGAGTTCGTGAATAAAACGGAAACGACACGGAAGGTGGTGGATTACTCTGAGATCGGGATAATCGTGGAGCATCATCTACGTGTTCTGAGGTAATTTTCTTTCTTATTTTACAGGTTTCGTTTCGCGTTTGATAGATATCTTGGATTGGGAATGTGCAAATAACTTTTGATTAAGAATGTTGATCAGCTTTGATCTATGAAATATTTTCTGTATAATATCTATATTAATATGCTTTGAATTAGTCTATATCGTTGATGAACGTGTATTATGGCTGGTATAACAGTATTTTATTTACCGAACTAATATTTCTGCTACAAAATTGTATAACCTTTCTAACTATCGAATTGTGGAAATTTCATACCGATGTTAATTACAGCTTCATATCGCGTATCGAAGACATAATGCAAAGGATATGTTTTATGATATTGGGCGCGTGCACAACGGACATATGCATGCTTTGCTATTACATTCTAACGGTACGCCAATGACGCTGGGAAACGCTTACATATTAAACGCACGGTGTTCTTCATCTCACAAGCAGAATTTCATGTTTCCACTGTGGGTATCGATAATGAAACCATATCAAATTAATTCCATTGCGAATACAGTGTTCATAATATTTTCAAATTTTCTCGGTACAAAAGTGTTCCTTAATAATCTTAGGTACTGCCATTAATTCGATACTGATGATTTTTAATTTCATTTGTAAACATGGCTACAATCTCCCCAGAGCATTGCGATTGTACCGAGGAAAGGAAAACTGTTTAAAATAATTAAACAGTTTTTAAATCGGTTTATAATACATTGGTCACCATAATGGCGGCGTTCGACTGTACCGACAAATATGCAGAAAATGTATGTACTTTTAGGAATGGCCCGACCGCAATTTTCAAAAGTTGTCCATATATACCGTTATTCTAGTGGCTTTTACGTTCAATGTATTCATAATGTGTTACATCGGCGAAATACTATCGGAACAGGTAAGCGAATTCGATCACGTTTAATACGAAGGCTTCATCGAATTGATCCTCAACAGTGCTTGAAAGTTGGGGAAGTGGTGTACATGACTAACTGGTATCACTTACCCGACAAAACAGTTCTCGATCTGATACTGATCATTAAAAGGTCGAGCGTGACGATCAAACTTACCGCCGGGAAGATTATCTACACGTCCATTTCCACGTTCGGCAGTGTAAGTACCGATTTATCGCCAACGGAAATAGAAATCCCCCGATTCTACTTAAACTTTTCGTTTCAGGTGATGAAAACTGCATTCGCTTACGTGAACTTTCTACGGAGGACAGCGTGATGTGAATAACGTTCGAGCAACACTCACACTATCTATAAATTTGTAGCTTTTTGCCAGGATTTGTATGATTTATTTCAAATAGCAGGATTCGAGAGCAGTACGGTATTCCTTTCGTGCTATCACATCACTTGTTGCACATAATACACACACAGAAAGCTGCCAGGGCAATTTGCGATTATTTCATTGGTTTTATATTTGCACGACCTATACGAAGAGGGATTCTAATGAATGAACGATAAATTACGTTACACGAGAGTGAGCAGCGTGATTTCAAGCCGGGTATGATGCACGATATATATATAGTGTACGATATATTATAGTACTTCTAAGTTTCGTCGTTACTTTTTATAAATATTCTATGTTTGCAATAAATAACCGATCAATTTATATTGACCGTGACTTCAGACACCCATAAATTCACGTACTCGTGTACTAGCAGGTATGAACTGATATTCTGTACATGAAATACGAAATTTGGATGGTTTGCAAACATCAAGAACTTCCGAATTTAAATATGCCATGCGCGTTCATTAATCTATAATAATTACCGCAGAACGAGTGTAATTAAATGGGTTTTAACAAACACGAAATTATAGTGCCTCAAAGAAAATATCACATTTCCTTATAAACATTGGAAGCTTTGAAGAATTTCATAACCATAAATATCTCTCAACTTTTACACACTTACGATGATTTCCCCCGTAAGAAACGCACCAACGATTCTTCTCTTTCTGGGCCGCATGGCGTTTGTCATCCAGTGATCAGCAACTCAATAAATCCCTCTTCAGCCAATAACTCAATCCTAAGGGCGAACGCGACAATTGCACCGAAGACACCAAGCGCAGAGCCGTAGTCTGCCAATTATTACCAATGACAATTACACCGTTCGGCCACGTGAGTACTATAACAGTCATGGGAATCCGTTGTTTTTCAAATGTAAATCTGAAACACTATTATTTTCATCATTCTCTCGATGTTTTCCAGGTGTACAAAACGTCTTTCGTGTACTTCAATATGCTTCGCACAGTTGCAATATAACTTGCATTGTTCCAGAAAAGACATGGCATACATGCATTTGTAAGTTCTTAATACACTACGACTAAGTGAGTATCCAGGATACTTTTAAAAATTTCTGTTGGTAGGACAATATCATGTGATCTTAATAAAACGTAATATTTAGCCTCCTTTTAATCTTGTGTAACGACAAATATATGCAGATGTCAAATTTAAGCTCACTTACCCTCTATACAGATGTTAGAAAAGTAAAACACAAGGACACTGCCAGCAGCACATTCAAAAAAACGATCTTCAGATGTATATTCGTTAAAAGGCCAGTTCGTTCAAATACGCGTCCAATGTAACATCACACGAATCCACAGAGTCCCACAGTTTACCGATCAAAATACAAATACCCAAACATCTCTCACCAAATCTTCAAACATCTTACAGTTTCAATTGCTCTCATGTGGCCACATCACCGGTTAGCAAATTACCATCCTTATAAATCTCAGCCTAGCCATCAGGCGATCGCCCTACACCACACAACGTAAACGCGCTGCAAGCAGAGACCCGTTCACCCTCGCAACAAATTACACTCTGCAAAGTGATCGATCAACCGAAGAGGCAGAGCTTGATTCGTCGGATTCGCGCAAGCGTTCTCAGTTCGCATTTGCAACCGGCGCACACCGACCATTCGTCCCGCCGCCGACCTGTGCAACTTTAGTAGCATCTCCGACATCGGTCAGCAACCACGATGGTCGGGAAATCGGTGTCGGCCGAGGCGATAAGGAGAGGTGTCAACTTAAGCGACTACAGTCTGCAGTTCTGTCGGTGGTTCCTGCTGCCGATCGGCGCTTGGCCGGCGTCCGCGGCGGCCAGCAAACGCGAGCGTTTTTACTCGCTCCTGTTGGTCGTCCTGTCTTTCAGTCTGGTAGGGTTCACGGTGTTCTGCAGCCTGCTGAACATGATGCTGTCGGACGACAGCATACGACTCAAGCTGAAGACGTTCGGCCCGTTCGTCCACTGGACCGTGGGCGGTTGCAACTTGATGTTGCTGTTGTCGCGCGGCAAGGACATCCAGCTCTGCATCGACCACATGAGAACGGACTGGCGCACTGTGAACAGGGTCAAGGACCAGGAGATCATGCTGAGGAACGCCAAAATTGGCAGGTTCATCTCGGTTACCTGTGCTGTCTGGCTGCAGGGCGGTGTCCTTGGCTTCTGCGCTGTCACCGCTCTGAGCACCGTGGCCGTGCAGGTCGGCAACGAGACCAGACTCGTTCATCCCATGCCCTGTTCCGTTTACAAGAAAATGCTCAACGTCGACGAAAGCCCGACCAACGAGATCGTGCTCGTCTCGCAGTTCCTTTCCGGCGCTGTCGTTAACACCGTTTCTGTAGGGGTGTACAGCATGGCCGCGGTGTTCGCAGCACACGCGTGCGGTCAGTTGGATGTTATCATGACGTGGATCGCGGAGTTTGTGAATAAAACGGAAAAGATACGGAAGGTGGTGCGTTACTCCGAGATCGGGATAATCGTGAAGCATCATCTACGTACTCTGAGGTAAGTTCCTTCTGAGATTGAACGTTTGTATCTGGAGCAGAAAGTTGCGAACGAAGGATTGAATTGTTGAAACAACTCTTGTGTTCAATATTTAAGAGTTTCATGTATGAACCATCTTCCGCTGCTGAATATCTTAGGAAATCCGTTATTTGCAATGGGTTAATGAGCTTTGATCTATGAAATATATTCTTTATAATAACCATGTTAATACGCTTTATATTAATTTATATCGTCGATGAAAGTGTATTATGGCCGATACAAGAGTGTTTTATTTATCGAACTGATATTCGAATTTGTCTTTACTTGTGAACATTTTATGCTGATGTTAATTACAGCTTCATATCGCATATCGAAGAGATAATGCAATGGATATGTTTTATGATATTGGCCGCGTGCACAACGGACATATGCATGCTTTGCTATTACATTCTTACGGTACGCCAATGACGCTGGGAAACGCTTACATACTAAACGCACGGTGTACTTCATCTCACAAGCAGAATTTCATGTTTCCACTGTGGGTATCGATAATGAAACCATATCAAATCAATTCCATTGCGAATACAGTGTTCATAATATTTTCAAATTTTCTCGGTACAAAAGTTTTCCTTGATAATCTCATGTACTGCCATTAATTCGGTAGTGATGATTTTTAATTTCAATTGTAAACATGGCTATAATCTCCCCAGATTCTTGCAATTGTACCGAGGAAAGGAAAACTGTTTAAAATGAATAAACAGTTTCCAAATCATTTAATAATACACTGGTCACCATAATGGCGACTGTATCGACAAATATGCAGAATATGTTTGTACTTTTAGGAATGGACCGAACACAATATTCAAAATTTGTCCACATATATCGTTATTCTACTGGCTTATACATTCAATGTATTCGTAATGTGCTATATCGGTGATATACTGTCGGAACAGGTAAGCGAATCCGATCACGCTTAAGGCGTCGGCTTCATCGAATTGATTCTCAACAGTGCTTGAAAGTCGGGGAAGTGGTGTACATGACTAACTGGTATTACTTACCTGACAAAACAGTTCTCGATCTGATACTGATCATTAAAAGGTCGAGCGTGACGATCAAAATTACCGCCGGGAAGATTATTGAAATGTCCATTTCCACGTTCGGCAGTGTAAGTACCGATTTATCGCCAACGGAAATAGAATTCCCTCGATTCTACTAAAACTTTTCGTTTCAGGTGATGAAAACTGCATTCGCTTATGTGAACTTTCTGCGGCAGACCACGTGATGTGAATAACGCTCGAGCAACACTCATAGTACCTATAAATTTGTAGACATTCTGCTAGAACTTATGCGATTCCTTTCAAATTCGGGAGAAGTAACACACATAATACACGCACAGAAAGCTGCCAGTGCAATTTCCAATTATTTCATTGGTTTTATATTTGCACGACCTAAACAAAGAGAAATTGTACTTTTTATAAATATTCTACGTTTGCAATAAATGATCGATCAAATTATATTGACCGTTACTTCAGGCAGCCAGAAATTCACTCATACACTAGCACGTATGAACTGATTCAGTACTGAAATTTTACTAATTATTTCATAGAAACATAGTAAAATTCAGTACATGAAACACGAAATTTCAAGCGTTTGCAAACATTAAGAACTTTCGCGCTTAAGTATGCCATGTGCGTTCATTAATCTACAATAACGACCGTAAATCGAGTGCAATTAAACAGGTTTTAACAAACACGAGGTTAAAGTGCCTCAAAGAAAACACATTTCCTTACAAACACAAGAAGCTTTGAAATATCTCATAACCACAAATATCTCCCAACTTCACGCACTTACGATTCACGCGTACGAGACGCACCAATGATTCAATTCTTCCGCATGATCTTCGTCAACCAGTGATCAGCAACTCAACGAATCCCTTCTGAACCAGTAACCAGTAACTCAGCACATCCCTCTTTAGCCAATAACTCAACTCGAATGTCGAACGCGACGAATGCACCGAAGTCACCAGTCAGCCAAGCGCACAGCCGCAGTCTGCCAAACATGTTAGCACCGTCCGCTGCAACAAGTTGCACTGACTACGCGAATCGATCGGCGAACAGCCGCGGCGGTTCCCGAAATCACCGCGCAAGCGTTGAGCTACACGGTTCATCGACTCGTCAATTTTTTAAAACACGCGACTCAGTTGCTGGCTGGTCTTTGATGAGCGACCATGACGTTCGAGAAAACCACGATCGAGTTGGACAATCCGAGCGATTACAGTCTACAGTTGAACAGATGGTACCTGAAACCGATCGGTGCCTGGCCGGCGTCGTCGTCTAGCTCCAGGCTCGAGCATATCGTGTCGATAGTGTTGATCGTGATCAGTTACTTCGCCATATCTTTCACCGTGATCCCGTGCATAATGCACATTGTCCTCGAGGACGAGGACACTCAGAAGAAGCTGAGAGGGCTGGGACCGCTGAGCCATTGGCTGGTCGGCGGTATCAATTACACGACGCTGCTGGTGCGCAGCAAGCAGATACGCCGCTGCGTGGAACACCTGCAGGTCAACTCGTAGATTAACCCTTTGTTTCATGATTTCTTTCACAACCGTGCTTAATCGCACTACTTTGTCGTTAACACTTTGTGTCTACGTTTACTTTAAATGTCGGAGATCGATAATGGACGAGTAATATTCCATTTAACATGTTCTTTGCTACTCTCGTGTTTAGTGCGCGTCGCGACGCTCGTGTTTAACTCGCTGGTTTCCATGATTTCTTTCTATAGTCGCAGAACGCAATTTGACACATGATATTTTAGAAACAACAATTTCGAAACATGAAAGTTTCGAAAAGTTGACGAAACGTTCGTGATTTTTCTTAGTGTATCTACTTCATCAGTTGCAGCGGAAACGAAAGTTTAATCAGTATTATCCATTAGTTTCCTTCAGACATGTTTCATTACTAAATATCCCATCTTTCTCCCTGGGACCAACGTCGGAGGGTTAATCTACAAGTTCACCACCCGCAGGTCGACTGGCAGATCGTGTCTAGGGTGAAGTATCAAGAGATGATGCTGAAGAACGCGAGGCTCGGCCGATACGTGTGCATCTTCTGCGCAGCGTTCATGCAGGGCGGCGTGCTCGGCTACTGTTTGGTCACCGCGCTGTCCACGGAGCTCGTGGAGTCCGAGAATGGGACCAGGGTCGTGCACATATTGCCCTGCGTGTTCTACAAGAAGGTACTGAACACAGACACCAGCCCCACGAACGAGCTCGTGCTCGCGTCGCAATTTCTGTCTGGGTTTATCGTCAACTCCAGCGCCGTCGGAGCGTTCAGCCTGGCCGCGGTCTTCGCGGCGCACGCTTACGGCCAGCTGGACATCGTAATGATAAACATCACCGAGTTGGTGAATAGGTACGAAGAGAGAAACACCAGGATCTACGTCAGCGAGATTAGAATGGCCGTGGCGAGCCACATGAGGGCTCTAAGGTAATGGGTTCGTTCTTGTAATCGAGATCATCGTGTCCGTTACCATTTACTTGTTTTATAGTGTTCTTTCTCTTTCTCACTTTTGAGCCACAAGCTGGCTCGACTAATGCGAGATTTCTATGGTACGCGCATCTCATTTCATCGCACTTCGTTTCACTTGCGTTCTTTGTCGCGCGATTTAGGTCGAAAGAGGCGAACAGTAAAGTATCGACTGCGCGCGGTAGAGAGGGATTTTGTCAGATCGATTTGATTTGAATAAACAGGTGATCTTGCAGATGATATTTTATTAATTGCAGTCTCATATCGTATATCGACGACATGATGAGCCGGATATGTTTCTCGGAATTGTTCCACTGTACCATCGGTGTATGCTTCCTTGGATATTATATACTTACGGTACGCGAATGATATTACAAGCACACGAAATAGATGATAATTAACGTTTTTGCCAGGCGAATCTGTTAACGTGCCCGCGATCTAGATTCCTAGCGAAATGTACGTACATCATTTTAGGTACGTAATCATTGAACATTTGTTACCTCGTACAGATTATAAGAATTTGAATAATGTTGATATTTGTATTAATATATTACAGTCTTTAGTATGGAAGATGAATTTTTATGTTATTTTCATTTTTAAGAAGTAGCGTCGAAGAATAATATCTTAATGGGATAATCTCTAACCAAAAACCGATATGGCGGTGAACGTTTTGTCTAATTACAGCTATAACATGACTTTCAGGTTTAAACAGAATCGAAATATTTATGAAAAGAACGGTTTATATACATTTATTTCATAACTTCTATAGATATATACATAACTGTCGTACTTACTCGAGGCGTCGAGCGTCACTACCTTACCACGCATTGAAATCACCGACGCGAAGTTCGCGCGGATCACGTTCGCGACTGATTACGAAAGTCTACTATTTAAATCCCTTTGTTTCACACACGGAGGAACCGTGTTAGAACCAAAGCTGCATTTTTCATTAATTTTACATGTATAACAACACGAGAGAAATCTACAAAGAATTATCTTAGAAGAAGCTATTCATAACTGTATCGTATCGACAACTTGTGTATTCTCTGTCGACTGCTTGAAAAGATGAGAGTGTTGTTCTTTTAGGAATGGAGCGATCACGATTTTCAAAATCTGGCCACCTACTTCATGATACTGTGTTCGATGACGTTCAACATATTCGTACTCTGTTATATCGGTGAAATACTGACGGAACAGGTAACGAAGGCACGCTCTGGCGCAATCGAGTAAGACCAAGAGATTCACCGAGTGCATTCCCAACAGTGCAAGAAAGTCGGCGAGACGGTGTACATGACAGACTGGCATTGCTTACCTTATAAATACAGCCACGACCTGTTAATGATCATCTCGAGGTCGACCGTGATGATGAAAATCACCGCCGGCAAAATGGTTCACATGTCCATTTACACGTTCGGCCAAGTAAGTGTCTCTGAATTGAACTTCGCGTCGGAATCGAACGGCGGCGATCACTGTTCTCGATGAATCCGTGTCGTTTCAGGTAATGAAATCTTCCTTCGCGTACTTGAATTTGTTGCGACAAACCACGTAACACGCGGACTCGCGTTAAATCGTTGTTGGTACCACGTGTGCAGACTTCCGGATAAATTTACGTAGAACCTGAAATAGAATTACCAATGTATCGCTGTACTAATGTACTAATGTACCGATATACCGATGTACCTACTAATGTACTAATGTACTAATATGCCGGTGTACATTAGTTGGTACTAATATACCATATACATTAACAGGTGCTATTGTACCAACGTACTAATGTAGTTCCACGTGGAATACATTCTTTAAAGCATTATACACGAACATGCTGTTTTACTTTATTCTTGCATGAAGGTAAGTAAGTTCTGTTTACAAATCTTCTCAACAGATTTCATATGGTTGTGAATTTTGACAATTCTAAATCTACAATATTCAAATGCTATGTCATCCAACTATGCGAATACCCTTGGATATGCGTTTTAGAGAGGGACAGAGAGAGTTGTAACGAAGAGAATATATCTCTAATAATTAGTTTATTCTGTAATAAAATGCACTCCGTAAAACTACCAGGGGATTTCTTCGTAGATAATCAGAACAAAAATTCCTACAATACCTATTACGTATAATTACGTAATTGTCAAACCACAGAATCGCAATATTTTTTATCCTACAAAAACAAGGGAAGATAGGTAAAATTATACTAACACGTAAACAGAATTTCCTCTGTCTAATTTTCTAAAGCCCTCCAATAGAGACCCCAAAAGAGAACAAGAATATTTCGAAATTAGCACAAAATGGCACGCAAAAAAATTCTTTTCCACTTCACAAAATGAATATCATCCGAACCAGAACATTCACGCAATCCATTCTTTTCCTACCTACCTTCTATACCTCGAGCTCTTCACAAACGAATGAACAGGTCCCAAGAGCCCGACCCGCGTTTACCCTATCCAGTTCCAGCGATACGATTCTACTCGATGTCCCCTCTCACGCGATCGCGAAAAAAATACAACCGACGAACAGAAAAAAATACAAGTTCTCAGAATTGCGATTAAAGTTTCAAAGGCACGACCTCTGCATCGAGCATCGCGCGGTGGCAAACTTTAATTCATCATGCCACAATGATCGAGGGTCAAAGTGGTGAGCACATGCGCGACCCCGACGGTTCGTCAATCAATGTAACGCATTATTCAGGGTTCGTCTGTCAGTTGTGCGTGCAACCAGCGCAATGATTGCACCAGCGGACATGACTGAGCTGGAGGAGATCGATTGGATGTACAGCGTCCAGATAAACCGTTGGCTGATGAGGCCGATCGGTGTCTGGCCGATTTCTTTATGCCTCGGCATCGTGGAGAAACTCAGCACGGTGACGCTGGCTTTAATCAGTACCTTTCTAATAGGATTTCTCCTCGTCCCGTGCGCGCTGTGCACCATCCTCGATAAAACCGGCGACCTGGACGCTAAGATCAAGATGATCGGCCCGCTCAGCTTCTGCGTGATGGCCGCCGTCAAGTACTACATCCTCGTGTCTCGCAGCGGCAAGATCAGCAGCTGCATATGGACCATCAGGTCCGACTGGGCGCAATGCGCCGCGGGGATAATGAACGAGAGCAAAGAGATCATGATCGAGAGCGCGAAGTTCGGCAGATCGCTGGCTGTGTTCTGCGCCGCGTTCATGTACTCCGGGGGGTTTTTCTATACCACCGTGATGCCATTAGCTTCTAAGAGGACGGAGATCATCGACAACGAGACGGTTAGGTCCCAAGCTTTCCCGATCTACCGCGGCCTCCTCGATCCTAGGACCAGCCCGTCGTTCGAGATCGTGCAACTGATGCAGTGCTTGGCTGGGTTCGTCATATACTCCGTCACCGTCGGCGCCTGCAGTCTGGCTGCGGTGTTCGTCACCCACGCCTGCGGCCAGTTCAAGATCCTGACGGCGAAGCTCGACCGATTCGTGAACAACTCGCTGGAGAAGGTTAACGCGAAGATCAGGGAGGAAAGTTTAGGGGATATCGTTGAGCATCATTTGAAGATACTACGGTAAATTTTGGAATTCTTTTTGCTAACGTGGAAATGATGATGTTGGGATGTCTGGGGTTGCTCGTTGAGTTCGCGGTTGCCGCCGTGAGATTATTGTGGCAGCGTTGATGCTCTGGTGGACGATTGAAGGGTGCTTTGTGGGATGGAGTAGAGATGATTGTGGTTAATGGGTATACATGCGAAGCTGGTGCGATCGTTTGAATAAGCTGATTTCCTCCGTGCAGCGCAGACAGACAAACTTGAGGAATTTTTAGTTTTATACAGCAGGTTGAAGAACTTCTGAACGAGGTGTGCTTCGTGGAACTCATTGGATGCACGCTGAACATATGCTTCTTAGGGTATTATTTGCTGACGGTGAGATTATGAGTTATGCTGAGAGTGGTACAATAAAGTGAGAAATTTTGAAAATGCTATCATAATTCATTGCTAAAACAGCAATATGTTTATACGTATATTTGTATATATTTCTGTGGATATTAATGTGTCTCGAATGAATGATCAAAATGTTCCACTTTACTGGAAACTCCTTCGCCACTAACATTACGTTCAATCGTATTAACCTTGAAACTACGTCAGTCTTCTAGGAATGGGAGCAAAGCGATGCTATCGGGACACTGACATATTGCACGTTATTAATATCATTTACATTCAATATTTTTATACTGTGCTACATCGGCGAAATTCTCTCCGAAGAGGTATATGCTTCAGTGTAGTAGCAGTTAACACTGGAACTACCGTAGTTAAAATGATCGGTTTTCATATTTCTATTCTGTAATTTCTGAAAGCATAAAAGAGTTAAATGCCTAAGGCCGTTCTCAAAGTTAATAATTTTTAAACGGTTTAAGGAATGTCAGTGAAAATGAAAAAATATGTATCCTTACAATTTTTATCAGAATTACGAAGTAATTGTATCGAATGTTCGGTAGTTCCAGTGTTAATCTCGCCTGAGGTGGTACATGAAATATCAATGTCTTTTTTTCAGTGCATAAAACTCGGCTTGGCAGCTTACATGATCGACTGGTACCGCTTACCTGGAAAGGACGCTCTCGGTTTGATACTGATATTCGCCATATCCAACAGTTCCATAAAATTGACTGCTGGAAAGCTCGCTGAGCTGTCGTTGGCCAGTTTTTGCAGCGTAAGTAGGCATCGCGTTATTCTACGGTTTCTCCTTCGTTCGTTGATTGAGGTTGAATACATTTCAGGTGCTAAAATCGGCTCTGGCTTACTTGAGCTTGCTTCGTACGCTCACTACATAAATAAATGTACCATTCGTTTAATCTGGAAATAAATATATTTTGAAGAATGGTTTTTCTGCAACAATCGAGGTTCAATTTAATAGATTATATAATATGTATATATATACCTGAACAAGTACAGGACAGGGAATAAGAATAGGCATTTGAAAAATTACTAGACATTGGTAGAATGTAAGTATACACATATTAAGAATTTTTGATAACGAGAAACTTATTGCCAAACACATATCGTGATTTTCCAAAAGTACAGAAATAAAATAGTAGCAGAATTGAATACTAATCTAAATACTAAGGCTATAATTACAAAAAGATTGAAAGCAAACGTGAAAAACAAGTGCTCACCACTATAACTCGCGTTCCAAGAAAAAGACAATAGTCCCGCCAACAGACTGTCAGACAGTTTCAAAAATGAATACCAGCATAGAACAGTACTTCAAAGAAGTTTTCGCCAACTCTTGCATTCAGGAAAAAAACAGTCTATAACCCGCCGTAAACTTTGTCTAACCCCTTGTCGCTGTAACATCCCCCGCTTGATCATTTAGTATTCTCAGAGCCTATAGACCGCGTGATTTTTAATTTATTCTGAACGGAGGGTCACAGGACTCTTGTTCATAAACTTCTATAAATTCTTCAGTTATCATCAACATTTACTAACAATAGTTCACGCCTTTCACCACTTCGTCAGAATTACATTCTTCCTATACAACTATACAAGCAAACGAAAAGGAAAAAGGAACCGAAAAATCTCTTCCATCTAATTAACAGCACTAACCCGTAATTTCTATTAATAAATTACCTCTTTCAGACACTCAAGCTTGATTAATCGTAGCAACAAACCAACCATTTACCCTTTTCTATTCGTCCTCTCGTCCCCGACTGTCTACAATACAGCAACTTCAATAACTTCCACCTTAGGAGAGAATGGAAACCCATATCTATTATTCCTCGTGCATTATTGGTCTCCCCCTTTGAAACTCGATTCACAGCGCAAACACGCGATTTGTCAAAAAAAATTCAATGTTACTTTGTGCGCGCTTGCGTTCTGACGATACCAATGCCAGCTTCGAATAGCGGCGCGTTCAGTCTGCGACGTGCGCCTATATGGTCACCATGTACGATCGAACAGCCAGCGTAGAGGGGAGCTACCCGAAAAACTACAATCATGAGGACGATCTGAAATACACACTGGAGATGTGCCAGTGGCTGCTGAAGCCGCTCGGCGTGTGGACCCTGATTTACCGGCGCGTTAGCAAACTGGGGCGAGTTGCCTCGATCGTGATGCTGTTCCTTTGCTCCTCGTGTTTCCTATTCGTCATCGTACCGTCGTTCAACAATATTTTCTTCGTGGAGAAGAACGTGGCGAATAAAGTGAAGCTGTTCGGTCCCGCCGGTTTCTGCGTGTTCTCCACGGTAAAATACTGTTATCTGGGAGCTAGGGGCAAGATCTTGGGTCAATGCATCGAGCACGTGGAGCAGGATTGGAGGATGGTGCAGCACCAGGATTACCGAGCCATCATGCTGAAACAAGCGAGCATCAGCAGACGCCTGATCGTCGTATGCGTGGTTTTCCTTTACACCGGGGGCATGTCCTATCACACGGTGTTGCAGTTCCTGTCGAAAAAGACGGTCAAGCAGAACGTTACCGTGAGACCGCTCGCTTATCCTGCCTTCGAGTTCCTCGACCCTCAGTCCACTCCCGCGTACGAGATCATCTTCGTTCTCCACTGCATTTCAGCGATGATGATGTACACCGCCACGTCGGCAGCGTACAGTCTGGCCGCGACCTTCGTCATGCATATCTGCGGGCAGATCCAGATACAGATCATACGATTGGAGAACTTGATCGACGAAAGTCGGGGGAGGAATAACTTTCACGAGCGTATGGCGATCATTGTTCGGGATCACGTCAAGGTGCTCAGGTAAAGTGATGGGGTGGCTTGGAAGTGGTGTGCTGGTGGAAACCAAACTTTGGTAAATCGTAATGTAAGAAGGTTATGGAAAAAGGACAGTTCAGCTGTGCTTATTGGAGAAGGTAGGAAGATGTAGATCGGTAACAACCCTTTCTATGTAAATGTTAAACTTATATTGTCCTGGACAAAATGAAATCATGGGTAGATCCAGAAAGGCTGAAAGGAAATGATGAAAGGGGTACGGAAATGAGTAAAGAAAAATGGTATTTTGAACATTTCGGGGATACTGACCTGGTGGACTGAATTTATGAATGCTTAAAACTCTTGTGCTAATGCAATATGCAGTATCCCTTCCAGCATCGTCCTTTACGGACCCCTTTATACCTGTGATTGCGTGCAGTGCACGCTGGTTGGGTTTGTACACCGAGGTTACCTGGTTCCATTTGGAAACACATTTTTAAAGACAACGAATTTAATGAGACGTTGCCAGTCATTTAAAATCATTCTGTTAATGTGTATGTATTTTGATTTCTATGTAATCTGGTACTATCATGTCTTTTGTATCGAATATTCTAGGTTTTCTAAGAACGTCGACGAAGGTTTGCGCGAGATATGCTTGACAGAGATCGCGGACTCAACGTTGTCCATGAGTCTGCTTGAATACTATTGCATGACGGTAAAAGATTGTCCATCAGTATATCATTAGAACCGCATGTTATACTTGTAATATCATTTACTGTTACTGCTCTGCTTTCAGGAGTGGCAGAATAACGACACGGTTGCGATAGCCACGTATTTTATGTTGTTGACCTCCTTCACTTTCATTCTATTCATTTATTGTTACGTCGGTGAGCTCCTGTCCGAACAGGTATTTATCAACAATATCCATCCATTAGGTGCACTCATTACATATTTACCGGAATCAGTTTCTGAAAAAAAGTGTCGAGAATTTCATTCTGTGTCGTTTGTGAAATGAAAAAATGAATGGATAGTTCTCCGATAGTAAGTTTACATATCCCAAGTTAAAAATTTAAAGTATCATGGTTTTGGTAAATGAGATTAATTTCAAATAATACCGAGATGATGCTTCGTCAGACTATACCATTATTGTTTCTTAGAATGTGTACTTTTGTTGAATGTTTTAATGTTTTATTAGTGCAGTCAAATTGGCCGAGTTTCCTACAATATTCATTGGTACAATTTATCAGCGAGGGAGGCCTATAATTTCGTCCTACTGGATGCCATATCACTTTATCCGCCTAAACTAACCGCTGGAAAAATTATTGAACTCTCTATGAACACGTTCGGCATTGTAGGTGATTTCATTGATGTTTTTCATGTTTTTTTTTAAATTACATATTTCCAATGTGCAGCGGATTTTTAAAGGTATGTTGTCTTTCAGGTGGTGAAGACATCTGTGGTGTACTTGAACTTACTTCGAACGGTTACTTAGTAATATACTGTATAATCATTCTCATTGTTACTGTTATCTGATTGCCATGTTACGATCAAATGAATATTTTTTCAGATTTTCTACGATACTTATTGACAGAACGCCTTTAGTGGAACATATTCACTCGGATGGAATGTTTCCACCAAGCAGGTTTGTAAATTAGGTAGAAGGAAGAACTATGCCTGAATTAGAATGTTTGACCAGGACAACAGCTCGAAAATACTATTCATAAAAGAACCGGTTTGTTTAAATAAAACTTTAATAAAAGTTTCAAAATTCGTACATTTTTTCTCTAAGGAATGGAAACAAAAAGTACTACTAACGAATAATAAAGGATAATGTACTAGCTCTATGAAATCTTTACTAACCTTGACCAGTCACACAATTGCGGTTGAGACAATTTGGTTAACACAAGTAAAGCACAGGACAAAAAACAATCTAAACAAACTGTGCCCTCCTCTTGATAATAACCATTTGTAATTTCAGCATGCACCTTCATCTGTCTTACCCAAGCTTGATTTACCGTAGTTGTAAATCTACAGATACGCATGTCTATCTTCCCTTCGTCCTGGACTCCCGACGCAAACTCGAGCCCCTAGAAAGAACGAACGTACTTATCTATTATTGACCTCCCCCTTTAGAGCCCGATTTATAGCGTGAACACGCGATTCGTCAAAGAAAGTTTTATCGCTTCCCTCTACACAACACCAGACGCAAACCCTCCCCGCCGGCCAATACAATGCTACCTTACGTGCGCTTGCGTTCTGACAATACCAATGCCAGCTTCGAACATCGGCGCGTTCAGTCTGCGACGCGCATCTATATGGTCACCATGTACGATCGAACATCCAGCGTAAAGACGAGCTACCCGAAAAACTACAATCATGAGGACGATCTGAAATATACACTGGAGATGTGCCAGTGGCTGCTGAAGCCGCTCGGCGTGTGGACTCTGATCTACCATCGCGTCAGCAAATTGGGGAGAGCTGCCTCGATCGTGATGCTGTTCCTTTGCTTCTCGTGTTTCCTATTCGTCATCATACCGTCGTTCAACAATATATTCTTCGTTGAGAAGAATGTGGCAAATAAAGTGAAGGTGTTCGGTCCGGCCGTTTTCTGCGTGTTCTCCACTGTGAAATACTGTTATCTGGGAGCGAGGGGCAAGATCTTGGGTCAATGCATCGAGCACGTGGAGCAGGATTGGAGGATGGTGCAGCACCAGGATTACCGAGCCATCATGCTGAAACAAGCGAGCATCAGCAGACGCCTGATCGTCGTATGCGTGGTTTTCCTTTACACCGGGGGCATGTCCTATCACACGGTGTTGCAGTTCCTGTCGAAAAAGACGGTCAAGCTGAACGTTACCGTGCGACCGCTCGCTTATCCTGCCTTCGAGTTCCTCGACCCGCAGTCCACTCCCGCGTACGAGATCATCTTCGTTCTCCACTGCATTTCAGCGATGATGATGTACACCGCCACGTCGGCAGCGTACAGTCTGGCCGCGACCTTCGTCATGCATATCTGCGGGCAGATCCAGATACAGATCATACGATTGGAGAACTTGATCGACGAAAGTCGGGAGAAGAATAACTTTCACGAGCGTATGGCGATCATTGTTCGGGATCACGTCAAGGTGCTCAGGTAAGGTGTGTGGTGGTTTGGATGTAGTGTGCTGGTGGAAATCGAACTATTGATAAATTATAAGGTAAGAAGGTTAACGAAAAGGGATAGTTCAGCTGTGCTTATTGGAGAATGCAGGAAGATTTAGATTTGTATTAACCCTTTCTATGTAAATGTTACACTTATATTGTCTTGGACAAAATAAAAGCATGATTAGATCCAGAAAGGCTAAGACGACGAATTTAATGAAACGTTGCCAGTCATTCAAAACCATTCTGTTAATGTGTATGTATTCGGCTTTCTATGTCATCAGGTACTATCATGTCCTTTGTATTGAATATTCTAGGTTTTCCAAGAACGTCGACGAAGGGTTGCGCGAAATATGCTTGACAGAGATAGCAGACTCAACGTTGTCCATGTGTATGCTTGAATACTATTGCATGGCGGTAAAAGATTGTCCATCAGTATATCATTAAAACCGCATATTGTACTTGTAACATCATTTACTGTTACTGCTCTGCTTCTAGGGGTGGAAGAATAATGACACGGTTGCGATAGCCACGTATTTTATGTTGTTGACCTCCTTCACTTTCAGTATATTCATTTATTGTTACGTCGGTGAACTCCTATCCGAACAGGTATTTATGAATTAAAAAGAATGAATGAATGGCTAATTTTTCTATAACGTAATAAAAATTGATATTATTATGGTTTTCGTATATGTGGTTAATTTCAAATAATGTCGAAATGATGCTTCGGTTAGACTATACCATTATTGTTTCTTAGAATCTGTATTTTGTTAAACATTTTAATGTTTTATCAGTGTAGTCAAATCGGCCGAGTTTCCTACAACATTCATTGGTACAATTTATCTGCGAGGGAGGCCTATAATTTCGTCCTACTGGAAGCCATATCACTTTATCCGCCTAAACTCACCGCTGGAAAAATTATTGAACTCTCTATGAACACGTTCGGCACTGTAGGTAATTTCATGGTTGTTTTTTGTTTTTTTGAAATTTCATTTTTCCAACTTGTAGCTGATTTTATGTTGTCTTTCAGGTGGTGAAGACATCTGTAGTGTACTTGAACTTACTTCGAACGGTTGCTTGGTAATATACTGTACAATCGTTCTCATTGTTACTGTTACCTGATTGTCATTTCACGATCAAATGTATATTTTTCCAGATTTTCTACGATAACTATTGCTAGAACTATTGCTTAGTGGAACGTATTTACTCGGATGGAATGTTGCCACCAGGCAGCTTTGTAAATTATGTAGAAGGACGCAACATTCCTGAATTAGAATTTTTGACTACAAAAATAGCTCATAAATACCATTCGCAAAAGCACCGGTTTGTTTACATAAAACTTTAATAAAAGTCATTTCGATCTTCGTTCATAATTTTTGTAAGGAATGGTGATATTCATTGTATACGTGCGTGCATGCGTAATGTCTCCGAAAAGTACTACTAACCAATAATAAAGGATAGTGTACTAGTTGTATCAAATCTTCTTTACTAACCTTAATCAGTCACATAATCGCGGGTGATACAATTCGGTTTACACAAATAAACCAAAGGACAAAAGACAATCTAAACAAACTGTCCCCTCCACCTAATAACAATTTGTAATTTCAGCATGCACCTTCAGCCGTCATGCACAAGCTCGATTTACCATAGTTGTAGATCTACCGATACACATGTCCATCTTCCCTTCGTCCTGGACTCCCAATGCAAACTCGAGTCTCTGGAAAGAACGAACGTACTTATTTATTATTGATCTCCCCCTTTACAGCCCGATTCAAATCGTGAACACGCGATTCGCCAGAAAAAATCCGATCGCTTCCCTCTACACGACGCCAGACGCAAACCGTTGCAGTCGACCTATCCAATGTTACTTTGTGCGCGCTTGCGTTCTGACGATACCAATGCCAGCTTCGAACAGCAGCGCGTTCAGTCTGCGACGCGCGCCTATATGGTCACCATGTACGATCGAATAGCCAGCGTAGAGAAGAGCTACACGAAAAACTACAATCATGAGGACGATTTGAAATACACACTGGAGATGTGCCAGTGGCTGCTGAAGCCGCTCGGCGTGTGGACGCTGATCTACCACCGCGTCAGCAAATTGGGGAGAGCTGCCTCGGTCGTGATGCTGTTCCTTTGCTTATCGTGTTTCCTATTCGTCATCATACCGTCGTTCAACAATATATTCTTCGCGGAGAAGAACGTGGCGAACAAAGTGCAGCTGTTCGGTCCGGCCATTTTCTGTGTGTTCTCCACGGTGAAGTACTGTTACCTGGGAGTGAAGGGCAAGACCTTGGGTCGCTGCATCCAGCACGTGGAGCGGGATTGGAGGATGGTGCAACACCAGCACTACCGAGCCATCATGCTGAAGCAGGCGGGCATCAGCAGGCGCCTGATCACCGTATGCGCGGCTTTCCTTTATATAGGGGCCATATCCTACCTCACGTTGTTGCAGTTCTTGTCGAACGAAATGGACACGCTGAACGTTACCGCGAGATCGCTCGCTTACCCTTGCTTCGAGTTCCTCGACGTTCAGTCCAGTCCTACCTACGAGATCGTGTTCTTCCTTCACTGCCTCGCGGGGATCATCATGTGCACCGCCACGATGGCCGCGTACAGTCTGGCCGCGACCTTTGTCACGCACATCTGCGGGCAGATCCAGATACAGATCATACGACTGGAGAACTTGATCGATGAGAGTCGGGAGAAGAATAACTTTCACGAGCGTATGGCGATCATTGTTCGGGATCACGTCAAGGTGCTCAGGTAAGGTGATGGGGAGGTTTGGAACTGTGCTGGTGGAAATCAAACTTTTGACGAATAATAATGTAGGAAGGTGCTTCTCGGTTTATTTGTACGTTTGACGCGTTATTGGAGAAGGTAGGAAGATGTAAGTGTTAAGCTTATAATCTCTTGGACAAAATGAGAATATGGTTAGGTCCAAGAAGGTTAAGAGGAAATTATGAAAGGGGTACGAAATTCAGTAAAGAAAACTGGTATTATGAACATTTCTGGTGATACTGACCTAGTGGATTGAATCTATGTCTTAAGGTTGCAAATGGGTTGTCGATATATACACGATTATTGTATCGTGTAGGTCAATATCAGGTTTTCTGATATGTTATTAAAGAGAAACTTCTATGATTGCTGCGTAGGACAGTGAGTTTCTACGTGACATAGTCGCTTGATAGCAAGACAGTTATTCGTTGGTCACATGCAAGTTGGTAAAACTTGCTAAAGCAATATGCAGTATCCCTTTTAGCATCGTCCTTTACGGATCCCTTTATACCTATGGTTGCGTGCAACGCACACCTGTTGGTTTGTACATCGAGGTTACCCGGTTGCATTTGAAAACACATTTTCAAAGAGCACGAATTTAATGAAACGTTACCAGTCATTCGAAACTATTCTGTTAATGTGCATGTATTTTTCTTCCTATGTGATCAGGTACTATAATGTCCTTTGTATTGAATATGGTAGGTTTTCTAGGGACGTCGACGAAGGCTTGCGCGAGATATGCTTGACAGAGATCGCGGACTCAACGTTGTCCATGTGTATGCTTGAATACTATTGCATGCTGGTAAAAGATTGTCGATCAGTATATCGTTAAAACCGCGTATTATGCCTGTAATATCATTTACTGTTACTGATCTGCTTCCAGGGGTGGAAGAATAATGACAAGATCGCGATGGTCACGTATCTTATGTTGTTAACCTCCTTCACTTTCACTGCATTAATCTATTGTTACGTGGGTGAGCTGCTATCCGAACAGGTATTTATAAATAATATTCATGCATTAGGTGCACACATTAGATATTTGACAGAATCAGTCTGTGAAAAAAAGTGTTAAGAATTTCATTCTGTGTCGTTTGTAAAATGAGAAGAACGAATGAATAATTCTCCATGAGCAGGATTATCTATCACACATGAAAAATTTTAAATATCATGGTTTTGGTAAATGAGATTAATTTTAAATAATATCGAGATGATGCTTCGTCGGACTATGCCATTATTGTTTCTTATAATCTGTGCTTTTGTTAAACAGTTTGATATTTTGTCAGTTTAGTCAAATTGGACGAGTTTCCTACAATATTCATTGGTACAATTTATCAGCGAGGGAGGCCTATAATTTCGTCCTACTGGAAGCCATATCACTTTATCCGCCTAAACTCACGGCGGGAAAAATGATTGAACTCTCTATAAATACATTCGGCATTGTAGGTGATTTCGTGGCTAATAATGTTTCCAATGTGTAGCGGATGTTTTAAGATATATATTTTTGTAGGTGGTGAAGACATCTGTAGTGTACCTGAACTTACTTCGAACGGTTGCAACTTGGTAATATACTGTATAATCGTTCTCATTGTTACTGTTACCCGATTGTCATTTTACTATCAAATGAACATTTTTTTCAGATTTTTTACGATACCTATTGCTAGAACGCCTTTAGTGTAACATATTCACTCGGATGGAATGTTCCCATCAGGCAGTCTTGTAAATTATGTAGAATAATTACCCCTAATACTATTTATACCAGAACCGGTTTGTTTAAATAAAACTTTAATAATAGTTATTTAAAAATTCCTACATTATTTTTCTAAGTACCACTACCCAATAATGAAGGATAGTGCACTGGTTGTATGAAATCTTATTTACTAACTTTGAATAGTTACAGAATTGTAGGTGATACAATAGCTGTGCTTCTCTATTTATATATTTAATTTGACAAATATGTTACAAAATAACACAAATCTGATCGTACTTACATTCCGTATGAGAGCTGAGTAGCTTTTGGACTGTACAGATCGTTATTTTTCAGCTTCCGATACTCCTTCCTACCGATACACGTGCCCATCTTCCCTTCGTCCTGGACTGCCGACGCAAACTCGAGCCTCTGGAAAGAACGAACGTACTTATCTATTATTGACCTCCCCCTTGGCAATCCGATTTATAGCATAAACACGCGATTCGCCAGAAAAAGTTCGATCGCTTCCCTCTACACGACGCCAGACGCAAACCGTTGCAGTCGACCTATCCAATGTTACTTTGTGCGCGCTTGCGTTCTGACGATACCAATGCCAGCTTCGAACAACGGCGCGTTCAGTCTGCGACGCGCGCCTATATGGTCACCATGTACGATCGAACATCCAGCGTGAAGAGGAGCTACCCGAGAAACTACAATCATGAGGACGATCTGAAATACACGCTGGAGATGTGCCAATGGCTGCTGAAGCCGCTCGGCGTGTGGACGCTGATCTACCATCGCGTCAGCAATTTGGAGAGAGCTGTCTCGATGATAGTGCTGTTCCTCTGCTTCTTCACTCTATTCTTCCTGATTGTGCCGACAATCTACAATGTCTGCTATGTGGAGGAAAACGTGGAGGTCAAAGTGAAGCTCTTGGGTCCAATCGGTTTCTGCGTGTTCTCCACGGTGAAATACTGTTACATCTGTGCGAAGAGAAATCCCTTGGGCCGGTGCATCGAACACGTGGAGAGGGATTGGAGAACGGTGGGGGACAAGGACCACCGTGCCATCATGCTGAAGCAAGCGGGCATCAGCAGACGCCTGATCATCATCTGCATCGTCTTCTTCTATTCCGGAGGCATGTCCTATCAGACGCTGATGCAGTTCTCCTCGAAGCTCACGCAGCAATCCAACGTTACCGTGCGACCGCTCTCTTACCCTGCCTTCGAGTTCCTCGACGTCCAGTCCAGTCCTACCTACGAGATCGTGTTCTTTCTTCAGACCGTCGCAGCGTTGATCGTGCTCAACGCCACGATAGCTGCGTACAGTATGACTGCGACCTTCGTCACGCATATCTGCGGACAGATTCAGATCCAGATATCACGGTTGGAGAACTTGATCGGGGAAAGACCGGGGAAGAAGAGTTTCCAGGAACGTATGACGGTCATCGTTAACGATCACGTCGAGGTGTTGAGGTAACTTGGTGTGGTCTGAAAGTGCTTCGACTGTTTGCTGAAATCTAGCTTTTGTAGCGTAATGATATCAGATGCTTGTGGAATCTTTAGAAAGTAACTGAAAAAGTTTCCTATTTGCTAAAATTCTGCAAACTGTGTGGTTGTTACTCGCGAAATGAAATATGGAATTTCAAGGGTGTTCATAAGCTGTTATCCTAGTTTATGTGGTTATCGTGATGTGCGTAATTCTGTTCCAATTTTCGGATTTATTATTGAAAAGGGTCTTCTGTGCTTACTAGATAGAAGTGCAGCAAGTTTTTGTCATAGTTGGTGGATAACTTTATTTATACCAGCATAGTAATTTGTAGGCGACGTAAAAGTAGTGGAACTATTGTACGTTCATGCATCACGTAGCAGTTCCCTTTAAACATAGCTCTTTACCAGTCCCTGTAGTACTGTGTTTAGCTTCCACGCAACCCTTTGAGGATTTCGTATCGAAGTTTCAGGGTTGCATCGAATATGAAATTAACCTTGCAGAATTTAATGAAATTTATTCATTGACTTATATGATTTCTGTTGTATCATTCATATTCGTTGCTACTTATATAATTAGGTACTATAATATTTTTTGTAATGGATGTTCTAGGTTTTCTAAGAACGTTGACGAAGCTTTGTGCGAAATATGCTTGACAGAAATCGTTGCGTCAACACTTGTTATGTGTTGTGCTGAGTACTACTGTCTGTTGGTAAAATATTCTCGATCAGCACATTGTCAAAATTATACATAATACTCTTTACACTCATTGTTTGTACCGTGTTTCAGGAATGGAGGAATAGTGACATGATCGCGGCAGCCACGTATTTCATGCTGTTGACATCCTTCACATTCAATGTATTAATATATTGTTACGCAGGTCAACTTCTAACCGATCAGGTATTTATCAATATGCAACCATGACATAGTTTCTAAATTCAGTTCCTCAAAGGAAATGTCAACAATTTCGCTCTACATTGTCTGTAAAATGAAAAGAATCAGTGATTAATTACACAACGTTGGAGTTTTCAATCAAGTAATAATAATTCAAAATAAAACCATTCGCGTGAATCAGGGCAATTAAAACAATTGCGAGATGTTGCCTCATAAGACTATATTATTTGTGTTCCTTATCAACTTTCTCAAATTTTATTAGTGCAGTCAAGTGGGTGGAGCTTCCTACAACGTACAGTGGTACAATTTACCAGCCAGGAAGGCTAACAGTTTCGTCCTACTGGAGGCCATATCCCTCTACCCTCCTAAACTCACCGCTGGCAAAATAATTAACCTCACTATAAACACGTTCGGTGTTGTAGGTGATTTCAGGGTTAACAATCTTTCCAATGTGCAGCTGAGTTTTTAAGAATTTATTCCTTCCAGGTGGTGAAGACATCTGTAGTTTACTTCAATCTGCTTCGGGCGGTTACCGATTGGTAATAAGATGTCCATTTCTTTTTAATTATTACAGTACACTAAATAAAATCACCAAATGAACGTTTTCGTAGATTTCCGCTGCGACGTATTCATAGAACATTTAGTGAAACGTATTCATCCTGAGAAGGCGTTCCCACCAGGGTTTGTAAATTAGGTTGAAGGAACAATTCCAAATTAGAGTATTTTACAAGAGTATAGTAGTTGATAAATACCATTTGTTGAAATAAAATTTTAAGAAAACTTATCTTGAAATTTATACATTATTTTTCTAAGGTGTCCTAATGTTGTTCAGTGCATCTATGCATGTATATATAATGTATCTAGGTGTTTCTAGTACTTAATAATAAATAATAGTATACGAGTTCATCAAATTTCAGTTCTTAATATTCACCAGTTTTGTATGGATAATACAATAATTGTGCTTGTCTCGGACGCGTGAAATCATTTGCATATCTAATGTATCTAGTATACTACAAACAACACACCATTGATCGTACTTACATCCTGACACCGTTGAATTATTGCTAACTTGTATCAGGTCGTTATTTTCTCATCTTCGTATTGCTGGTGATGGTAAAAAACAGCAACACCAATTACACATATCTCAATGAAAAAAAATAAAACCTTCCACATTACATTCTTCCATTTTTATCTTTACTTCCCTCCAGCACAAGTAAACCACAGTAGAAAACAACTGAAACAACTGTCCCGCCCTCAATAACGATAACTCAACATTTTAGGCTCCGCAGACCCCATAGTCAAAGTTGATTAACCGTATCTATAGACCAACCGACACACGTTCCCATCCTTCCTCCATGCCGGACTGCCAACGCAAACAAATCAACCCCCGGAACGAAGAACGTGCCAATCTATTATTCATCTCCCCCTTTGCAACTCGATTTACAGAATAAACGCAGGATTCGCCAGAAAAAATTCCCCCTACACTGGATTCTAGACGCGAACCCTCGACGACGACTTATCCAGTGCAACCGAGTACGCGTTCGCGTTCTGACGACGATGTCTCCGAAGAGCGATCCGCCCAGTCGGCGGCGCGCATCCGTATGGTCACCATGTACGACCGAACACCGGACGCAGAGACGAGCTGCCTGAAAAACATCGATCATGAGAACGACCTGAAGTACACGTTGGAGATGTGCCAATGGGTGTTGAAGCCGCTCGGCGTGTGGACTCTGATCTACCACCGCGTCAGCAACGCGGAGAGAGTTGTCTCGGTGTTGCTGGCGTTGCTCTGCCTTTTCGGTCTCCTCTTCATGATCGTGCCGTCACTGTACAACATCTTTTTCATAGAGAAGAATATACAGACTAAAGTGAAGCTGATCGGCCCGATCGGCGTCTGCATGTTCTCCACGGTGAAGTACTGCTACATCGGCGCGAACCGGAAGCTCTTGGGCCGGTGCATCGAGCACGTGGAGAAGGATTGGAGAACGGTGGACGAGCAGGACCACCGAGCCATCATGCTGAAGCAGGCGGGCATCAGCAGACACCTGATCATCGTGTGCATGGTCTTCTTCTACTCCGGAGGCATGTCCTATCAGACGCTGATGCAGTTCTCGTCGAAGCTGACGCGCAAACCGAACGTCACCGTGAAACCGCTCCCTTATCCCAGCTTCGAGTTCCTCGACGTTCAGAACAGCCCCACCTACGAGATCGTGTTTTGCCTTCAGGCGTTCGGGGCGATGATCATGTTCACCGCCACGATCGCTGCGTACAGTCTGGCCGCGACCTTCGTCACGCACATATGCGGACAGATCCAGATACAGATATTGCGATTGGAGAGATTGATCGGTGAAAGGCAGGGGTGGAACAGTTTCCAGGAACGCATGACGGTCATCGTTAGGGATCACGTCCAGGTGCTGAGGTAACGTGCTGCGGTGGTTTCGAAGTGCTCTAGTTTCAGTCGACATGAAGCTTTCGGTGCGAAATGTTATTAGAGGCTCGTGAACCTGAGGGAGTAAATGAGAATGTTCGGGAATTCTGTGGTTGCAATTTGGGAAATGAAGTTTGTAATTGCAAGGGTGCAAAGTAGTTATTCTTAATGCTATGATTACCGTGATGTGCGTTATTATGTCCGCTATTTCCGGATGGCTTCAAAGTGCTCGAGTTTTAGTTGACATGAAGCTTTTCATACGGAATGTTATTAGAGGCTCGTGAACCTGAGGGAGTAAATGAGAATGTTCGGGAATTCTGTGGTTGCAATTTGGGAAATGAAATTTGTAATTGCGAGGGTGCAAAGTAGTTGTTATTCTTAATGCTACGATTACCGTGACGTGCGTAATTATGTCCGCCATTTTCGGATTCGTTATTGAACGGAAGCTTCTGTGGTTATTATGTGGAATTACTGCGAGTTTCTGCCTGTCTTCGCTTGTAGGAATATAGTTTGGCATCGTAAAAGTTGGTAGAACTTCTACTTCTACGCAACATGTAGTAGTTCTTTGTAATCATTGTTTTCTGACCCCTCTAGTATTGCGGTTCCGTTGCACGCAACTCTGATGGACTTTCAGGTTTCCGGGTTGCATCGAATATCAAATTAATGATGCAGAATGTAATGGAACTCTGCCGGTTGTTTGTAACATTTTCATGAACATATGTGTTTGTTGTTACTTATAGAATTGGGTACTATAATGTCCTTTGTTATGGGTATTCCAGGTTTTCTAAGAATGTCGACGAAGCCTTCCGGGAGATATGCTTGACAGAGCTCATGTCATCAACGTTTGCCATGTGTTTGCTCGAATACTACTGTCTAATGGTAAAAGATTGTCGATGAGCACATTGTCAGAATCTCGTATGGTGCAGCTGACATGATTCGATCGTTTCATGGTGTTTCTAGGAATGGAGGAACAGCGACACGATCGCGACAGTCACGTATTTTATGTTGTTGATCTCCTTCACTTTCAATGTACTAATATATTGTTACGTGGGTGAACTGCTATCCGATCAGGTATTTATCAGCAATAACTATTCATTAGATCCGCTGATTACATATTCACCAGAATCAGTTCAATTGAAAAGAATGAATGAATGGCAAGCTTTTCTATCGCGTAATAAACATTGATGTTATTACGGTTTTCGTAAATGTGGTTCATTTCAAACAATTTCGAGGTGTCACTTCGTCAAACTATATTATTGCTTCTTAGGATACGTGCTTTTGTTAAATGTTTTAATATTTTATCAGTGTAGCCAAATCGGTCAAGCTTCCTACAACATTTGTTGGTACAGTTTGCCAGCGAAGAAGGCCTACAGTTTCGTCCTGCTAGAAGCCATATCCCTCTACCCGCCAAAACTCACAGCTGGAAAAATAATTGAGCTCTCTATAAACACATTCGGCGTCGTACGTGATTTCATGGTTAAGAATTTCCTCAGTGTGCAGGAGGGTGTTTAAAACTTGGCTCCTTTCAGGTGGTGAAGACATCTGTAGTTTACTTCAACCTGCTTCGAACTGTTACCATTTGGTAAGAAGATGTCTGACCGTTTTGATTATTACAGCACGTCAAGTCAAAATAACCTAATAGAATTTTTTGCAGATTATCTATGCGACGTATTCATCGGACGTAATTAGTGAAACGTATTTATCCTAATGAAGCGATCCCGCCAGGTACGCTTGTAATATACGTAGAACGGAGAAGCATTTCCAAATGAAAATGTTATATTGAAGTAGTTGCTCATAAATACCATTTATAATAGAACTTGTTTGTTTAAATACAATTTTAATAAAAATGTTTTCACAATTCATTGTAAACAATTGAAATTCAAACATTCAAAGCATTCCAACTATTTAATAACAAAGCATAGTAACAAGTTTATTAAATGCTTATAAATATTAACCAGTTATAAGGCTACAATACATCTGCACATTAGTCTAATATATTACAAACAACACACATTTATCGTACTTACATTCTATATGACAGTTGAGTTGCATCCTTATTTTTCTTCCAATCGATGTTCATAGTCAACAAATCATCAGCACATCAAGATTACGTTCTTCGTGCACACGTAAACTAAAAGACACAAAACAATCGAAAAACTGTTTCCTGCACTTTGTAACAATATTTTGTAACTGTAACACTCCTCCATACGCCATATTCAAGCTAGATCACTCGTAGCTATAGACCAACTGATACCCATCTCCATCTTCCCTTCGTCCCGGACTGCCGAAGCAAACCCGATCCCCTGGAACGAACGAACGTACCTGTCTATTATTGGTCGCCCCCTTCGAGGCTCGATCCCCAAGACAAACACACGATCCGGCAGAAAAAAATTCGATCGCTTCCCTCTACATAATTCTAAACGAAAATCCTCGCCGCCGACCTATCCGACGTGATTTTGTGCGCGCTTGCGTTCTGACGATACCAATGTCGACTTCGACTAGAGACGCGCTCAGTCGGCGACGCGCACCCACATGGTCACCATGTACGACCAGCCATCCGACCCGAGGAATAACGACCTGAAAGACTACAATCATGAGAACGACCTGAAATACACGCTGGAGATGTGCCAGTGGCTGCTGAAGCCGCTCGGGCTGTGGGGCATAATTTACCATCGCGTCAGCAGCCTGGAGAGAGCTGTCTCGTTCGCGCTGCTGCTCCTCTGCTTCTCCACGCTACTCTTCCTGATCGTGCCGACGCTATACAATATGTTCTACGTGGAGAAGAACGTGCAGGTCAAAGTGAAGCTGATAGGTCCGGTCGCCTTCTGCGTCTTCTCCACGGTGAAATACTGTTACATGTGCGCGAAGAGGAACCTCCTGGGCCACTGCATCCATCACGTGGAGAAGGACTGGAGAACGGTGGGGGAACAGGACCACCGTGCCATCATGCTGAAGCAAGCCGGCATCAGCAGACGCCTGATCGTCATCTGCATCGTCTTCTTCTATTCCGGAGGAATGTTCTACCAGACGCTGATGCAGTACTCGTTCCAGCTGACGCACAAATCCAACATCACCGTGAAACCGCTCACCTATCCCAGTTTCGAGTTCCTCGACGTCCAGTCCAGTCCCACCTACGAGATCGTGTTCTCCCTTCAGGCCGCCGCAGCGGTGATACTGCTCAACTCCACGATAGCCGCGTACAGTATGACCGCGACCTTCGTCACGCATATCTGCGGACAGATTCAGATCCAGATACTGCGACTGGAGAACTTGATCCAGGAAAAGCAGGCGAAGAGCAGCTTCCACGAACGTATGACGGTCATCGTTCACGATCACGTCGAGGTGCTGAGGTAACCTGTTGGTGTGGTTTGAAAGTGTTTCGACTGTTTGCTGAAATCAAGCTTTCGAAGCGGGGTGATGTGAGAGGCTTATGAGATCTTTTGGCGGTAACTGGTAAAGTTTCGTGTTTTCTTAAATGCTACAATTTTTGTGGCTGTTGTTCATGATATACAGTGTGTGACGAAAGTTAGTGGAACTTTTATGTTCATGCGACGTGTATTTCCCTTTCAACGTTGCCCTTTACTGACCCCTCTAGCATTGTGGTTGGGTTGCACGCAACCCTTTCAGAGTTTGCTATCAAGGTTACCGGGTTGCATCGAATATTAAATTAAAAATGCAGAGTTTCATGAAACTTTACCATTTACTTGTACCTGTTCTGTTATAACGTACATGTTTGTCGCTGCTTGTATAACGGGATACTATGATGCCTTTTGTAACGAATATTCTAGGTTTTCTAAGAACGTTGACAAAGCTTTGTCGGAGATATTCTTGATAGAGGTCGTTGCTTCAACATTCATCATGTGTATGCTCGAATTCTACTGTTTAACGGTAAACGATTATAGATCAGCGTATTATTAAAATCGTGTGTTATTCCTATAATATTATTCACTGATATTATCCTGTTTCTAGGAATGGAGGAACAGCGACATGATCGCGGTAGCAACGTATTTTATGTTGTTGACATCCATCACATTCAATGTCTTAATATACTGTTACGTGGGTGATCTTCTATCCGAACAGGTATTTATCAATAATATCCATACATTAGATGCACTCATTACATATTCACCAGAATCAGTTTCTGAAAAAAAGTATCAACAATTTCATTCTGACTCGTTTGTAAAATGAGAGGAATGAAAGAATAATTCTCTAATAGCAGGTTTATTTATCGCATATTAAAAATTCAGAGGTTCATCAGATCATACTATTATTGTTTCTTAGAATGTCTATTTTTGTTAAACGTTTTAATGTTTCATTAGTGCAGCCAAATCGGTCGAGTTTCCTACAACATTAATTGGTACAATTTACCAGCGAAGAAAGCCTACAATTTCGTCCTGTTGGAAGCCATATCTCACTATCCGCCGAAACTCACCGCTGGCAAATTAATTGACCTCACCATAAACACGTTCGGCGTTGTTGGTGATTTCGTGGTTAAGAATGTTCCCAAAGTGCTGGAGAGTTTTTAAGATTTGACTATTTTCAGGTGTTGAAGACATCTGTAGTGTATTTGAACCTACTTCGAACGGTTACCAATTGGTAATAAGATTCATAATCGTTTCCCTTATTACCGTTACGTGAATGTTATTTTACCATCGAATGAATATTTTTGCAGATTTTCCATGCGGCGTATAGATAGAACGCATTTAGTGAGGCGCATTCATCCTGATGGAGCGTTGTCATCAAGTAGGTTTCTAAATTACATAGAATGAAGAAACATTTCCAAATTAGAATATTTTAATAGGATAGTATCTCGTAAATACTACTTATAACAGAATCTGTTCGTGTAAATAAAACTTGAACGAATCTTATTTTGAAATTCATACATTATGCTAAGATATGCTAATGTTATGCAATGCACATATGCATGTATAATAGTGTATCAAAGTTTTACTAGTACTTAATAGTAAAGTATGATGTACGAGTTTATTAAATTTTATTTCTAAATATTGACCAGTTACGTGATCATAGATAATACAATAGGTGTGCCTGTCTCATATGTATGACATAATGTGCATATTTAAAGCAACTAATATATTATAAATAACACACAATTGATTGTACTTACATTCTGCGCGAAAGTTGTGTTGCTGTTGTACCGAATTATTACGTCTCATCTTTGTACCAATCGTCACAGAAACATATAACAATATCAATTACTCACATCTCGACGGAAGAAAATAAAATCTTTCTACATAACACTCTCTCCACGACTTTCTCAAAATTACCTTCTTCTTTCACACTCGTAAACTAAAATAGAAAGAATACATTCCGGGAAACTGGCACTTGCACTTTATAACAACAAGTTAGATCAATCGTAGCTATACACCAACTGATACCCATTTCCATCCTCCCTTCGTCGCAGACTGCCGCTGAAATTACGAACCCCTGTGACGAAGGAACGTATTTACTTATTATTGGACTCCCTCCTCGAGACTCGCTTCGCAGGACAAACACACGATTAGCCTGAAAAAACTTCGATCGCTTCCCTGAACATAATAGTATACGCAAGTCCTCGCCGTCGACTTATACAATGTGATTTTGTGCGCGCTTGCGTTCTGACGATATCAATGTCGGCTTCGACTAGCGACGCGCTCAGTCGGCGACGCGCGCTCACATGGTCACCATGCACGACCAGACATCCGACCCAAGGAATAACGACCTGAGAGACTACAATCATGAGAATGACCTGAAATACACGTTGGAGATTTGCCAGTGGTTGCTGAAGCCGCTCGGGCTGTGGGGCATAGTTTACCATCGTGTCAGCAGTCTGGAGAGAGCTGTCGCGATCATACTGCTGTTCCTTTGCTTCTTCACTCTATTCTTCCTGATCGTGCCGACAATCTACAATGTCTGCTACGTGGAGAAAAACATGGAGGCCAAAGTGAAGCTCATGGGTCCGATCGCTTTCTGCTTGTTCTCCACGGTGCAATACTGCTACATCTGCGCGAAGAGAAGCCTCTTGGGAAAGTGCTTCGAACACGTGGAGAACGATTGGAGAACGATAGGGGACCAGGACCACCGTGCCATCATGCTGAAACAAGCGGCCATCAGCAGACGCCTGGTCATCATCTGCATCGTCTTCTTCTATTCCGGAGGCATGTCCTATCAGACGCTGATGCAGTTCTCGTCGAAGCCGACGCAGCAATCCAACGTTACCCTGAAACCGCTTACTTATCCCAGTTTCGAGTTCCTCGACGTCCAGTCCAGTCCTACCTACGAGATCGTGTTCTTTCTTCAGACCGTCGCAGCGATAATCCTGCTCAACGCCACGATAGCTGCGTACAGTATGACCGCGACATTCGTCACGCATATCTGCGGACAGATTCAGATCCAGATATTACGGTTGGAGAACTTGATCGGGGAAAGACCGGGGAAGAACAGTTTCCAGGAACGTATGACGGTCATCGTTCACGATCACGTCGAGGTGTTGAGGTAACTTGGTGTGGTCTGAAGGTGCTTCGACTGTTTGTTGAAATCTGACTTTTGTAGCGTAATGATATCAGATGCTTGTGGAATCTTTAGAAAGTAACTGAAAAAGTTTCATATTTGCTAAAATTCTGCAAACTGTGTGGTTGTTATTCGCGAAATGAAATATGGAATTTCAAGGGTGTTCATAAGCTGTTATTCTAGTTTATGTGGTTATCGTGATGTGCGTAATTCTGTTCCAATTTTCGGATTTATTATTGAAAAGGATCTTCTGTGCTTACTAGATAGAAGTGCAGCAAGTTTTTGCCATAGTTGGTGGATAACTTTATTTATACCGGCATAGTAATTTGTTGGAGACGTAAAAGGTAGTGGTATTACGTTCACGCATCAGGTAGCATTTCCATTTAAACATAGCTCTTTACCAATCCCTCTAGTACTGTGTTTAGCTTCCACGCAACCCTTTGAGGATTTTGTATCAATGTTTCTGGGTTGCATCGAATATGAAATTGACCTTGCAGAATTTAATGAAATTTATTCACTTACTTATATGATTTCCGTTATATCATTCGTATTGGTTGCTACTTATATCATTAGGTACTATAATGTTCTTTGTAATGGATGTTCTAGGTTTTCTAAGAACGTTGATAAAGCTTTGTCAGAGATATTCTTGATAGAGATCGCTGCGTCAACGTTCATCATGTGTATGCTCGAATACTACTGTTTAATGGTAAAAAATTGTCGATAAGCGTATTATTAAAATTATATGTTATACCTATAATATTATTTACTGATATTATCGTGTTCCTAGGAATGGAGGAACAGCGACATGATCGCGGTGGCAACGTACTTTATGTTGTTGACCTCCATGACATTCAATGTTTTAATATATTGTTACGTGGGTGAACTTCTATCCGAACAGGTATTTATCAACAATATCCATACACTAGGTGTACTCGTTACATATTCACCAGAATCGGTTTCTGAAAAAAAGTATTCACAATTTCATTCTGTATCGTTCATAAAATGAAAGGAATGAATGAATAATTCTCCAGCAGCAGGTTTATTTATCATACATTAAAAATTTAAAATATCACGGTTTTCGTAAATGAGGTTCATTTAAAACAATTTCGAGATGTTGCTTCATTGTTGTTTCTTAAGATATGTGCTTTTTTTAAACGTTTTAATGTTTTGTTAGTGTAGTCAAATCGGCGGAACTACCTACAACATTCATTGGTATAATTTACCAGCGAGGAAGGCCTACAATTTCATCCTACTGGAAGCTATATCTCTCTATCCGCCAAAACTCACCGCTGGCAGAATAATTGACCTCACTATAAACACGTTCGGTGTTGTTGGTGATTTCGTGGTTAAGAATGTTTCCAATGTGCAGGACAGTTTTTTAAGATTTGACTATTTTCAGGTGTTGAAGACATCTGTAGTGTACTTGAACCTGCTTCGAACGGTTACCAATTGGTAATAAGATTCATAATCGTTTACATTATTACCGTTACGTGAAGGTCACTTTACGATCAAATGAATATTTTTGCAGATTTTCTATGAGACCTATTGATAGAACGCATTTAGTAAAACGTATTCTTCCTGATGGAGCGTTGCCATCAGGCAGCTTTGTAAATTATGTAGAATGAAGAAGCATATCCAAATTGGAATATTTTACTAGAATAGTAGCTCATAAATACTATTTATAACAGAATCTGTGCGTGTAAATAAAACTTGAACAAATCTTGTTTTGAAATTCATATATTATGCTCCTAAGGTATGCTAATGTTATACGAGTCTATTCAATTTTATCTCAAAACATTGACTAGTTACGTGATTATAGATAATACAATAGATTTACCTTCTCGTATGTGTACTAATTATAAATAACACACAATTGATTGTACTCACATTCTGTGTGAAAGTTGAGTTGCTCTTAAGTTGTACCGAATCATTATGTTTCATATTCGTGTTGGCCACAGAAACATATAACAATACTCTTCTTTCACACTCGTAAACTAAGATAGAAACATCCCAAAAACTGTTTCCTGCACTTTGTAACAATATTTTGTAACTTTAACAAACTCCTCCATACGCCATATTCAAGCTAGATCAATCAAAACTATAGACCAACTGATACCCATGTCCATCTTCCCTTCGTCGCAGACTGCCGCTACAGTTTCGAACCCCTGCGACGAAGGAGCGCATCTACCTATTATTAGTCTCCCCCTTTGCAACCAGGTTCACAGGACAAAACACACTATTCGCCATAAAATATTCGATCGCTTCCCCCTACAGACTTCCAGACGCACATCTTCGCCGCCGACCTATCCAATGTCATCTTGCGCGCTTGCGTTCTGACGATACCAATGTCGGCGTCGAACAGCGTCGCGTTCAGTCGACGACGCGCGCTTATATGATCACCATGTACGACCGAACGCCGGTCCCAACGATGAGCTACCTGAAGAACATCGATCACGAGACCGATCTGCAATACACGTTGGAGATGTGCCAATGGGTGTTGAAGCCGCTCGGAGTATGGGGCCTGATTTACCATCGCGTCAGCAACGTGGAGAGAGTTGTCTCGATCTTACTGGTGTCCTCTTGCCTCATCGGTCTTCTTCTGATCATCGTCCCGTCAGTGCACAATATCTTCTTCGTGGAGAAGAACGTGCAGGTCAAAGTGAAGCTGATCGGTCCAGTCGGTTTCTGCATGTTCTCTACGGTGAAGTACTGTTACATGTGCGGGAAGAGGAAGCTGTTGAGTCGCTGCATGCGACACGTGGAGAAGGATTGGCGAACGGTGGACGAGCAGGACCACCGAGCGATAATGCTGAAGCAAGCGGGCATCAGTAGACACCTGATCACCATATGCATGGTCTTCCTCTATTCCGGGGGCATGTCCTATCAGGTACTGATGCCGTTCTCGTCGAAGCAGAAGCACAAGCTGAACGTCACCGACAAACCGCTCGCCTATCCCACCTTCGAGTTCCTCGACGCCCAGTCCAGCCCCACCTACGAGATCGTGTTCCTTCTCCAGACCTTCGGGGCGATGATCATGTACACCGCCACCATAGCCGCGTACAGTCTCGCTGCGACCTTCGTGTCGCATATCTGCGGGCAGATCCAGATTCAGATACTACGGTTGGAGAACTTGATCGACGAACACGAGGGGAAGAACACATTTCGACAGCGTCTGACGGTTATCGTTAGGGATCATGTCCAGGTGCTAAGGTAACGTGGCGGCGTGGTATGAAAGTGTTGTGGTAATAATTAAGATCAAGATCTTGGTGTTAAAACTTTAAATGGGAGGATTGATGTGTTTAAAATTCTACAATTTCTGTAGTAGTCACTGTATTCATTTCGGTGATGACGATGCAGGAAATGAAAGATATAATTGCTTCAAGTATGGAAATAGATCGGCATGTTTAATTATCGTGACGTGCGAGGTTCTATCAGGTATTTTCGGATTTATTATTGAACGCAAACTTCTGCGGTTGCTGTGTGAAAGTACAGGTAGTTTCTATTTGCCTTACGTGGCGTGCAGCAACATAGTAATTTGTGGGCGACAAAATGTTGGTGGAACTTCTAGTTTCAGGCAACATGTAGTATCTCTGTAATCATTGTTTTTCACGGATCCCTCTAGCATTGTGGTTTCGTTGCACGCAACCCTGATGCGCAACTAGGTTACCGGGTTGCATCGAATGTCAAATTGAATACGCAGAATTTATTGAAACTTTGCGATTTTTTCAAAGTATTTCTATCAGCATGCTATAATGTCGTTTGTAATGGATATTTTAGGTTTTCCAAGGACGTTGATGAAGCTTTGCGCGAGATATGTTTGTCAGAGATCATGGCATCCACGTACGCCATGTGTCTGCTCGAATACTATTGTTTAGCGGTAAAAGAATATCGATCGACACGTTGTATTAATATCGTGTATTATACTTATTACATCGTTCACAGCTTTTATCGTGTTTTTAGGAATGGCGGAACAGCGACACGGTCGCGATAGTAACGTATTTCATGTTGCTGATCTCCTGCACTTTCAATGTGTTAATCTATTGTTCCGTAGGTGAAGTTCTATCTGATCAGGTATTTATCTACAATATCCATCCATTAAGTGCACTCATTACTTATTCGCCATAATCAGTGTCTGAAAAAAATATCAACAAATTTATTTCATGTCGTTTGTAAAACGAAAATGAATGAATTCTCTAATAGTAGGTTTATATCTCCCAAGTTAAAAATTTCAAATATAATTGTTTTCATAAACGAGGTCGATTTAAAACAATTTAGAGGTGTTGTTTCGATGATACTATCTTTGTTTCTTATGACCTTTAGTTTCATTCAATCTAAAATGTTATTAGTGCAGTCGAGTGGGCGGAGCTTCGTACAACATACTTTGGTACAATTTACCAGCGAGGAAGGCATACAATTTTATCCTGCTGGATGTCATATCTCTCTATCCGCCTAAACTCACGGCCGGAAAAATAATTGAACTCTCTATAAACACGTTCGGCGCGGTATGTGATTTTTCTTTGAATAATATACCTAGTGCCGGAAGATTCATTACTAATATGTCTAGTGTGGAGAAGAATTTTTAAGATTTTACTTTTCCAGGTGGTAAAGACATCTGTGGTTTACTTCAATCTGCTTCGAACGGTTACGTCTTGGTAATCATTAGACTTCCAACCGTTTTAGGGTCTATGCACACTGTTTTGAAGTAACAGGAAACAAAGTTCTGTCTGAAAGAAGGATAAGAAAACTTTAACTGTGTAGCAAAGGATTCCGTCGCTGTTCCGTCGCGATTGACAAAACGGCGACGGACAAAGATAAACATATTTATTTCTCTCTATTTTAATTGTGTATGTTGTGTAAGATGAAATTTGCTTTATATATGTGGCAGATGTACGTGAAATCGCTAGCATCACCGACATGTCGCTCGTGTGCATAGGCCCTTATTGTTGCGATGTAACTGCTATTTCACAACGAAACAAAAATTCTTGCAGATTGTCTATGCGACGTACACATTGAACGCACTTAGTGAAACTTATTCATCTGACGGTGCGTTCCCACCAGGCAGGTTTGTAAATTAGAATGAAGAAACATCTCCAAATTAGAATATTTTACTAGAATAGCGTCTCAGAAATATTGTTTATAGCAGCATTTGTATAAATAAAGACTTATCAAAATTTATTTCCAAATTTATATATTACCTTCTTATGGTATCATTACGTTACTCAATATACATACATGAACACAGCGTATCGAAGCATGAACAATACCTAAGAATGAATACTGCCTATATATTCATTCCATAGAAATTACCTTTACTCACGTGTAACACTGCATTTCATTAACACTAGGTTTACGGAACGCGTCAAATTTACGCACATTGGATTTTAGAAATATTATTTTGTAAACGTTTCCGTCGATTTTTACTGATGCGATCACACTGACATGTGCCCCAATTACCTACTATCAAATCTCCAGTTTCCACAATCTAAACAAACGAGCGTCAATTCTTTTAGGAATAATAGAACGAAGTGTACAATGAATGCCCGTAAACCTAGTGTTAACAACTTCAACAAACGATTCACATATCTCACCATAAGACAACGAAACCAAGAACAAAATAATTACAAAGCCACCTCACGACTCGAGTTACCTCCAGTACGAAGGGAGCATTCGAACATTGTTTCAACGTCACCACCGGCAAACAACTGCAATCTGCAAGCACGTTTCCCCATCTCGCTCCCCTTCCAGGAAAAAAAGGTGCCCGTAAAAAACAGTTTCCCCGAGCACTATAATCTGGCAGTCTCCTGGTCTATAGAGCAAGTTATATTAAATTCATTCGGATCCGAGGAACACGTGACTCCCCTGTTCTTAACGTTCAGTCGGCAATCGTTCCTCGGCGAAATCACTTTGCCCGATCAATCACACGCACGCTCGCCATCAAAGGCAACGGAATCGCCGCGATGAACAAGAACTACGAGGAGGACATGCAGTACACGGTGAAGTACTCCCGTTTCTTTCTGAAGGCGATCGGCGTGTGGCCTCTGATCGCCGAGCACACGAGCACGCGCGAGAAGATCGTCTCGATATTTTTGATAATCTTCTTCAGCTTCTGTGTGCTGTTCGTCCTGATCCCCAGCAGTTATTATTGCTTCTTCTACGTGACCGACGTCACCGTTATGATCGAACTGTACGGCCCCATCAGCTACTGCGCGCTCATCGGGGTGAAGTATTGCTACCTCGGCGTGAAGGCGACCACCTACGGCCGCTGCATGAAGCACATGGAGAAACACTGGATATCCGTGGAGGACGCGGAGCAACGAGGCATCCTGAAGGGCAACACCTCCGTTGCCAGGAAGATAACCACCGTCTGCGCGGTGTTGTTCTACTCGTCCACGGGCTCCTATTACATCGCCATGCCGCTATGGTCGCCCGTGTTCCGGCGGAGCGAGACCGACCGACCATTGGTCCATCCCGGCTACGAATTCTTCGTCGACGAACAGGCCACGCCCACATACGAGTTTATATTCATCATGCACTGTTGCTACTGCTTCGTCACGTGCAGCGTCAGCACTGCGAATTGCAGTCTGATCGCTTTGTTCAGCAGTCACGCCCGCGGATTGATACAGGTGCAAGTCGCGCGGCTCAGGGATCTGGTCGAGCACGAGGGGAAGGATATTAAGAGCCAGAGTCGGCTGTCGGTTATTGTAAAGAATCACGTGGAAATACTAACGTGAGTATCCTAGTTTTGTTAACTACTGATCCGTGTTTTTATCGTGTACGAATTTTCTGGGGAGAATGTTAAATGTGTTCGTGATTCATGAGTTATTTGTGGATCTTTCGATTGACAGTGTTGTTAACCGGTTAACTGTGTTTGACGGGTATACACGTCATCGTAAAGCTTGACATGACACTAATTCTTTATTTTCTCACATAAACATGTGATTCTTCTTTGTTTCGCTTTGATCTTCCATTAAAATGCACTCTACGTGCATTCCTGCGTTCGACGAGTATACGCTCCATTTTTCGACTTTATTGCGCGCAGAACCAGAGGTTTTTCCAACTAAATTCCACAGTTAACTGGTCAATGGCTGTTTTTGAGAAGGAACATTGTGTTTGAGTTGTGGAGCAAGGATGATCTAGAGATTCTCTAATTTTGGCACTTGTGTGTAGAACTCTGTCGTTTCTACTTTTAACACGTTCACTGCCATGAGAATTTTAGGCATTCTGTAGAATATTCCTTATTCTTTTATAACAATGACAAATCTTGTAACCCATTCACTGCTAGCATGTGTGATTTCATTTGTACTTTCAATCTATTTTGCTTTATATCACGATACATTTCAAATACAACCGAGATTGTACCAAACTGGCAATCTCTCGCTACGAGTACATTCGTGACGCAGCGAATGGGTTAAGAATAGAGAATTTCTGAAGGAGATTCTATTATGTGCACGATGTGCGTGACAGCATAGCAATGGGGTTACAGGAATAGGGTAGCAGACCGAGACTTGAACCGTATCGTTAGATGATTACCGTTCTACAGGTGGTTTCGCTCGTTTCTGAACATTGAGAAAACCTTATAACGGAAGGGAAGTTGAGGTCGAATAAGTTTGTAGGGTTGATTAATATTCAGTGCTCGCGTGATATACATCGACGTTTTAGATAGTACAAAAAATAATCTGATTAAAGATATAAATATTTAATAGAATGACACTGAATTTATAGGTTTACTAAAAACGTCGCGCAAGCGTTGCAAGAGGTCTGCTTCGCAGAAGTGCTGGCTTCCGTTATCGTGACGTGCGCCGCTGAATATCTTTGCGTACTGGTAAAAGCTATGATTTTCTGTCGCTGCCTGGCGCGTTCGAATATTAAGGAAGCTTGCTTTCAGGAATTCAAGAATCACAACACTATAGCGACAGGAACTTATCTGGGACTGATATTCTCTTTCGTTTTTAATATATTCATTATCTGCTACGCGGGTCAGCTTTTAGTTGACGAGGTACGCATTGTATAATACGGATACGCGATTTGATAAGTCGAAACAGAATTTTCAGTTGAAAATTATATCACACTATGACTATTCGTCGGAAATTTATGCGACAAATTTTGTTTCTACCGCTAATTATGAACCTTTGACAGGGTGAGAGGCTTGGAGATGCGTATTACGATATCAAATGGTACAATTTACCGAAAAAGAAGAGCGCCAGTTTAATTCTTATAATCGCTGCGTCCAAGAAATCGCCGAAACTCACCGGAGGAAAGATTTTCGAAATCTCGATACCTACGTTCAGCAGTGTGGGTAACAATAAGAGAACAATCGTATGGGAAACAGTTTTTTTTAATAAGATTTCCGATACTTTCAGGTGCTCAGGTCGTCGGTAGTGTATATGAACTTGTGTCAAGCTGTGTCTGCATGGTAAACAATTCTTTCGTAAGCATTTGTCATGTGTATATGACTATAAGGTAAAAGAAGTATTTCTTTACAGATTGTCTTCGAATATAAGGAAGGAACAGAGAATGTATATGATTCTATATTTTATATGTTTATTTTGCTTTCATCGATGGAAAACAATCATACGCGTGACATCTGTGACACATAATACATGTTAAAGTTAGCACGAAAAGGTAAAAAGTACTTGGTTCAAGAATAAACTGGTTGAGAATAAATATCATTTTATTTTAACATAACGACAATAGTAAATACGATGCATATTTCGTTCTACTTACATTCTCTGCTGAATAAGTCGCTGTGCGTCATCATTATTCATTTAAAACAGTTTCCATACTGAACACCGACAAATCATTCAGTTCACTGTGTATACCTACACAAAGGAAATGAAAATATTCATTCAATGTTACGTCACAGATCCGGCTCGAAGGACCAAAAAATGTTCCGTAGCAGATCCGGCTCGAAGGACCAAAAATTTAACTTTAGGCCTCGTTAATACTCGCGACGCTTCGATTTCCAAATTTCTTCAGAAATCGACTGATTCGATTCTGATCTCCGAATGATTGAGATCAGACCACCGGTTTCTCACGATACCGAGAACTCGTTTTGATGTTGCGCGTTTCGAGACGAACGAATTCTCGAATTTCGAGTTCGATGCTTCTTCGGAGTGTGAAGCTGGAGTGTAGTTGTCCCAAACGATGGACTGAATGTTTTTCTGTTTCGTAACTATTCGTTTCTGATTCGTTAACTGATTTGTTTGTCCCGAACGATAGACTGAATGTGTTTGTTTGTTCCGAACGATGGACTTAACTGAATGTGTGAATGAATGATATCTCGTCACTCCGAACGGTTGAGTATCTGAGAATATCGTCACTCCGAACGGTTGAGTGATTCTGAACTATTCTGATTGATGTTAACTGCATAACTGATGCGAGTGCGATCCTGTAGGTGTTTTTATACAACAAACCGAAAATTCCCGGTTTATGATATGGTCGGTTGTCTGTACAAACGAAGTAGAAAGTCCAAACTGTTGTCTGGACATGCGCGGATTAACTAAATGATTTTATCATGGTTTAGGGTGAAATTGCCCCTCTCGTGTGTTGAGACAAGTTCTAAAAAGCTATATATATACAGCATGCATGTAAAAAACAGTTCACTAACATCCAATGCATGCATACCAAACATACTTTTCAACCTATGTATTAACTCAGATATTTCATTTTCACTTCATCCAACTTAGGTATCTTAAAATTTCGAAATTACACGAGACAACGATGAATACCCTATCAATTTATACAGACAAATCTAGCATACACAAATCAAATATATACGAAAGAAAACAACTAGCTCTCCTATTTACCTAACAAACCCCCCTCAATCTTCTATCCTCTCACAGCACACGCAGAACCCAGCTAACCAACCACAACACGAACACTGTCGCAGTGCACGTACCTCCATTCCGCCTCCGATTACCCACGCAGACAGGAGTCTCCGGAGTGAACGACAGCCAGCATTAATATTCCCGCGATCGGTCTCCCCCTTTCAGCTCGATAAAAACCCGACAAAAAATCGTTTCCCTGAACATAATCCCAGCCGCGAATGCTTAACACGATCCTCTGACATCGGATTCGCGCTTGCGTCCTGACAGTATCGCAGGCCGGCTTCCGACCGCTTCGTCCAGTCTACGTCGTGCTTCTGCCTGGTCATCATGTGGGATCGATCGTGGAGTCCAACGAGAAGCTACCTGCGCAACCACGATCACGAGACCGACGTGAATTACACGCTGGAGATGTGCCGATGGCTGCTGAAGCCGATCGGCGTGTGGACGCTGATCTACCATCGCGCCAGCAACCTGGAGAGGGCCGTTTCCATGCTGCTGCAGGTCGCCTGCTTCTCGTGCCTCCTCTTCATCATCCTGCCGTCGGCCAACAATATCTTCTTCGTGGAGAAGGACATACAGGTCAAAGTGAAGCTGCTGGGCCCGGTCGGTTTCTGCATGTTCTCGGCGGTCAAGTATTGCTACATCGGCGCGAAGGGCAAGATCCTGGGTCGCTGCATCCAGCACGTCGAGAAGGACTGGAGAACGGTGGACGAGCAGGGTCACCGGGCCATCATGCTGAAGCACGCGTCCGTCAGCAGACACCTGATCACCGTGTGCATCATCTTCCTCTATACGGGAGGCATGTCCTATCACACGGTCGTGCAGTTCCTGTCGAAGGCGACGCGCAGACAGAACGTCACCGCGCGACCGCTAACCTACCCCTGCTTCAACTTCCTCGACGTTCAGTCCACTCCTACCTACGAGATCGTCTTCTTCCTCCACTGCGCCGCGGCGATGATCATGTACACCGTCACGTCGGCCGCGTACAGTCTGGCCGCGACCTTTGTCATGCACATCTGCGGGCAGATACAGATCCAGATAGTGCGGCTGGAGAACTTGATCGGCGGACACAGGGAGAAGGACGGGTTTCACGAGCGTATGGCGGTCATTGTTCGGGACCATGTCCAGATACTGAGGTACGCGATTAACCCCTTGGCGCACTGTTTACTTTCGCTGCCGACAATTTGGGAGAAATGTAAGAATTTTCTGTTCTACTTGAAGTTGACATTTGAAGATAATAAATTGATAATAGGAAAATAGTTCGCTTCGATCTGTGGGTAATGGACAATATTGATTGTTATGCAATTGGTCTAAAAATCTTCATCACGAGCCTGAGTCGTTATTGTGCAAGGGGTTAATCAGACAATTGGCTGTGTTCTGGAAATTTTTCGGCTGTGTAACGTAGTAGATTAACCACTTGCGCTGGAAAGACGTGTTACGCACGCACGTTTTTGTCCGAAAATTACCAACGACATATTGTACACGTCGATAGTTTTATTGGATTGTATATTTCAGATTCTTCTGAAATCTACCGTTTCGTACAAAATTATTGGTAAACGACATTTGTGTACATATCTGTATACAATATGCGAAGACAAATTTCTTCGCACGAGATCCTGTCGAGTTTCTCAATTCGTTGCCAGCGCAAGTGGTTAACGACGAGTAAATACGTCGGAGGTAGCGGGGATGTAGTTGATATATATTGTAATGGAAGATTAAAGTGAGATGTTTAGTCGAAGAAAGAAGTAATTAATCGTTGCAGAAATTAGGATTGCTTCGGGTCTTGGGTGACGAGTATACTCGTCAGACGCGGTTTGAAATATGGTTCCTTTTGTTGGTTGCTAAGGCTGCTAAGCTAATTCGACTTGACAAATAGATTAACACATTGTTGACCGGCAGTTTTTCGCAGAAGCTGTGCTACGTCACCAGTTATTATTCCGTAATTAAATACGAAAGTTTATTAACACTTTATTGTATGTAACGAATTGAAACGAAACTTCGGGCATATCTTTCAAATAAATTTCAACATTTTGCTTCTGCAATATTCTACACTGCCTTCCACTTCAAAAATTGAAGCAGCCAATGCTAGTGCGAGCACGAGTTAACTCGTGACCGGTCAACAATGTGTTAAGGATTTTGATACTGTGATGAATGGATATTCTAGGTTCTCCAAGGATGTCGAAGAAGCTTTGCGCGAAGTTTGCTTGACAGAGATAGTTGAATCCACGTTAATTATATGCATGCTCGAGTATTACTGCATGATGGTAAAACATTGTCGATCGATGAGATTTCAAATGAAATGGAATTACTTTCGTTTACATGATCCTACTTTTAGGAATGGTCGAACAGCGATGCCATCGCGATACTGACGTACTTCACCTTGTTGATCTCCTTCACGTTCAATATATTAATATTTTGTTATATAGGTGAAATTCTATCTGAACAGGTATTTATCAACATACCGCTTCCTGTTTAGCCCTTTGGCGGGCGTATACAATACACAGACAGAACAATGACTGTCCAATGATGGAATATACGTATGAGGTGATTGAACGTCTGTTTGAATCAGATAAATGTTATAAATTGTTGCATTCAAGGCTATTTTATCTTTCCAGATTAAACAAATTTGCATACTTTCACCTGACAACAAACAAATTTCGATTATCTGCTATTTAAAGTACCTTGAAAATTGGTGGAATTGTTGCAATGAAAATAAGGACACTGCAATGCGTGTAAAATCGTGATACAAGAAAATCAAAGGTAATACTATATGTATAATCAAACAGAAATGTACAAAATATTTTCACGAAAAGTTTCACTTTAAAATATATTTTCTGGTAGCTTTTCATTCGGTACGTATTCGCGTCCGCTAAAGGGTTAAGTGTGCAGGATACTTCATAACACGTGGGCACAACTTCGAAAATGAATCGTACGTATTTCAATGATAAATAATCTCCATGCGATATATATGCAAAACTTTGAATATTTTTGTTTCAGTGTAAGTACCGTTACAAATTGATTCAGCGTAACATGTTCACAGACTGATTTCCCGAAGACAGATTTTAGATTCTTTATTTATATCCTTTCCGTTTAATAAAACGTGTTTAACGTCTTAGCTCCGATAGAGTCAAGTCGAATCAATTATTTTTATTATTTCCAATTTAATTTCGAAGTGCTGTCCATGTTTTATGAAATAACACGCGACGTCGAGAAAATTATATTTATGTTTCTCACGACAGTTTGTTTTGTTGAAACGTTTCAATAGTGCAGTCGAATGGGAGCAGCCTCTTATAATATCCGTTGGTACAATTTACCGGCGAAAAAGGCCTACAATCTCGTCCTGCTGAGCGCCATATCTCTTTATCCGCCTAAACTCACGGCCGGCAAAATAATTGAACTGTCCTTAAACACGTTCGGCGTTGTACGTAACTTTTCCTTAAATAACATACCCGGTGTCAGAAGATTCATTAAGATCAAGCAATTTTCAGGTGTTAAGGACGTCGGTGATTTACTTGAATCTGCTCCGAACAGTTACCACTTGGTAATTAGACGTTCAAATTGTTCTTATCGTTACTGTTAAGCAACCATTATTCTACGATCAAATCAATATTTTTACAGATCTCTACACCGTATACGCGGAGCGTGTTTAGTGAGAATAACTTCTAGATTAGGGACAAAGAACACTTCCAACTAAAATATTTCGAAATGATACTAATTTACAAATGTTAATAGTACGAATCCTGTTGAATAAAGTGTTACCAAAATTTATCTTTCGATTCATGTATTCTTTCAATCGAACGAGTAACAAAAATTTAATATATTTTACCTTTTCATATATCATTTTTACTCTTCTAACGTCGTATTTCATAGATAATTATCGCTTTTCTTTTTCGACACTCCTTTTCTCACATGCAGATGCGTCTGTTCTCGGTTCGACGTATATACTCGCCATTAGTTGATTTTATTCCACACGAAATATTTCTCAAACTGAATTTCATGGTTACCTGGCTAATACTCAGCTTACCAGTACCTGTTTCAGTCTTCTTGTTCTACAATTGTGTTCCATCTTCATCATTTTACCATCATGTAGCCAACTTTTCGTAAAGAATACCGTGAATACCACAGTCACGTAGGATTTTGATTAACACTAGATTTACCCGTCAGTTTGTCAGATATTGAACTTTTTAAACATTATTCGGTAACAATTTAATTCGATTTCGATTGAAGCAATTTTGCGAATGCTCATTGTAATTCTCTGTTCTTGACACACTAATTTTCGTAATCTATATAAACAAACATATACTCTCTTAGGAACGACAGAATGAAGTATAGAATACATATCCGTAAATCTAGTGTTAATTGAAACAGTTCATTAATACATAAACAGATTCTCTCCACTTGCCTCCCCCTCACTTACACCCCAACCCTTCAATCCATCGCGATAACTCACGCACTCTCGCATACCGTTCGCTAATCCTTTAATTCCAACTGTCCCGTCGTCCGGTTTCAAACCCACCCCTATCCGAAACTTTCGAAACTCAGCCACCCCCCTTCCCTGTCGCCCCGCGGCGCAATTAAATCTCCTAGCCAGGTAGATCCGAACATTCGCTAGAACAAAAAGTACTTCCAGAGTCTATAGTTACAATTTCAGTCGTATAAGTTTTACCCCTTCGATCACGAGGAGTAGTTCGCGCAAGCAATTACGTACAATTGCGCCGGGTTCCTCGGGGTTCGCCGATGCGGGTAACATCGCGCGGAAATAAAAGACGCGCGCCCGTGGCTGCGTTGAGGCAATACCGCTCCCGAAATTTCGGCCGCATCAATCAATGAGTACACTGCGCTCGTCGAGTCGAGATGTCCGCGAAGCACACACACGACGAGCTGGTAAATTCCGCGAAGAACTCGAACTCCGTGGACGATATAAATTACGCTCTGGGCTGGTGTCGGCGTATATTGCGGCTGATCGGAGTTTGGTCGTTGATCGAGAAACGGACCAGCAGGCTGGAGAAGCTGCTGTCGTTCCTCTTGAGGGCGGCGATCCTCTGCATACAGCTGTTCTTCATCGTCCCCATCACTATCTACATATTCGACGTGGAGCAGGACACGAACATGAAGATCAAAATCGCCGGTATGCCGATTAACTCTGCACTTTCAGTGGTGAAGTTCGTCTACCTGGGCCTGAAGGGGACCGCGTTCCGAAGCTGCATCGAGCACATAGAGAACGACTGGCGGAGGGTGCGCGATTCCCAGCACCGAGACATCATGCTGAAGCAGATATCCTTCAGCAGGAATCTCCTCGCTCTGTGCTTCATCTTCGTGTACAGTGCCAGTCTGTCGTACTACACGATCATACCGATGCTGGCCAAACGTCAGCAGAAAGGGAACTACACCGGCAGGAGGCTGATGCATCCTGGTTACGATAGATACTTCGACGTGCACTCCAGCCCCACCTTCGAGCTCATCTATTTGTCTAACTGTCTGACGGCGTTCTTTAGATACACCGTGATAACGGCGGAGATCAGTTTGACCGTGATCATCGTCACGCACATCTGCGCGCAGATGCAGATACAGATATTGCGGTTGCAGGAGCTGTGCGACAGGAAGGACAAGGACAGTGTCCAGGAGCAATTGTCCGTTATCGTTTACGACCACAGTGAAGTCTTAAGGTCTGGTACTTTTTATTTCGGATGAATTGTTAAGGATTATCGCAGTTTTTCCAATTAGAATTATTTCGGATAACTTCAATCGTAGCACGTTCGCTATCAGCGCTAATTTCGATGGTCTTCTCAATTGTATTTTCTTTGATTCGATAATTCTTCGAAGCAAAGTATTAGAGAAATGAAACTGGGAACGTGTCATTGAGTTCGTAAATGTAATGTAGTTTGTAATTTCTAATAACAATATCCATAGGACTAATTTCATTTTCATTGTGTAATTAATGCCAGTACTTTGAGTGCAAGGGTTGATTATTTTCCTAAATGAATTTTTCATTCGGATTTATAACGGTTTTGTTATTGCTATGAATGAATGGATCGTACGTTGAGAACAAGCAAGGAGATTTCTTTTTCGACGAATGTTTCAGATTCTCGAGGCTTGCCAGGGAAGCCTCCACTGGGATTCTCTTAATAGAGATCTTTACTTCAGTTTTTCTTCTGTGCCACGTCATGTACGCTTGGCTGATGGTAAGGATACTTAGTTTAACCAGTTAACTGTGGAATTTAGTTAGAAAAATCGAAAAATGGAGCGTGTACTCGTCGAACGCAGAACGAATGCACATATATTTTAATGAAAGATCAAAGCGAAACAAAGAAGAGTCACATGTTTACGTGAAAAAATAAGGAACTCATCGCTGAAAGAATAATTATCCTCTCAAGCTTTACGATGACGTGTATACTCGTCAAACACAGTTAACTGGTTAATTGAATGTTTCCAGTTTCCCTCGTCGTAAACGATAAAATCCATCGGATTCATCTGGTTCCAGGAATGGAATGATAGCAATCCAGCTGCAATGACGACATACAGCATGTACTTGACATCTTTTACTTTCAACGCGTTCATCTTTTGTTATATTGGGGAAGTTCTCACTGAACAGGTACTACGATTATCCTCATTTTTATGACTTAATTAAATTCCTGCCACATGTACCGATCATCATGCATATTCTAAATTTAACAGAAAATTTTATACCGGCTGAAGTAATGTAGTTAATATAATACGGTTCGAACATTTGTTATATTAATATCCAAATACGCCTAATATAATCTCTAACTAAATTGATACAGTGTGCGCAGATCGGATACGCTAGCTACGAAGTTGATTGGTACAACATATCCGGAAGAAAGGGACGCGACTTTGCACTACTCAACGTGATGTCACTCTATCCACCGAAACTTTCGGGCGGCAAAATAGTCGATTTATCACTAAATATGTTCACCATTGTGCGTAACTTTTTTCGAAATATTCAGTGCAGCAATACGTTCTTCTCGACTTTTCGATGAACGTAGCATTTTGTTTAATACTAGAACTACCGTCCCAGTCAAAATGACCGATTTCGTTCTCTTTGTTTCGTAATTATTGATATCTTAAAAGCGTTGGATGTCCGAAATAATCTTGAAAATAAATAGTTTCACTCGAATACTATAACGAATGCCTGAAGAAACTGAAAATAATCTATTATTACAATTTTTATAGGAGCTACATATTAATCGTATTAAATGATCGGTAGTTCTAGTGTTAAGACACTATATCATTAACTTACTTTATCATTAACACGTTCAACTCGGCGTGTACCACCGGTAGTCCACAGTATTTTTAAGAACTCATACAACTACTCAGACGCTGATGATTGTTACTGATAACGTGAGAAGTACTGAAGTAAACAAGTGCTGCCAGATAAATGAACAACTTATCATTTTGTGTACGTCGAACATAGAGACTTCGAAAGAATGCTCCGGTTTGAACGTGTTAAAGTATTCGTTATTGTTATTTAAAATGTTTCGCTATTTTTCTGAGAATCATTTCTGAAATGAATTTTTCCAGTCAATATAAGCTCGTCGGAAAGAACTGTTCGCTACACCAAATAGATCGCACGATACAGAGGATAAAGTATCTCTTCGTATTTTACAGATCGTGAAGACGTCGGTTGTTTACCTGAACCTGTTACGCACAGTCACTACCTTTTAGTATAATGACAATTATCTACAACCGTTACTTTGCTGTGTTATTGAATGAATTTATTCGAATCTTCATACGGATGCCCAACTCGTTATACATCATACGTGGCTAAATCTTCAGCTATGTATATTAAAATGTGATGGTCTTAATTTTAATGTATGGAAACATTTTTATACATTAATTACAGAATTAAAAGGTTAATTATTCTAAATTAGGGGAGAAGAGTATCTTATAAGAAAGACACAAATAGGTAAGCTGTATTACACGATACGTTCCTATGGCACATACATTTTTCTAAAACTTTTATAAAACCAGTAGTTTAGTTAATAAAAAGTCATTGAGAAAGTAAAAAAATGGTAAGAAGTATAATGATGAACAGATTTGGAAATTTCAATTTTTGTAAATGTACCCAATCGTTAATGTTCCATTTCAGTCGATAGTTTATCAAAAATAAAACTGTTGGGAAACATTATCGTTATTCTAATCGAGCAGCAATAGCAAGTGTAGTACATATTTCGTTCTACTCACATTCTCAGCTGGATACGCTGCATCGTACCACTTTATTCAAATGATAGATCGTTTCCCTCTACACGCTGCAGTCACGCGTGTCCAGCACACTCGCCTCAGTGACATCAAATTCAAACTTGAATCCTAAATATATTATTCACTGTCACTCAATTTCTCTTTCGTCCAATTGATCGTAAAGTTCAATGAAAAACAACCTCCGCGATGACGATCATGACTTTAACCGTTTGGATGCTAAACAACTTTTATGGATATTTACCAAAAATGCGCAATATAATTAATATACGCAAAAAAATTAATAAGAGTAGTCATCTAATGAGATCACAAATATTGTGTTATTACAAAAAAATATCAAAAAATAACATTTATTCAAATAAATTTACTTTGATCTATTTCTTGAAGAACATACTAAGAAAATTATAATTGATACTGAAAAACAGCGCTATACCGCTCCTCAGCACTCAAACGGTTAAATCAGGCATTGAGGATATGCCAGTGGTTGCTGAAGTTGATCAGTGTACAGACCTTCATTCATGAAATCTGCTTTAGTCTTATACTCGTTCCTTTCTTCTCTTGTCTTGCCTTTAATATCTTTCCGTTTATCTATAGCTTACTTTCAACGAGTCTGTTAGGTAAGGTCAGTTTCTCCTCCACGGTTAGATCTGCGGACACAACTGCCCATCCGATATGGGAAAAACAACCTGCGCCAAGTGTATAGTTAGAATATCCACCCTCTTCAGTTCAACCCCTCGATCATGAGGAGCAGTTCGCACATGAAATTATGTATAATTATACTGGATTGCTTCCCTTCGGGGTTCGCCGATGGAATCTGTCATCGCGTGGCAAAAAAACAGACGTGTACCTGCGCTTGCGTTGTGGCGATATGGCTCAGCAAAGTTCAGTCGCGTCAATCAGTGAGTAAACTACCCCCGAGAAGTCGAGATGTCTGAGAACTGCACACGCGACGAACTGGTAAACTCCGCGAAGAACTCGAACTACGTGCACGACATAAATCACGCTCTAGGCTGGTGCCGGCGTATGTTGCGGCTGATCGGAGTGTGGTCGCTGATTCAGAAACGGACCACCAGGCTGGAGAAAGTTGTGTCGTTTCTCTGGAGAATAGTGATCCTCTGTATACAATTGTTCTTCATCGTTCCCATCACTCTTTACATATGCTACGCGGAGCAGGACACGAATATGAAGATCAAAATTGCCGGTCAGCCGATCAACTCTGCACTTTCGGTGGTGAAATTCGTCTATCTGGGGCTGAAGGGAACCGCGTTCAGAAGCTGCATCGAGCACATGGAGAACGATTGGCGGAGGGTGCGAGATCCCCAGCACCGAGACATCATGCTGAAGCAGATTTCGATCAGCAGGAATCTCATCGCTCTGTGTATTATTTTTGTATATACCGCCGGCATATCGTATTACACGGTCATACCGTTGCTGGTTAAACGCCAACAGAAAGGGAATTACACTGGCAGAAGGCTGATGCATCCTGGTTTCGATAGATTCTTCGACGTCCACTCTAGCCCTACCTTCGAGCTGCTCTATTCAGTTCATTGTCTGTCGGCTTTCTACAGATACAGTGTGACGACAGCGGAGATCTGTTTGACCGTGACTTTCGTCACGCATATCTGCGGACAGATGCAGATTCAAATGTTGCGACTGCGGGAATTGTGCAAGAGGAAGGAGGAGTACAGTGCTCGCGAGCAGTTGTCTGTCATTGTTCACGATCACGCTGAGGTCTTAAGGTCTGATACACTTTTTCTTAAGTTAATAGTTAAGGTTCGTCATAGCATTCTTTTCCAATTGTCAGAATTATTTGAACAATTTCAATGTAATTGACATCAATATTTTGAGCGCGAAGGGTTAATTATTCTTTCGAACGAATTTTTAATTCTGATTTAGACCGACGGATTTATTACTGTTATAAATAAATAATGAATTTTTACTATTTCGACAAATGTTTGCAGATTGTCGAGGCTTGCCAAGGATGCCTTTACCGGAATCCTCTTAATAGAAATCTTTAATTGTGTTTTTCTCTTATGTCATATCGAGTACTCTTCCCTGATGGTAAAAATTATTACTTTAATCAAAAGTTTTCGGTTTAGCTTGTTATAGACAATAGAATCCATCGGATTAACCTGCTTCCAGGTATGGAATGATAGGAATCCAGTTATAATAACGACGTACAGCATTTTTATAACATCTTTTACTTTCAATGCGTTCATCTTTTGCTATATTGGAGAAATCCTCACTGAACAGGTATTACGATTATCCTCATTTTTATGACTCAATTAAATTCCTTCAACATGTACTAATCGTCATGCACATTGTAAATTTAACAGAAAAATTTATACCGGCTGAAGTAATATAGTTGTTAATATAGTACGATTTGAACATTTGTCATATTAACATCCAAACACGTCTAACATAATCTCAATTTATATTATCACATCGACAGTGTTCGGAGATCGGATTCGCCAGCTACGAAGTCGATTGGTACAACATACCTGGAAGAAGAGGTCGCGATTTTGCACTACTCAATGTGATGTCACTCTATCCACCCAAACTTTCGGGCGGCAAAATTATCGAGCTATCCCTGAACATGTTCAGCATTGTGAGTAAATTTTTTCGAAATATTCAGTGTAGTAAAATGTTCTCCTCGTCTTTTTAATGAACGTAACGTTTTATTTAAGGCACTATACGAATACTTTAACATTGAAGTATTCGTTATTGTCATTTAAAATGTTTTGCTATTTTTCCGAGAGTCTGCGAATGCCACTGCGATGAATTTTCGGTGATTCCGATGAAATGAATTCCTCTAGCCAACTGAAGTTCACCGGAAAGAACCTTTTGCTACACTTAATAGAATGGACAATAGAGAAGACAAAGTATCTTTTCATATTTTCCAGATCCTGAAGACGTCGGTCGTTTACCTGAACATGTTACGCACAGTTACTAACTTTTAGTATAATATCAATGATCTACAACCGTCACTTTGGTGTGCAATGAATGAATTTATACGAATCTCCTTACAGATGTCCAACTTGTTATACAACATAATACGTGGTTAACAGTTAAGCTGTGTATATTACAAGGAAATGGTCTTAATTATACTGCATGTAAACATTTTTTAAACATTAAATACAAAACTTAAAATTTAATTACTTGAAATTAAAGAAAGGGAGTTCCCTATAAGACAGACACAAATAGGTAAGTTGTATTACACAGTACGATCCTATAGCACGTAAGTTTTGCTAAAAATTGTTTAAAAATTAGTAGTTCAATCATTAAAAAATCATGAAAAAAGAGAAGAAGCTTCAAGAAGTACACCGATAAGCAAAGTTGACAGATTACAAATTCTGTAAATATGCCTAGTATTTAATGTAATTGTTATTCTAATTGCCTAATCTTTAACTTTATTCAAATTAAGTAGCAACAGCAAGCACAGTACATATTTCGTTATACTCACATTATCTGGATAAGTTGCTTCGTACTATTACACAAAAGACAGGTTGTTTCCCTCTACTAGGCACGTGTGTTCAGCACAATCGTCCCAATGATATCAAACTCAAACTTGCATCCAAATTATATCATCCACTGTCACCCAATTCCTCTTCCGTCCAATTGATTGATCTTTACATTCGATTAAGCTCAATGAAAAGCTACCTCTGCGATGACGATCATGATAATAATTTAAATCAGACATGGAGGACCTGCCAGTGGTTGCTGAAGTTGATCAGCCTCTAGACCTTGATTACAGAAGGCTGCTTTAGTCTTATTATTCGTTTCTCCTCTTGTCTTCCCTTCAGCATCGTACCGTTCACCTATAGCTCAATTCCACCGAGACTGTCAGGTAACGTCAGTCCCTCAACCGCGCAACAAATGGTAAAAACGAGCTGTGCGAAGTGTATAACCGCAACATCTACCCCATTCGCTTCACCCTTTCGATCATGAGAAGTAGTCTGCACACGAAATTACGTACAATTATGTTGTACCGCTTCCCCTTGGGGTTCGCCGATGGAATCTATAATCGCGCGGAAAAAACACGCGCCCCTGCGCTTGCGTTGTGGCGATATGGCTCAGCAGGGTTCAGCGGTATCAATCAGTGAGTAAACTGCGCCCGAGAAGTCGAGATGTCTGGGAAGCACACACCCGACGACCTGGTAAAACCCGCGAAGAACTCGAACTACGCGCACGACATAGATTACGCTCTGGGCTGGTGTCGGCGCATGTTGCGGCTGATCGGAGTCTGGTCGCTGATCGAGCAACGGACCAGCTGGCTGGAGAAAGTGTTGTCGTTCCTCTTGAGGACAGTGATCCTCGGCGTGCAGCTCTTCTTCATCGTTCCCATCACTCTTCACATATGCCAAACGGAGAAGAATCCGATGATGAAGATCAAATTGCTCGGCCCGCCGAGCAACTGTGCGTTCTCAGTGATCAAGTTCTTCTACCTCGTGCTGAGGGGAACCGCGTTCAGAAGCTGCATCGAGCACATGGAGAACGATTGGAGAAGGGTAAAGGATCCCCAGCATCGAAGCATCATGCTGAAGCAGATATCGATCAGCAGGAATCTCATTGCTTTGTGCTTGTTCTTTATTTATGCTGCCGGGATATCGTACTACACGATCATACCACTGCTCGCGAAGCTTCAACGCAAGGGGAATCACACCGGCAGGAGGCTGATGCATCCCGGTTACGACAGATTCTTCGATGTGCGTTCCAGCCCTGTCTTCGAGCTGATCTACTCTGCTCACTGTGCGTCGGGTTTCTTCAGATTCAACGTGACCGCGGCGGCGTTCACTTTGGCCGTGATCTTCGTCACGCATATCTGCGGACAGATGCAGATACAGATGCTGCGGTTGCGGGAGCTGTGCAACAGGAAGGACAAAGAGACCGTTCGCGGGCAGTTGTCTGTTATTATTCACGATCACGTTGAGGTCTTAAGGTCAGATCAAATTAATAATTAAGGATTATCGTCGTCCTTTTCGATTGTTCGATCGCTCTGGGTAGGATTAATCCGTTGTAAATGGATCTGTTGTATGACGGAAGATGAATATATAGGTAAATGATACGTTGATGATGCGCGTGAAGGTTTCTTTTCCGATGAATATTTCAGATTCTCGAAGATCGCCAGGGGCGCCTTTATCGAAATCGTTTTAATTGAAATCTTTGGTTCCACTTTTCTCCTGTGTTTGGTCGAGTACTGTTGTCTTCTGGTAAAAACGATTTGTTTCACTGAAAGTTTTCGGTTCTACTCGTTGTGGTCAATGAACTTCATCGGATTCGTCTTTCCTTCAGGAATGGAAGGCCAGCAATGCAATTGCAATGACGACGTACACCATTTATATGACGTCTTTCACCTTCAACGCGATGATCTTTTGTTACATTGGCGAAATTCTCACTGAACAGGTATTACGATTATCCTTACTGTCTCACCTCGCGTTTCAGGAAGCCCTACGAAATTAACACTAGAACTACCGAGCATTTAATACGATTAATATGCAATTCCTATAAAAATTGTAACAATAGATTATTTTCAGTTTCTTCAGGCACTCATCATAGTACTGAAATCAAGCTATTTATTTTCAAAATCATTTCGAATATTCAATGCTTCGAAGATATCAATAATTGTCGAACAAAAAAATCAAAACCAGTCGTTTTGATATAATCGTCACGTGTATTCTGAACTTAACAGGAACATTTATTTACCCACTCTGTTTAGCACGATACCGATCGTAGCAACGTAATAGTCAATATCGTTTAGACTAAATATTTATCACGTGTACGTCAAAATACACTTACTGTTCACAGACGACGTTTATTCTGATTCTCAACGAACTGAAAGATGGACGTTGACAAGATACGACAAAATGAGATAGAACGATAGGGAATATAGGTGCCAATTTTTTATTTGTACCTCACTTAATCGTATTCTATTTTATCAGCGATCTTCATTTACGCGAATCAGCTAATAAAAGTTCGTTGAAGATGAGAATAAACTTTGTCTATGACCAGTAACTAGATTTCAATCTAAATCATGACACTGACACTAATAAATTAAAATTATTTTACAAAAACGTTACCTCTGTTCACATTTTCATCTAAAAATGCATGAACTCTTTCCAGTATCTAATTGTTTCTTCAATATTGTCTGGTATATTGTTAATTTACATGTATGAAATTAAATCGTGTGGTTTGAACAGTTATCACGTGAATATCCGAATACTCCTATCATAATCTGACTTTGAATTGTACTGACAGTGTTCGCAGATCGGATTCGCCGGCTACGACGTCGATTGGTACAACTTACCAGGAAAAAGGGGATGCGACTTCATACTGTTGAACATGATATCGCTCTATCCACCGAAACTCTCGGGCGGCAAGATAATCGAATTGTCTTTAAACACGTTCAGCGTCGTGAGTAATTATTTCTTAGGTTTAGGTGTGGTATCAAGTTCATTCCGATTTTCCGTTAAAGTCAATTTTGTGTAAAAGAATATAGCGATTTCTTCGTCATCGAAGTAATCGGCATTATTTCTTGTAACGTTCCGTTGTTTCTCTGAGAACCTATCATCGCGTTAGAAATTTCTTGGCTTCGATGAAACGAATTTTTCCAAGCAACCGAAGCTCGGCAGAGTTTTATACTACACCTAATGGAATCCGCAATGGAAAAGGTAAAGTGTCCATGCTTTCCAGATCCTGAAGACGTCAGTTGTGTACCTGAATTTGTTGCGTACGATCACTACCTTTTAGTGCCTGTTTAGTCATCGATTCAATTTTCATTGTATTATTGAACAGAAGTTGGAGGAAGGAAGAAGACACGTTCCCGAAAACTCCGTATTGACTTGAAATTACAAACATTAATTTAGTAACGAATTCTTTATCTGAATTGAAACTTTTGTGAAATTAGTAACCTGACGATGAAAAGGTCTTCGAAGACGCAAAGAAATGTAACTCACCGCGTTGAACAGATCTGGGACAGCATTATCGGTGTACCAAAAATAAAATTCTTTGGAATATTCGACATTTTATTTTAATTGAGTAATAGTAGTAAGTACAATGCTCTGTATCATTATTATGCGTTTAGAACAATGTTCGTATTGAACACTGGCAGACCATTCAGTTAATTAACCATGCCTAACTAAGAAAATGAAACTGCTTACTCAACATTCATTCAGTATAGAGATTTTCCAAGATACACTGTAAAATCTCGTATATCGAGGAAAGGTTTCGATAATATGACCATAAAATTTATACATTTCCAACCTACACGAAGAAACAATAGTGATCCACTGAAATCAAACAGATTCTCATCGAATATATCTTTCATTCGTGTACTGTTAACTTTCAAAGTTGTGCAAGTCAAAATATACCTTCTCAATTTACACAGGTAAATCTGGTACACATAAACTAAATATGTAACAAAGAAACCAAAAGATTGCCTACTTACTTTAGAAAATTGATCCCCATTCTCTATCTTCTCAAGACATTATATCCAGAACCCAGCTCAGTGATCACAATGCGTACAAAACTTTCGTATAGTCGACGCGATTATCTTCGATCGATCCTGAACACTAATGAAAAGCAATCATCGCAATGAAGACCATGAGAATAATATGAATTACATACTGAAGACGTACCAATGACTGACGTAGACACTGATCGCAAAGAGCTGCTTCAGTCTTATTACTGTCCTTCCCCCTTCTCTTCACGATCCCAAGAATTTCTTTATTAAGCACGGTTTCATCGTGTGCTCCGCGATTAAATCCATCAACCCAACACGACTGCCCATGGGAACAACCCCCGCGAAGTCTATAGCCGGAATATCCATCGCGTCTGTTTCAACCCCTCGATCGAGGTACTCGTTCATGAAATAACGTACAATCATTCCGATTTGCATCCTCTTGGGGTTCGCGCAAAAAAAGAGTACAACCTCAACAAAGTCTATAGTCAGAGTATCCATCCGCTCGTTTCACCCTCCGACAACAAAGTTGCGCATGAAATTGTAATCAGTTCCCGTGGATCGCTTCCTCGTGGGGTTCGCCGAGTGCACGGCCATCCTCGCGCGGAAAAAAGGGAAGAGCGCAGGCGCGTTCGCGTTGCGGCATCATGGCCTTCGCGTTCATTCAGCCGTATTATTCAGTGGGCAATCTGCGCTCGAGAGGTCGACATGTCTGGGAAGAACGCGCTCGAGGAAGCGGTTAAGGGCGCGATAAACTCGGACTACCTGGAGGACAGGGATTACGCTTTGGGCTCGTGTCGGCGTCTGTTGAAGCTGATCGGGGTCTGGTCGCTGATTCAGAAACGGCCCAGCAGGCTGGAGAAAGCTCTGTCGTTCCTCCTGAGAACAATGATCTTCTGCATACAACTGTTCTTCATCATTCCCATCGCCATTCACGTGTTCTACGTTGAGCAGAATCCGAACATGAAAATAAAGCACATCGGTTCGCCGAGCAACTGTGCGTTCTCAGTGATCAAGTTCATCTACCTCGGGCTGAGGGGGACTGAGTTCAGGAGCTGCATCGAGCACATAGAGAGCGACTGGAGGAGGGTGCGGGATCCCCAGCACCGGAGCATCATGCTCAAGCAGATATCGACGAGCAGCAATCTCATCGTGCTGTGCTTGTTCTTCTTCTACGCCGCCGGGATATCGTACTACACGATTATACCGCTGGTGACTAGGCGTATACAGAAAGAGAATTACACTGGCAGGAAGCTGATGCACCCTGGTTACGACAGATACTTCGACGTGCACTCCAGCCCCACGTTCGAGCTCATCTACTCGGCTCACTGTCTGTCGGGTTTCTTCAGGTACAGCGTGACGATAGCGGCGTTCAGCCTGGCGGTGATCTTTGTCACGCACATCAGCGGCCAGATGCAGATACAGATATTGCGACTGAGGGAACTGTGCTCGAGGAAGGACAGGAACAGCGTTCGTGAGCAGCTGTCTGTTATTATTCACGATCACGCGAAGGTCTTGAGGTCTGGTGATTAATCATTTCGATCGTCGGAGTAATTCCTCACGATCTCAATCCGTAGTTGATATTCATTTCTCTATGAGGGATCCTGTTTTACTTGTTGCATTATAAATGGAACTCGAATGTTTTTTTATGGAAATTTTAATTATGTTTTCATGCGAGTTGTTTTGTAGTAAAGGTTTGTCTTTATATTGAGTTCCTTCGTTTACGGTTGTATATACTTTGGTAATATGTTTCTCTTTGAAGAACGAAAGTGAATTTTCTGTTCTGATTTAGGGCGACGGGATTATTATTGTTGTAAATGGTTTTATTGCCTGAGTGGAAGAGAATAGATAGGTAAACCTAAATAGTAAGTACTTCAAATGTTTCAAAGCGAGGTAAATATTTCAGATTTTCGAAGATTGTCAGAGACGCCTTTACCGAGATCCTCTTAATAGAAATCCTTAATTCCGCTTTGCTCATGTGTTTTATCGAGTACTGTTGTCTACTGGTAAAATCGATTAGTTTAATTAAAAGTTCTTAGTTCCTCAGGTTGTGGTCAATAAAATCGATCAAATCATCTGGTTCTAGGAATGGAAAGCTAGCAATGCAGTCGCAGCCACGACGTACATCATTTACATGATATCTTTCACTTTCAATGCGATGATCTTTTGTTACATTGGTGAAATCCTCTCTCAACAGGTATCACGATTATCCTTTTTTCACAACATTACGTCTTTCGCATGCTGACGAAATATATTAGGTGCCGGAAATGCTTGTTTCTTATTACCTATTGTTATTTCAATCAGTACGTCACTAGTTTAACGAATGAAATTAGTATTAGCAACAAGTTACGTTTAGACCGTCAGTATCATGTAAACTAAAATTTACAAAAACGTCATCTCTGTTTACAGTTTCATCTAAGAAACTTATGAACTTTTTCCAGTATCTAATTGTCTCTTCAATATTGTCTTCAATATTGTTAATTTACATCTGTGAAATAAAATCACGTGGTTCGAACAGTTATCACACGAATATCTGAATACTCCTAACATAATCTGATTCTAAATTGTCGTGTTGACAGTGTTCAAAGATCGGATTAGCTAGCTACGAAGTCGATTGGTACAACTTACCAGGAACAAGGGGAAGCGACTTCATTTTGCTGAACGTTATATCACTCTATCCACCGAAACTTTCGGGTGGCAAAATAATCGAGCTGTCTTTAAACACGTTCAGCATCGTGAGTAATTATTTTTCAGGCGTTAGTTGCAGTAAACAGTTCTTTCCGACTTTTCGTGAAAATCAAAGTTTCGGTTAATATAATACAGAAATGGTTAAGACGTTCGTGAATTCGTGAAGCTCGTCGGAAATTACTCTTTATTACACCTAATAAAATGCACAATGGAAAGGATAAAGTACCTTTCCATGTATTCCAGATCTTGAAGACGTCGGTTGTTTACCTGAATTTGTTTCGCACAGTATCTACGGTTTAATGTGACATTCATGTTTTGCAAGTATTACTTCACTGTGTTATTGTGTGAAATTGTATTAATCTCTCTACTGATGTTCAATTAAGTAAGCTACGATTAAGAAAAGCACGAGTGGGTAATCTGAATAACAGATTATGCTTCTTTAACAATAACCCGGAAATTTTTCTAAAACTTTTCTAGAACTAATACGCTCATAATTATAGGATCTTTACAGAAAAGTAACAAAAGTAACGCATGGAGCAGTAAAGAGATTTAGAATGGTTAACATTTTGTACATGTGCCTAATTAATAATGTAATACAGAATACTACTATTTTACTTTTACGAATAATAATAATAATTACAACACATATATCATTGTACTTACATTCTCATACGTTGATTCATATTACCATTATCCCTATGCGATTCGATTTCGGGCGTAAGAAAACCAAACACTGATAAAACAATTGATCGTTTCTTTCGTCTCTTCGATTCAGTTGACATGCACCTTACTGATCGTCATGTACGATTGATCGTAGAGTTCAATGAAAGCTACTTCCGTGCTAACAATCACAAGATTCGTGTCAACTAGGTGTTGAAGATGTTTTCAGTGGCTGTTTCACGACAACAAACTAAACAGAACTGTTTCACTCTTACTGCTGCTCGCTATTTTCCTCTGTTCTCTCTTCATCGTCTCATCGTTCACTCACAGCCAAATTTCAGTGAGTCTGTTAGGTACGGTAAGTTTCTCCGTGTCCTCTAAAATTAAATCTGCTAACACAACACGACTGTCCATCCGATACGGGGAAGAAGAAACTCTGCGAAGTGTATAGCCAGAATATCCACTCCATTCGTTTCAACCCTTCCATCAGGAGAAATAGTTTGGACAAGCAATCATATATAATTATACTGGATTGCTTTCCCTTCGGGTTCGCCGATGGAACTTCTAATCGCACGGAAAGAACGGACCCGCTTTTGCGCTTGCGTTGCGGCAATATGGCCGAGCAAAGTTCAGCCGCACCAATCAGTGAATAAACTGCGCCCGAGAAGTCGAGATGGCTGGGAACCACACACCTGGCGAACTGGTAAACACCGCGAAGAACCTGAATTACGAGGACGATGCGAATTACGCTCTGGGCTGGTGCCGGCGTATGTTGCGGCTGATCGGAGTGTGGTCGCTAATTCAGAAACGGACCAACAGGCTGGAGAAAGTGGTGTCGTTTCTCTGGAGAATAGTGATCCTCTGTGTACAATTGTTCTTCATCGTTCCCATCACTCTTCACATATGCTACGTGGAACAGAACTCGAACATGAAGATCAAAATTGCCGGTCAGCCGATTAACTCTGCACTTTCGGTGGTGAAATTCGTCTATCTGGGGCTGAAGGGAACCGCGTTCAGAAGCTGCATCGAGCACATGGAGAACGATTGGCGGAGGGTGCGAGATCCCCAGCACCGAGACATCATGCTGAAGCAGATTTCGATCAGCAGGAATCTCATCACTATGTGCATTATTTTTGTATATACCGCCGGCATATCGTATTACACGGTCATACCGTTGCTGGTTAAACGCCAACAGAAAGGGAATTACACTGGCAGAAGGCTGATGCATGCTGGTTTCGATAGATTCTTCGACGTCCACTCTAGCCCTACCTTCGAGCTGCTCTATTCAGTTCATTGTCTGTCTGCTTTCTACAGATACAGTGTAACGACAGCGGAGATCTGTTTGACTGTGACTTTTGTCACGCATATTTGCGGGCAGATGCAGATACAAATGCTGCGGTTGCAGGAACTGTGCAACAGGAAGAAGAAGGACACTGTTCGCGAACAGTTGTCTGTCATTGTTCACGACCACGCTGAGGCCTTAAGGTCTGATACCCTTTATCTCAAATTGATAGTCATCCACTTGTGCTGGAAAGACGTGCCACGTCGAGACGTTTCTATCACAAAATTCTCAATGATGTCTTTCAGACATTGATTATCTTGTTGCATTACACCTATTATACTACTTCGAAATGTATCACTCTATACAGAATGATTAACAAACAAAGATAGGTAAAACCAAATTCATCCGAGGAGACTTTTCCAAATGTCTGAACTCATTTCCAGCGCAAGTGGTTAAGGATCATCGTAGTTTTATTTTCCAATTGTCAGAATTATTTGAACAATTTCAGTCTGTAATTGACATCAATATTTTCAGTGCAAAGGGTTAATTATTTTTCAGCACGTATTTTTCTTTCAAGATTTCTTCTTCGACAAATGTTTCAGATTCTCGAGGCTTGCCAAGGATGCCTTTACCGGGATCCTCTTAATAGAAATCTTTAATTCAGTTTTTCTCCTGTGTCACGTCGAGTACGCTTGTCTGATGGTAAGAATGACTAGTTCGATTGAATGTTTTCAGCTTCCCTCTCTACAGACAATAAAATCCATCGGATTCACCCGGTTCTAGGAATGGAATGATAGCAATCCAGTTGCAATGACGACGTACAGCATTTTTATGACATCTTTTACTTTCAATGCGTTGATCTTTTGTTATATTGGGGAAATCCTGACTGAACAGGTACTACGATTATCCTCATTCTTATAACTTAATTAAATTCCTTCAACATGTACCAATCGTCATGCATATTATAAATTTAATAGAAAAATTTATACCGGCTGAAGTAATGTAGTAGTTAACATAGTACGGTTTGAACATTTGTCATATTAATATCCAAATCCGCCTGACATAATATCAGTTTTAATTGTTACACTGACAGTGTGCGGAGATCGGATACGCTAGCTACGAAGCCGATTGGTACAACATACCTGGCAGAAGGGGTCGCGATTTTGCACTACTCAATGTGATGTCACTCTATCCTCCCAAACTTTCGGGCGGCAAAATTATCGAGCTATCCCTGAACATGTTCAGCATTGTGAGTAATTTTTTCGAAATATTCAGTGTAGTAAAATGTTCCCCTCGACTTTTCGATGAACGTAACGTTTTATTTAAGGCACTATACGAATACTTTAACATTAAAGTATTCGTTATTGTCATTTAAAATGTTTTGCTATTTTTCTGAGAGTCTGCGAATGCGACTGCGATGAATTTTCGGTGACTCCAATGAAATGAATTCCTCTAGCCAACTGAAGTTCACCGGAAAGAACCTTTTGCTACACTTAATAGAATGGACAATAGAGAAGACAAAGTATCTTTTCATATTTTCCAGATCCTGAAGACGTCGGTCGTTTACCTGAACATGTTACGCACAGTTACTAACTTTTAGTATAATATCAATGATCTGCAACCGTCACTTTGATGTGTTACTGAATGAATTCATATGAATCTCCTTACGGATGTCTAACTTGTTGTACAGCATCATGCGTGACTAAGAGTTAAGCTACGTGTATTAAAGTGTGACAGTCTTAATTCTAATGTATGTAAACGTTTTTCATAGATTAATCAGAAAATTAAGAACTCAATTATTCCAGTTTAGGGAAAGAGAATGTCTTTTAAGAAAGACACAAATAGGTAAGCTGTATTTTCCTGAAACATTTATAAAATAATGGTTTAGGTGATGAAAGATCGTTACAAAAGTAAAGAAATGGTGAGAAATACAATGATGTGTTTTGTTCTACTCACATTCTCAGCCGGATGCATCGCGTCGTACCACTATCATTCAAAAGATAGATCATTTCCCTCTACAAAGTCTAGCCATGTGTGTTCAATACAGTCGTCCCAGTGACATCAAATTCTCACTTCTCTTTTAACCCTTAGCACTCCAGGTTGTTTTGTAATCTTTCAGCAACTGCAACTAATTTTTGTAGTATTCCCAGCGAAAATGAGAAATGCTATAACATTTCTGCGAACTTTTATTTTCATTTTTAGTACAAAATTTGGATGTGTGGTAATTTCTTTAAGATTCATTAAAATATTTAATATTATATTGAAGCCTACAGAGTTCAAAGGTTAATATTATTCACTGGTACCAAATTTTTCTTCCGTCACATTCACTAGTCATCCCATTCTATTTTTCTTAAAGCTCAATGAAAAACTATCCGCGCAATGACGATCATGACAGTAACTTGAATGAGATGTCGAGGACCGTTTCTTCTCTTGTCCTCTCTCGGTCATCTCACCGTTTACCCATAGCCAACTTTCAGCGCGTCTGTTAGGTAAGGTCAGTGTCCGCACGTCCTCCACGGTTAGCTCTCCCAGCACAACACTGCCCATTCGATATGGGAAAAGCAACCTGTGCCAAACGTATAGCTACAGTATCCACCCCACTCAGTTTACCTCTTCGATCACGGAGTAGTCTCAAATGAAATTATCAGCAATTATGCTGGATCGCTTCCCCTTGAGTTTCTTCGACGGGATATACCATCGCGCGGAAAAAAATGCGTGTTCCTGCGCTTGCGTTGTGTCATTACTGTTCTGTGAAGTGGACCCGCATCAGTCAGTGAGAAAATTGCGCTCGGGAAGTCAGGATGTCTGGGAAGCACACACGTGACGAACCGGTAAAGACCGCGAAGAACTTGAACTACGAGGACGACATAAATTACGCTCTAGGCTGGTGTCGGCGTCTGTTGAAGCTGATCGGAGTTTGGTCGCTGATCGAGGAACGGACCAGCTGGCTGGAGAAAGTGTCGTCGTTTCTCTGGAGAATAGTGATCCTATGCGTACAGTTCTTCTTCATCGTTCCTATCGCTCTTTACATATGCCTCGTGGAAGAGAACACGAACATGAAGATAAAACTGATCGGTCCACCGAGCAATTGTGCGTTCTCGGTGTTCAAGTTCTTCTATCTCGTGTCGAGGGGAACCGCGTTCAGAAACTGCATCGAGCACATGGAGAACGACTGGAGAAGGGTGCGAGATCCCCAGCATCGAAGCATCATGCTCAGGCAATTATCGATCAGCAGGAATCTGCTCACTCTGTGCTTGTTCTTCATTTACACCGCCGGTGTCACGTACTACACGATCATACCGCTGGTGACTAGGCGTCTGCAGAAAGGGAATTACACTGGCAGGAAGCTGATGCATCCTGGTTACGATAGATTCTTCGATGTGCACTCCAGCCCTACGTTCGAGCTGATCTATTCGGCTCACTGTGTGTCGGCTTTCTTCAGGTTCAACGTGACCTCGGCGGCGTTCAGCTTGGTCGTCGCCTTCGTCACGCACATCTGCGGACAGATGCAGATTCAAATATTGCGGTTGCAGGAACTGTGCAACAGGAAGGATAGAAACAGTGTTCGCGAACAGCTGTCGGTCGTTGTGCGGGATCATGCTGAGATCTTAAGGTATGGTGCTGTTTGTTTGAAATTGATAGTTAAGAAGCAGTTTTCTTTTTCAAGTGTTGATAGTTATTTCTGTCGATGATAATAAGATAGTTACTTCGCGTTGTTTGAATCCATCTGAATTTTTAGTGAATGTTTGTTTCTGATTTATGAGGACGGTTTTGTTATCGCTATAAATGGATCTGTCACTTAAAGCGAAATAGATAAATAGATAAGTAATCAGTTGGACAAATATTTCAGATTTTCGATGGATGCCAGGGATGCCTTCACCGAGATCCTGTTATTAGAAATCCTTAATTCTGTCGTAGTCCTGTGTCAGATCGAGTACTGTTTCCTCATGGTAAAAGTGACTACTTTAATTGAATATTTCCAGTTTCCCTCGTTACGGTTAACAGAAATCGATCGAATTGCTCTGGTTCCAGGAATGGAATGATAGCAATCCAGTTGCAATGACGATATACTGCATGTACCTGACATCTTTCACTTTCAATGCGCTGATCCTTTGCTATATTGGCGAAGTTCTCTCTGAACAGGTACTACCGTTATCCTTAATTTAACACGTTAATTTATCACATTACGTTCCTTCGTACATATTCTAAATTGAATAAAAAAATTGATTTACCCGATGTGTCTGATATTCCATCGATTGAAATATGGTCAATATTTTGTTACCTGATAGAGTATTTATCGCATATACCTTAGAATACGCTTAACACAAACTTGTTTTTAATTGTTTCTTTAATATTGTCAGGTATATTGTTAATTTACACGTATGAAATAAAATCGTGTGGTTTGAACAGTTATCTGAATATCTGAATATTCCTAACATAATCTGACTGAATTGTGCTGACAGTGTTCGCAGATCGGATTCGCCGGCTACGATGTCGACTGGTACAACTTACCAGGAAAAAGGGGATGCGACTTTATATTACTCAACATGATATCACTCTATCCACCGAAACTCTCGGGCGGCAAGATAATCGAATTTTCTCTAAACACGTTCAGCATTGTGAGTAATCGTGTTTCAGGTGGAACACATAATGGGAAGGATAAAGTATCTTTCCGTATTTTCCAGATCCTGAAGACCTCGGTTGTTTACCTCAACTTGTTACGCTCGGTTACTACCATTTAGTATAACATCCATGTTACGCAATTATCACTTCGCTTTGTTACTGTACGAAATTCTGTCAATCTCCCTACTGATGTTCAATTAGCTAAGCAACGTAATTCGTAGCTGACGTTTAAGGTGTATATATAATGTTAGTGTTGCCGTATGTATTATAATTAATATGTGATACCTTTACATATATTATAATTGATATCGTCGTATTTTATATATAAAAATATACATAAATTAATTATTCCACGTTACAGATGGAGAGAATCGGATAACGAATAGGTAAGACCTATAGCTTCTAAATTTTGGTTCTATTAGAAAGAAAGAGGAATAGGAGATACTTCAGAAAATCTGATTTTATGTCCCTGCTTGCTTTTAAACATCGATCCCCTTTCCGTTACCCTCTCAAGCGACTACATGGTGTGTTCAATGAATATCACAAAACGATCAAAACAGAAGACACAATCAATTTACCTTTACTGCCTCTCAGTGATCTACATCCGCCGCAATACCCTTTCGACAACGTGTATAGAGCTTCTAGAAACTGTCAGCAAAGGCTTTTCTAGGAATCCATCGAGTACCGCTGTCAAATCTTCTTGGACACCCGACAGGACCAAGGAACGCTTCGAATCTAAAACATATTAACAAAATAGTAGCTTGCATATGTTGTTAATAGTACCAATCCTTTCGAATAAAGTGTTAGCAATGTTTCTCTTCTGATTCGTACAACATTCCCCCATCGAGTAAGAAAAAGAAGCTACTTACTTTGTAACTCTTTCATTCTCGTCCATCGTATTCGCCATTATTTCACCATCACAATGTCCGCCCGAAAAACAGTTGATCCTCACAAAGTTCCAACATGAAACTTACACAACACAATTACAGAAAACTTGAACAACATTCGAGCATCGAATCAGTGTAACATCCTATAGTCCCGTATTCGTTACATTGTTACAAGCCCACTCAAGAGCGACAGTACATGTCCATCCAGCGCAAGGAGGGTAATACCTATGACTCGAGTCTATAACCAGAATCATCTCCCGGCACGATCCGTCCTGATCACGCGACATGCATGCAAAATCGAGGACAATTATCGTTCTCCTCCATCGATGCACCGAGCGCTCGCGTGTCACGCGAATCGACGATGCGTGACCGCGCTTGCGTTCTAGAAGTATCGTCCCTTGACACTGGAAAACGGCGATCAGTCGGCAGCGTGCACCCGAGGGGACAACATGCGCGAGCAATTGCACCGCAGGATCAGGAAGCACTCGAACCAGTTCAACCGCGACGAGGACTTCGAGTACGCTCTGGAACTGTGCCGTTGGTTGCTGAAACCGCTCGGGATCTGGTGGTTCATTTACAGCAAGGCTAAGAGAACGGAGAAAGTGCTCTCGATCCTGCTGATGATCATGTGCTTCGCCAGTTTAATGTTCCTCCTGGTGCCGGTGTCCTGTCATCTGTTGCTCGAGGACCTGGACGCGAGGACGAAGATAAAGCTGATCGGGCCGACCTGCAATTGCTCGCTGTCCGTGATCAAGTATTGCTACCTGGTCTTCAGAGGGAAGACCTTCGTGCGCTTCATCGGGCAGGTGGAGAACGATTGGAGGATGGCGACCAATCGGCATCACCGGGTGATCATGCTGAAGCAGGCGTGTTTCAGCCGGAATCTCATCATGCTGTGCATCATCTTCATTTACTCCGCGAACATATCGTACCTCATGATCCCGTTGTCCATGCGACGAGCGACGGGGAACGCGACCGTGAAGGTGCTCGCTTATCCGGGCTACAACCGGTTCTTCGACGTCCAGTCGAGTCCGACCTACGAGATCCTCTATTTCGGCCAATGTTTCGTGGGATTCGTCAGGCACGGCGTGACCATCGCGTCGTTCAGCTTGGTCGTGGTCTTCGTCACTCACATCTGCGGACAGATGCAGATACAGTTACTGAGGTTGGAGGAACTGAACTGCGAGGCGGAGGAGAAGGACTCCGATCGCGATCCTTTGGGTGATATTATACGGAATCACACGGAGATATTAAGGTTAGGCGATCGGTGTCTCGATTTAACGTATCGACGCGTTCTCTTTGGTTGAGATTGGCTTCGGGAGATTAATGATACTCGCGGATATACTAATTAATACGAAAATAGAATTAGATTGTTTTCTTTTAATTGGTCCTTTGACCCTTTGCGGACGAAGATTGTTGAAAGTGTACAAAACCTTTTGCAGATTCTGCTAAATTAAACACTGAATGCTTAAGTTATAGAGAATAAGGAAACTAGACTGATTTCTTGCTTTTCGAATAGTTAAATCATTTGTTCGCGATTTGGCATTCCAAACGTGGAAGTTTGATCTCAGAAATGCCGACATTCGTCCGCAAAGGGTTAATATTATAAAAATATAGATGCAAATGCAGTGATTTTAAGACGAATTTCATACGATTTTTATTGGTTTTATTTTGAAAAAGTTTATTCCTATCACTGTCATTTGTTAGTATTAGACTGACATTGGATGGGCGTAGCCGACACTTGCAACAACGGGTTAATAATGTTTCATTAGTTTGATTGTTTGTTTTTTGAGGAAGGAAACTTTGAGATCGATTGTTGGTAAAAATAACGTTGCATTGGCAGGTGCAATTGCTGCCCGCTGCACCTTAATAATTAAAAAAAGATGGTACTTGTGTGTTTGGGTATAATGTGGATAAATATTGTGGTTGTCAATGGATCTAAGAGCTCTTCTTTCGGAACACAAATTCTAATATCAATTATTCAAGCATGAACATGAAAATCTCACTGGTAATGTACATTTCAGATTTACCAAGAAAGTCGGGAATGCATTTAGCGAGATTATTTTTATGGAGGTCATCGGTAGTACGTTCCTCATGTGCATGTCCGAATACTGTTTCCTGTTGGTAAATATTAACGTCCGACTAAGAAGGTGCACTTTTTTAATACTATTAGTAATGTCCGCTAAGACCATTCGATTCTAGGAGTGGGCGAATAACAATACTGTGGCAATAACAACCTACATTGTTTATATGATCTCCTTTAGTTTCATCGCGCTGATCTTTTGTTGTATAGGCGAAATCCTCACTGACCAGGTACCGAACCTTGCTCATATTACCAATCACTGTGTTAAACATTCAAAGCGACAATAAATTTTGCTGATGCATTGTCAGCAATATTTAATAATCAATAATATTTGATACTGATCAGTTTGACGAATTCTAGATTTCATATACAATTCGACTAAAAATATAATAAAGTGTACTATTTAGTCCAGTTCACCGATATTTTCAAATGTCTTATACAGATTCCAATGCATCAAAACTAACCTCCGCTTTAATTGAAACGCTACCAGTGTTCGCAGATCGGTCACGTCAGCTACGAAATCAATTGGTACAACTTACCACCGAAGAAGGCACACAGTCTCGTACTACTCAACGCTATATCACAATATCCGCCTAAACTCACGGGTGGCAAAATAACTGTGCTATCTTTAAACACGTTCAGCCTTGTAAGTGTACCTGATACACACTAGTACCGTCAGTTTCTGGCAACCTGGCAGTCGTGACGTCATAGGGGCGGAGTCAGTCGCTGCGAATCCAATTGCGAGTCCAAGAATGGCTCTTCGCGCTCTTCGTCGCGCGTCCCGGTTGGTGGGCGTGAGCGCCTCAGCCAATCAGGCGCGCGCCTTTGAATCTGACCACTCAGACGCGAGTGCCAGGTTCGCTGCAACGGACAGTACACGTCGCCTCTTCCTATATGGAACCTGTTGTGCTGATTATCCGAGTTGGGAGGCAAGGAGTGACATTCATTCATCGTTGTGAGATCGATTGTTATGGAGACACAGTTTCGACACGTCTTTGTTATTGGTTGAGCAGCAGGATGGAGAAAGACGGCCAATAACAGTGAGTTGACGTTTCCCCTTGCTCTCCGGTTAGGAAGTCGACGGAGGAAGTTTCAAATGGAAAGAGGCGAAGTGTATGTGGATGCATCATACTTGAAGACAATACACGCCTTTGTAATTTACAGATCGTGAAGTCGTCGGTAGTTTACTTGAACGTGCTACGGACAATGA